CAATGCTGCTGGAACTGCTTGGGACCCAGTTAAGTTCACATGCGAAAAGTTTGAATGCAAGAGAATAGAAAGCAGACTTGCAGTCTATATGTTGGACCCAGATATTTCAAATGCTTTAGCTGCCAAATATATTGCAGTTCCACTTATGTTCCCTATACACCAAATATCTGTCAAAGACTTTGCAGGTGAAGTTGGAAACCAAAGTGCTGACCCAGGTGCAAGAACAGATATTGCCTTAACAACTGCAATGAAACATGCAGATACTATGTTTGTACTGTTCAGACGAACTATAAATGACTATTCTTGTTTCTACAACCCCGGTATTAAATATCATATAAACATAGATGGCAAATACTATCCAAGAGAAGAATATTCTACAGTTGAGGATATGAGGTCATACAACTTGACATTAGATGCTATGAACTTTAACAACAACTTCACAACAACCATTAACCCTGAAATGCAAAGTTCTATTATGCCATATGTGAAAGTATGGACTCATACAGGAGTCAAAACACTCAATATACAAATGGAGACCGTTCAAACTTTTGGCTTGGCATTCCATTTGCTGACTCAGAAGACTTTATGGGTGGTATTTCAACTGTTGGTACAGTTCAAATACAATATACTGGTGACAGAGACGGTCCAGATGAATTGAAAGCAAAGAAGTTTACAAAACCAATAGCACTTTTCACGGAAGATGCTCTTTTGAAGATTCGTTCGATGAAACCTGCTGGGGCTCCTCAGATTGGTATAACGACAGCTTCCATCGAGCAGATTTTGGCAGCAGGTCAGTAAGTTGTTCTTGAACTGACTTCTCTCCGTCAAATATTGACAGTACGCCAGTTTTGATATAATATTGTATTATAAACTTACCTTTAGAAATATCGGTCAGTTTTGTTGTTATATTTTTGTCTGCTTCAAGAACTTTCACCATCTCGGTTATACCAACTTTCTTTGCTTTATGAAAATATTTTGGTTCAGCAAAGACTGCTATTCTATAACATTTTCCATTGTTTGTGTAAAGAACTATTCTATCAATGAACTTGTATTGTTTGTGTGTGTAAACTTTGTTTTGCTTCAATTCGAAGAGATACTCAAATACGTCCATCTTTTTATTCTAAGTAAAATGTCATTTCCGAAAAATAGAAGCGTAAGTGTTTCAAAAGGTTTAATGGCGATGGCAGATGTGAAGTTAAATTCACCAACTCAAACAAACAGTCAAAGTGTTGTTGTCAATGTCAAAGAAAGAGATGTTGAAGTGGGGAAACCATACGAAGACGAAGATGGTATAACAATAGTTCCTGTAAAAGAACAACCAACATACCCTGAAGTTAGCAGAGACTTAAGTTCTGTTGCAGATATTCGAAACGACTACCAACAACTTAAAGACAAACTTAAAACTCAGGAGAAGATTTGTCAGGCTTTGGGTCTAATGTTAAACTTGGTCGAACACAACCCTGTAAAAGTGAACTCATATGTCATCGCACCTCATGAAATTTTGAAAGAACTATTGAAACTTTTGACAGAGGCAGACAATATAAACATCAAAGAAATAGAACCCGACATTGCTTGCTGTGGTGTTTCATACAATGTCATTGACAAGATATACGTTATGAAAGGAGGTGAAACGTTGAACTTAAAATATAGTTTCCCAGACGTCATAAAAATATTTGACGACCACAACATTTCATTAAAATTTACTTGCTAAGTAAAAATGTCAAAACTTCTTGAAAGATGTTTGAAGAAAAACAATATAGACTTTATTTCATGTAAAGGACTTTACACACTTTTGAACGATATGAAAGACCCTGTTTTGTTTGTTCGTGTAGACAAAGGAAAGTTCTATGTCTTTACAAAATATTTGAACTTCTTAGACAGAGAACTTCAAGAAACACCATGTGAAAGTTTAGATGAAGTTCTTCTCCACTTTCAGAAAAACTTTTAAATATATGTAAATGGCAGAAGACATAGTGGTTTATACTATTACGACTAAAAACCCTGAGTCATATAATTCTATAACAACAAACTTACAAAGTCCTCAAGGACGATATTGTAAACTGACCTTAAACACGATGACGACTAAAGCCTGTTTTGCTCTTTTGACACCAGAAGATTTTATTGTTGTGAATGGTAAAAAATACTCCTTTGAAGATACTTACTCAGATATACCACCAACAGGTTTTGTTGACTTATTTAATACTTTAAGGACGGATGTAACATGTGCTGCAACTAGAGCAGGTTTCATTATGTTTGGATGTCCGACTGAGTTTAGTATAAACGATATGAGCTATAATACAAAACTTATATCTGGTTTTTACTACCAACAGTTTCCTATAACAGGAAAAGGTGTCATACAAGGAATGTCTGTTCCATTGACTTTAAGTACACCTATTTTATATATTGTTTCAAACTTAGGTTCAAAGTGCTATTCGAATGTCGACAGAAACTACTATGACCAAAAGATACTCATGCGTATAAACAACACTTTCTCTGCTGGTTTGCCTATTGTTCATTCGAATGCAGAGTTTTCAGCTTTAGTAAACTCAAACACTTTAGCAAACATAAACTTAACCTTAGTTGACGCAAACTTTGTTCCTGTAAAACTTTTATGTCCTATGTATTTGTCAATGACGGCAGAAAGTTTCGAATTGGAAGATGCAACTGGTGAAAGTATTGTACTACAAGAACAACTTCAACAACAAATAGCTCAAGAACAACAAATGCAACAAATGGAACAAATGCAACAACAAGTCAAGAACAACAAATAGCTCAAGAATAAAAAAAATATTTTTTTTTTTTTTATAAAAAAATGTACAGAATAGACGTTTCAGATTTTTATGACTTCCAAGCGTTCAGAAATATGTGTCCATTTCGAGACTATAACAAAGCAGTCGAGAATTTGAAACGTTTAGTCATTTATGTCGACTCTGCCCCAGAATGTTATGTCATGAAAGAATGGGATGTAGTCTTTAACAAACCTAAAGCGACAATAGTTTCAGAACAAGAATGTAAACAGAAACTTAAGAAAATAAAAGTCGTACAAGTTGGCATGAAGATGTTAGATGCTTGGGATATCTTATTGTCAAAGTTAGAAGATTTTTCAGTTCGTGGTATAAAGTTCTATACACCTTCTCCAAACTTCTATTCTATCTTCACTGGATATAAATACGAACAAGTAGAATGGAAAGAAAATGTTATAGAAGCTTGGTTAGACCATGTCAAAGAAATTATATGCAATGGAAACGAAAGAGTCTATGAGTATATCTTATGTTGGTTTGCAAACATCTTACAACATCCAAGTGCTAAAAATGAAACTGCTCTCATCATAATTGGAAAACAAGGAACAGGTAAGAACACTTTCTTTACAGATATCTTATGCAAACTGTTAGAGGGCTATTCGAACCCGAATATGACAAACTTAGAAAACATCTGCGGTAAATTTAACTCTTCAATAGAGAATATGAAACTTATAGTATGTAACGAACTTCAAAGTATAGATACAACAAAGTTTTGAACTCAGATGCTTTGAAGAGTCTTATAACAGACAAAGTTGGAGTTGTTGAAAGAAATATAGAGACCAAAGAGTTTGTGAAAATGTTGCAAATTTCATCATGGTTTCAAACAACGCCGTTCCGATGAAGTTAGAAAGTTCTGACAGAAGATATGTAGTTGTCAGAACGTCAGAAGCTCATATGCAAGATACAGAATATTTTGACGACTTAGCAGAAACTTTGACACCTAACTTTTACAACCACTTGTTCTCATATTTCATGACATTAGATATTTCAAAGTTCAATCCAAGACAAATTCCACATACCGAAGAGAGACAAACATTGTTAGAAGCAAACAAGAGTGTATATGAACTGTTCATAGATGAAACTGACTTTGAGTGTTTAGATGAAAGGTCATTGTACGATTCGTATAAACAGTATTGTCAAGATATGGTTATATGACAGCGTCTAAACGAACATTCTTGGCAAATGTCAAAAGTCTTTTAGACGTACAGAATGGTGTATATACAAAGAAAAATTTTTCTGAGTAAATTTTAAAAAAAATATTTTTTTATCCGATAGAAAAGATGACAAAATTCATCTCAGTCAACAAGTACATGTCAGGACTTAAAGAAGAACTAGACCCATTCACATATTTGAATGTTTACTTCTACCATTTTGAAAAGTCTACATTTGACAAAGTTTGGAACATCGAACCAGTTAAGTTTGCTATTGTGACTAAAAATGGTGCGAAATTTGAAGACTTAGACATAGAAGGTTTGTTAACAGTCAAAGAAAGTTTTGACAGAAGGTTCTCAAACCTTAAAGAAGGCAAAGCATACAAACTTGTTATACCTTATGAACCAAAGAAAGCAGACGACTATGAATATTATGAGTCTAAGATAGTTGAAGTTCAAGGTAAATTGGGTAAAAAGATTTTAGAGTCTAAGCCAGTGTTTGCTCCTAAAGAGGAAGAGAACATTGACATTGACCCAGAAATGTTCTAAAAATAAAATTTTATTTTTACATGTCAAATTTCTTTTTCTCTGGCTCTGGTTCTTTCTTCTCTTCTTCTACTTTCTTTTCTTTCTTTTCTCTCTTCTTCTTCTCTGGTGGAGTTATGTCAAACTTCTCAGAACCATATTTTTGTAAAAGTGCTTTGTCATTTAATAGCTCTTCTATTCTGTTTTCTATTTCATTTTCAAGAACAGCGCATGTGTCTTCTTTGCATTCTAAGAAGTTTTGTTGGACTTCATCTCTCCAAGAGGCGTCATCTCTGTCAACAAGTCTGTCATTGACAAATTTTAAGACTTCTCTGCTTAAGGTTTTATGGTTCTTGTCATATTCCCAGAAACAGAACTTTAGAACAAATTCACCTTTCTTGTTTACACTATGTAAGATTTTATGGTCGACAGATGTTTTGCTGTCGAAAAGCTTGTCTCGAATATAGATAGCGAAATCGCTAGACATTTCCTAAAAGATAAAAATTTTAATTTTTCTAAAAATATGTTAGAAAAAAAGTTTGCTGACATTGACAAGAAATTTGAGAATGTTTTAAACAAGAACAAGAGGAAGTTGGAAAATGCTCAGATAAAACCCATACATGACAAGTTCCTATTTGCTCAGAATGGTATAACAGGTCTAATCGCACCACCTGGGTCGGGTAAGACTTTCACTTATCTTAAAATGGCTGCACAACAACAAGAACTAGATGAGAAGAACCCATTCTATGAGTTAGTAGTCATTTGTAGTACTTCTGGTCAATTTGACCAAACCGTCAATTCGTTCAAAGATATTATAAAAAAGTCTAAGTTAGTATGTATAAAAGACTCTGAGTTGTTAGATTGGATAAAGAAGTACCAAAGAAGAGTTTTGAAGTACAATGCTATAAATGAGTATGTCAATTCGAGGTTTAAAGACCCAAATGAGGAAATGCAGAGAATATTAGAGAAGAAACACTTCAGAAACAAACAGAAAGAGATAGAATACATTTCGAAGAAATTGCAATCTTACGATTGGAAGACTTACCCTCACAGATGTCTTCTTATCTTAGATGACTTTGCTTCTCATCCTTTGTTAAAGAACAGAGAACAAGACATGTGTCGAATTCTTAAGAAGCTCAGACACTTTAACATCTCAGTTGTCATTTGTGTACAGACAGCAAAGAGTTTAAGTAAGGATGTAAAGAGAATACTTACTGACATTGTACTTTTCCCCGGATTGTCCGAAGACGATTTCATGGAACTTATGAAAGAGTCCATGGCAGGTAAGTTTGACAGACATGAACTATGGGGGAAGTACAAAGTCATACAAGACCCTCATACTTCTTTCAGAATTCACATCTACGCAAACAAAGTTCAAATTGTAAAAAGTCAAGCGTAAAAATGTAAGTGTTTGAGTCTTAGTCTGTTGTGGTGCTGGGGCTGTCGGTTCTTCTGGCTTTGGAATGGACTCGGTTGGTGGTACGTCGGACATTGTCTTGAAACAATAAAAGACTTGTCTTGAAAAAGTAAAAGACTTGTCTTGAAACAATAAAAGACTTGTCTTGAAAAAGTAAAAGACTTGTCTTGAAAAAGTAAAAGACTTGTCTTGAAAAAGTAAAAGACTTGTCTTGAAAAAGTAAAAGACTTGTCTTGAAAAAGTAAAAGACTTGTCTTGAAAAAGTACGGGTATCGTCTTCAATCAAGACCACTGTTCTCAAATTTGAGAACTTTACACCAAAAAATTTCTTGAAAAATAACGGGTCTTGTCTTGAAAAAGTAAAAGACTTGTCTTGAAAAAGTAAAAGACTTGTCTTGAAAAAGTAAAAGACTTGTCTTGAAAAAGTAAAAGACTTGTCTTGAAAAAGTAAAAGACTTGTCTTGAAACAATGACCGACATAGACCCAGCAGATGAGGCAATTTACCATCTAGAGCTACCTGAGCCATCTTTGGTGTCAAGCTTGAAAAATAAATGGTTCATTTACTCTTCCTCTTTGAAGTTGTCAAAATACTCTGTTATTTTTTCCTTTAACAATGGCAAATCTTCTTTGAATGTAAGTATTGTACAACCTTTCATATCATAGTGTGTTTGAGGTAACGTATCTTGAACTATCTGTTTAACATCTTCATTCGGTGTCATTGAAATCGGTAAGTTTTCGCGATAGAACCAATTTCTGTCAGATTTGTAAATCTTAGCTAAGTCGTAAAAGCTTTTGTTGTTTCTTCTGACTAAATGCAACATAACCATATCTCTGTCTTCTTCATTTTCCATCTCTTCAGTGTAAATCATATACTTATAGTTCTTTTCCTTTCCTTTTGGTACCGAACGTGGTATTCTTTTCTGTATGTTTTTGTCTTTTGCTTCAAGCTTGTTCTCTAGCTCTTCACGTTCTTGTCTATGAAGTTCGTCAAGAAGTCTGTAAATATACCAAGCGTAACGAGGTGAAGCCCACATTGCAACAGCATTTACAAGAAGTCTATGTACATACCAACCTCTCAAACCATTTGGCAAATTTTCACGATTTTCATAGAGTTTTGGCGACTGGGGTTTTTCTCCCACTCGCAATTTTTCACGATTTTCATAGAGTTTTGGCGACTGGGGTTTTTCTCCCACTCGCTGTTCTTCACGATTTTCAGAAAAAAGTCTGTCTCGCTGTGCTTCGCTCAAAAGTTCAATAGTGCTTTGGTTCCTAAACCAGTCTTTAGGAACCTTAGTATCTGGTGCAAAACATGCTGTCAAAATACTTTGCATTTGGTACATGTCATCTTTGACCGAACGAATGAGACGTAACTGTTTGTTAAACTGAACCCACTCGTATTCTTCACTTATGGCTTCATGAACGATAGCAGTTGTTGTGTTCTCTGTTGTTGACATTTCTGTCTTTACATACAAAATAAAAAAAAATATTTTATAAAAACTAGCGTTATTTTCTATCTTGTATAAAAGACCAAAAATAAACGCTTTACATGTATTTTTCAGCAACTTCGTCAAATAATTTTATAGCTTTGTCGATCTCATCTACTTCAAACGTTTCTTTACCTCTCGTGGGGCACCATACATTTTCTCAAACTTTTCAAGTAGTTCTGTTTCAGCAGCTCTCATATCGTTAACAAACGCAACCTTAACTCTATTGACTATACTGTCATATCTTTGAGTTATATTAAATGTTCTTCCTATCTTATATCTCTTTGTATTGAAGTCCTTCGGTTTCTGAACGATGTAAAGTAAGCCCTCACTGCAACGTTCTGTATCGAATGAACCATATGTTATGAAATTATATCCAACAACTGGGTCAATCCAGAACAAAACTACTGGTATAAGACTTTTGTCTATAAGATATGCTCTTGTTCCATAGAATCTTACCGATATCATAAGCTCAGGATTTTTTGTCAAAATTTTCTGAGTTGAAGCATTTTTAACCCAGTCGTGTGCTTTCTTTCCTTCAGATAGTGTTAAAATGTCTGACAAAGAATATTTTTTGTATTTCTTTGAGTATCTTACGTTTAAATCACCTATTCTAACCACTTTGGTGTCATTGTCTATCTTTTTAACTGTTTCAAACTCAGTGCTTGTCATTTCCTGTCTTTACATACAAAATAAAAAAAATATTTTATAAAAAACTAACGTTAATTTTATTTTTTCTATCTTGTATAAAAGATATGATTTTCATGTGTTTTTTTTACTGTTTTCATGTGTTTTATGCAAGACCGAGAAAAGTCGGTCTAGAGAAATTTCACTGTTTTCATAGAGTTTTTTTACGATTTTCATGAGTTTTAGGCGACCAGGATTTTTCCCCTACTCGCAATTTTTCACGATTTTCATAGAGTTTTTTTACGATTTTCGTACGGAATCTCGACCCGCGGTTTTCCACCGGTCGCAAACATATGAGGAAATTCATGAAATTTGGTCATTTTACTCAGCAAAAATATATTTTAGATCTAACCAGGTCCCTCGGTCCCTCGGTCAAATGAACTTCTCTGAAAATGGTGACAACATGACATTTTGACAACAGTCCAGGAAATAGACTTCTTCGTATATGTTTTGTTGAGACTTCAGGGATTTTTTTTACGAAGAGTAAAAGTTCACTTCGTCACTCATAACAGTTATATAATGAAATTTGGTCATTTACTCAGCAAAAATATATTTTAGGTGAAGAGGTGAGATCTCACCTCTTTTCTCACCTCCTTTCTCACCTCTTTTTCACAAGCGTCTTACATGAATTGTACGATGTATATTTGAAATCCTAAACAGTTTTGTAGCTTCTATTTCTTCTGTCAGTATGTCAAAAGTTTTCACAATGCCGAAGGTTTCTTTATATTTCTTCTTGACATCAGATAGAAGGAAATCGTCAGCTGTTGGATAGTTTTTGTTCAGAAATGTCAACATGTCCATTTTATCTTCTGCTGGTTTCTCTGCTTCTTTCTTTAAATCTGCATAGTCGTTTCGCATACGTTCTATCTCTTTGACAGAGTAGTTATATTTCCTCATTGCTGCTTTACATTTTGAACATTGTGGGTTCATTTTAGCATTGTACATTGAAATAAAACCTGCTAAAACAACTAAGGCGTCAATGGTTTTCTTTAACTCAAAAGTTGCTGGTTTTATCTGTTCGTTCCATACTTTACCTCTTTTATCTTTATCTCTTATCTGCCATACACATTTTGCAACTAACGAAACAAAGTTGTCGTAGGTCTTAAATTCTTCAGATTTGTATATGTCAGAGATGTTCTTATATAACATATCGCAATCTTTGTCCATGACTTTGTGGTTGCAATGAAATCCAAGAAACTCATAGTTTACCTTACGTATGAACTTCTTGGTTTCTACTGAGTCAGTTGCTTTGACTTCTATTTCATCGAATTCAGGAATAGTAAGCTTTTGTTGTTGTATTTCAGGAAGTTTAGGTAGATGGTCAATAATATCCTGCATTTCATAAAGATATTCTTCATTTGTTTCATCTTTTGCACTACAGTCTAAAACTCCTTGGAGAAGTTCTTGCTTTATCTTCTGGATTTCTGTTTCGAAAGTATATGAAGAAGGAATGAAGCTTTTCATCTCTACTAACATTGAAGTTGGGTTCATGACTAACGAGTTTGGTGCTGTTGTTGCTAACATGTTCTTACAATAAAAATAAAAAATATTTTTTTAAAAAAACTAACTTTTTTTATGTTTTTTGTGAAAGTGTCAAAATTCATGAAAATTCAACGGGTGAGAAAAGAGGTGAAAAAAGAGGTGAGATCTCACCACTTCACCTAAAATATATTTTTGCTGAGTAAAATGAGTTTTTGGTTGAAAAATACGGTGGAGCCACTTTTGGCTCGACCTCAAAACAAGCATTTCGTGAAGAATATACCACCTGCCGGAATTCCGCGGGTTGCTTTTTATACAAAACATTTACGATGAAGTCTCAACAAAACAAGCATTTCGTGAAGAATATACCACCTGCCGGAATTCCGGCGGGTGCTTTTTTATACAAAACATATACGAAGAAGTCTATCTCCTGTGTTGTTGTCAAAATGTCATGTTGTCACCATTTTCAAAAAGATGTTAGTTGACCGAGGGACCGAGGGACCGAGGGACCTGGTGAGATCTAAAATATATTTTTGCCGACAAAAATGAGTTTTGGTTGAAAAAACAGGTGGAGCCAAAAGTGGCTCGACCTCAAAACAAGCATTTCGTGAAGAATATACCAACCCGCGGAATTCCGCGGGTTGCTTTTTATACAAAACATGTACGATGAAGTCTCAACAAAACAAGCATTTCGTGAAGAATATACCACCCGCCGGAATTCCGCGGGTTGCTTTTTATACAAAACATTGACGATGAAGTCTTGGCAAAAACATTGACGAAGAAGTCTATCTCCTGTGTTGTTGTCAAAATGTCATGTTGTCACCATTTTCAGAGAAGTTTAAATTACCTGGTGACCTGGTGACACCTAAAAACCATCTACCCTAAAATATATTTTTGCCGAATTCAATAAAAATAAAATGGTTCATTTACTCAAAATATTTTTGTACAAAAGGACCCCAAACTTTTAACCTCTCTTCTGCAGCTTCTAATGAAACTTTAGCGAGTTCATATTCTCTAAATTCTCTCTTTAAATCTTCTTGTTCCCATTGGTTTAGTTCGTATGGAGAGTCTCTATAACCAGAACATATCTCATGTTCATGTTCTATTTGTTTTAAACGCATTTTTCTAACTTCTTCTTCGAACAAAGGTTTTGCATTCTCTACTGTATCTTCAAGTTCTTCTTCATCTAATTTCTCATGAACTTTGTTGTCTATGGAGTCCATAATTTTTCCAACTGCTATGCAATATTTTGGAGAAGCCCACATTGCTATATAGTTTACAAGTCTTGGGTCTACATACGTTCCTCTAACCTGTTTGATTTCATCGGGAATTCCTGCATGAACATTGTATAAAAAGCAACCCGCGGAATTCCGCGGGTTGGTATATTCTTCACAAAATGCCTTAAAATACTCTTCCCAGGACTTATTTTCCAACAACCTTCTAAAGTCTTTCCTAAACTGCTGACATATCTTTGTTGCATTTATATAACCATCCTTGTCTCTACGTAAGACTTCAATACCGTTATAGGTGCCTTTTGTGAATGTTTCGCCATTAGATTTGTTCGTGAACGTTTTTGCTTCGACTGTCATACTGTTCTTACAATAAAAATAAAAAATATTTGTGGCTTAACCGTCGGACATTCGTTTGTGGCTTAACCGTCGGACATTCGTTTGTGGCTTAACCGTCGGACATTCGTTTGTGGCTCGACCTCAAAACAAGCATTTCGTGAAGAATATACCAACCGCCGGAATTCCGGCGGTTGCTTTTTTATACAAAATTCAACGGGTGAAAGAATACGATGAAGTCTATTTCCTGTGTTGTTGTCAAAATGTCATGTTGTCACACTTTTTCAGAGAAGTTCGTTTAACCGAGTGACCGAGTGACCGAGTGACCTGGTGAGATCTAAAATATATTTTTCAATACTTTTTCAGCACTTTTCCGTAGTTGTATATGAAAGACAATTCGAGATAAAAGTCATAGTACAATGGAATTATATGCTGCACACCGTTTGTTGTGAACCAGACTTGAAAGTCAGAGAAACTGTTACTAGGTGGTTCGTAGAATTTAGAAGCAAAGTCATAAAAGTCCTTACCGATACAAAGAAAACTGTTGTTGCTTGAACTGAAACTTGCATGACACATGACATTTTGAGGATCGAACACGTTTCTATAAACTGTCAAATCTGTTGGTGGAAGTACAAATTTAAATGGACCATCTGGTGGCAATGGTTCGTTCTGGTTTAGTAACCGAAGAAATTGTGCCCAAGAACGTTTGTCCACCCCCCAATATAAAAACTCTGTATCTCTTGGAGGGTTAATTTCAATCTTTTGAAATGAAACTGTGGAGTTCATCTTGTCGTATTCTAGCTTCAGATAGTATGTTCCATTTAGTAAAGAGTGGTATTTTTCTTGAAATTCCCAGTAGTATTTGTTCATTTGAGTTTGAAAGTCATTTAGAGTTTTTTCAAGACTTTCGTCTGAACGAATTGTAAAGATTTTCATTTCATCAAATTTTTCTATTAGACCATCAGAGCCTTTATACTGACCGTGAAAATATACTGCAAACATGAATGCGTTAGTTCTATTTGAAAACAAAACTCTTCTAAATCCTATTGCCTTTGCATCTGAAGGACTTTGAAGCCAACGGATTGGATAGTCAAACCGATAAGCTCCGGATAAAATTTCTTCATCTGATATATTCCTACCAGCGTTTGTAAAGATATAGTCTAACGGTTTTGTATCTGCTACTTTTGTTCTTTGTTTTTCAACCTGAAGCATTTTATATATGTAAAAATATACTGTTTTAAAAACGTTTTAAAATGGTATGCAATTTTTTATTTCATGCAATGTTTAACTATTTCACCATCTTCTTTAACACCCCAGTACTTCCTTTTCGATATTACATGAACTTCGGAAAATACCTTGTCTAGCTTAAAAAGGCCCATCTTTTCACCGACTAAACCCATTTCAATGAGTTTGTTATAGCCTTCCTCGTTCGTCATGAGTGCATCGATGTTCTCGTAGTATACCTTCACTTTGGATTTAACTTCCGAGAAGAATTTGTTGTAGTTGTCAAGGACTGCCTTTGCGAACTGAGGATAGGACCAATGTTCGACAATAGGTTTTACTGTGGTTACTAAGCCATTTTGACCTTGAGTAAATTCATATTTCAAAACAAAAGGGGAGAACCTTTCAACAAAGTTGTCGACCTTCTCATAGTGTTTACTCTTCATCTTTTGAGGTTTTTTAATGGAATACCCCCATGTCGAATTCATAAGCAATTTGATTGTCATTGCAAGTTTGGGGTTTGAAGCTTTCCTAATATCATAGAGTTGTTGTATGACCTTTCCAACTGTATAGTTCCTTCCCGGGAACTCGCCATCTTCGTTTGGAATTCCAGTCGGGATATATTGGACGAACCTCATGTACGCAGCGTTAAGGTCGACATAGTATATTTTTTCATATGAGTCGAACTTGTCGCATCCAATCGGACCAGTTCGTGGAAATTCAAGTGAGTCTCTTATCTTCTGAGAAACCTCGCCTGTTATCTCATAGACATCGTCAAAGCAACCTGTTTCATATAAAACCTTCTGAGCTAACTCAGATGCTCTCCAATACAATTTGACGTCGATTGGATGTCTCAATGGGAGTTTGTTTATAGCATCTTGAAGTTCTTGCAACCTCATTGGAAGTTCTTCTGGTTCAGGTTGGTATCCGAACAATCCAACTCCTTTTGGAGCTGTGTACTTCTTTTGTGCTATAACTTTGTCCGGAACAACTTTTGGTCTCACTAACAATGAAAAGTTTGTTTCATCTTTTGGTACAAAAGTTTCTGTCAGCTTGTCATCTGGAATTGGTTCCAACAAGCCTTTCTCGAAAAGAATGTTAACAGCTCTGACAATGTTGCACTTACCTTTTCCGAACAATGGGTTTGTAAGACTTTCGTTCAACATGAAGTGGTTGTGGACAAGTACAATCTTCAACCATGGCAATTTGAAGTCAACAACATAGTCGTCATGTGAAGAACCTTTCTCAGTCGGAATGTTGACTCGGATATTCACATTTGCCAACGGTGCAATTTTTGTCAATTGACTTCTAAGAATGTACCTTGTCTTCACACATGACTCAAGATACTTCATCTTCTCATCTGTAACAAGCCCAGAGTTCCTGAGACATGTAAGAATACAAGGTTCATTGACAATTGTTTCAATTGAATTGTAAATTCCATACCTTGTCAAGTCAATGTCAGACTTATTTCTGAACGGGAAGTATCCAGCATGTTGTCTGACTGCTTGAGGGTTAGGTTGATACCATTCGAACTTCACGCTTGCAATTCCTTCAATTGCATTCAAAATGTCTGAGTCGGAGTCAAACATTTGTTCTCTCTTTGTAGTCTTGAAAGCGTCAAGAAGTTGTGCGGCTGTTGTGACATTGCCATGTGCATAGTAAATATGACCATCCAAATCTTTTACGGTTAGTCTGAGATTGTGTCCTTTCTTATTTCCGTCTTGAATTGCAGCAAGTACTCCCATGAAGCCTTCTTTGTTCTTTCCATCGTCAAAGTTTACTGTAAAGGTTCGACCAGATGTAATTTTACTTCTAACTTCACGATACTTCTCATATGCATATCTTGTTCTTTCCATGGGAGCATGTGCGTCTTCACCTTTTCCTTTTTTCCTTCTCAAAGGATGCAATTGTTCGTCATGTTTCCAGTAGAACCTGGCAAAGCCGTCGTGTCCTTCAACTTGAGGTTCACTAACATCGAAAGGCATGTCCATAAGACGTTCTTCTTCTAACCTCTCTAGTCTGTTTGGATAATTTGCACGTGCTGTTTCCAAATCCATTTCGTAGCGAAGACCAGACAATTTGTCATAGACTTTTATGGGTCTTCCCTTCCTATATTTAAAATTCTTCGAAACTCTCCAACCATATCTTTGCAACTCTGCTTTTATTCTAGCAGACTTTCTGTCCATTCTATACGGGGGCATTTCTATAAAAATAAAAAAATGTTTTTTCTTTACTTTACATAACCACCGGCTACCATAAGTCTTTGACGCCAACCCATACCAGCTAATGAAGGTTGACTTGGTTTAGTTTGAAAACTAACCTTTGGTTTTGGTTTATCTTCAGTTTTTGGCTCACCTTCTTCTATTGGTTTTTCGTCACTTTTCGGTTCCTTTGACTTTACTTCACTTGCTGGAATAGTTGTGTCGTCAACATCTTCATAAATGTCATATGCCATTTGTTTCTGTTTTCCTTTCAACTTTTTGTGTTTGTTGTAAAGTTTAGAATATTTCGACTCTAAGTCAATGAGATGTTCTATAATGAACTGTTGGTCAGTGAAGTAAACTTTTCCATCTGTTGTCTCGAAAGCTCCTTCAGACTTCAATATTTTATTTGTGAGAGTCTGTTTCTTTTTTGAGATACTTGCCGTTCCATTTTTATGAAAAGTGACTTTGTAGTTAGGGTTTGTATTTCCAGACCTCACACTTTCTATTATTGAATTTTTCTCTTCATCTGTAAGTTCTTTGACAGGTTTTGACAATGGTTCTGAACTTTTTGTTTGTGGTGTCAAATCTACCGTTTCAACTTCTTCGGTCATTTCATCTCAGTAAAAAATTTTAGTTTGGTTTGTTTTCAACTGGTTGTTGTTGTTTTTTATGTCGGTCTAAAACTTCCTGAGGTATAGGAAGAACTTGACAAACACGTGGTTGTGTAACTGCTGGAAGCCGACAAATCCATCTTGAGCCCATTTGTCTCAATGCTGTATTGTTCATTTCATCTCAGTAAAAAATTTTACATTCCCCAAGTTTGAGGTGGTTGAGGTTGGTTGTTGTTTACCCACTGTTGTGCATGGTTATATCCTCTGTTAAAGAATCTTTCACCTTGGTCCATGTAGTGTCCTGCTTGGTTATAGTAGTCATTTGCCTTGTTATAGTAGTTTCCTGCTTGTCTTCCTACATTGTCCATCCAGCCTTGAACTTTTCCTCTTGTTTCAGGATTTGGAATAAGATTTGCTGCATCTCGTGCTACCTCCCAACCTTTCTGTACAGTTTGTATAATAGGTTGTGCTTTCTCTTTCAGTATACCTAATGTACTCAAAATCTTCCTTCCAATTCCAAATGCACCTCTGGCTAGTGTTCCCACTGCTGGCAAAAATCTAGATGCGACTCCTGCTAATGCGCCAAATAAACCCATTTCTTATGGGTTAAAAATGACGAATTCAAACAAGGACCCCTATGTTTCTAAAGCAACAAAGAAAGCACTCATGGTAAAAATCTTTAGTTCAACACCAAATGCTTGGTTTATGGATATCTTGGAAAACATTCCGAGGTATAGAGAAGATGGACCACCATACTGGTTAATATTTGTTGGTCAAAACACAAGATACTGTGAAGCCATACCATTATGGTCCAAAAATATTTTAGATGTGAAAACTGCTTTGACAATATTCGTTGACAAATACCATCCAACAAAACTGACATCTGACTGTGAAAGTTCTTTCAAATCAGACGATATTAAAAACTATCTGCGTTCAAAAAATGTAAACCAATATTTCATTGTCGACCAAAACCATTCTGCTCTTGGTGTCATTGACAGTTGTATAAAAATCTTAAGAGACTTAAATCAACCACAAGGTGGTGAAGCAAATGAAATGTCATATGACGACAAGTACAGACACTTCTCCATGGCAAAGATGAGACAAGTTTTAAATATTTACAATACCCGTAAACAAAAAGGTTTGGGAAACCACTCCCCCGAAGAAATGAAAAACAACCCTGACTTAGAGAAAGACTATATATTTAATAGTTTAGTCAAAAGAGACAAACAAGAAAGAATGCCAGGCTTCAAACTTCAGAAAGGTGACAAAGTAAAAATAGAAATACCTAAACGCGACCCATATGAAAATACTATTGACTATGACAACAATGGGAACTCGACAGGTACTCACGTTCGTGTTCGTAAAAATAGAAGAAAGTATACAAGAGAATATTATGAAGTTTTAGGCAAACATGGCAAAATGTACAGACTGCAAGCAGAAGATAAAACTACTATTGTCAGACCTCGTTTCAAACTTGTCAAAGTTCAAGGTGGTATACTTTCAAAGACAGTTCCTAACAAATATAAGACAACTCCTGACGAATATGCTAAAGAAGTTGAAAATGACGACTAAGCATTTCTATACCATGCGTAAACTGTCATGTAAGGTGGCATGTAGTCTTTACTTTGTCCCGTTGTTTGCGTATACCCTGAAACGCGATGTGTATGGTTTCCTTCTCCCTGTGTGCTACCCCAGAAACAATTTATAGCAAACTGAACGTCGTCTTTAACATCATATCCTTTACCTTTTTTCATTGCTGACCAATCCCAAAATCTATGCTTATGCCAACCTGCTTCAGCTGTAGTTAAATCTATGTAGTGACTGTGCGCAGGTAAGTTTTCACCTGAAATCGTTTTACTTCCACCTGTTTCCTTTGAAGAGTTTGCACAATACAAAAACCTGTCGACTATTTGAGTCCAAGTTCCAAAACCAAGTACTACTTCTGGTCTGGTAGAGTTCATTGACGTGTAAATAGAACCTATAGGATATACTGTTTGAAGTATTTCTGTCTTTAACGTTTGAAGCTCTGTTTTGTCAGCTTTTTTATCATATAAATCTTGAGCAGTGAATTTAACTTTGTTTTCATCCTCCATGACATAGACATTTCTACATCTAGTGTATTTCATCGTCGTTATGTCATCCTCCGATGTTAAACCTTGTGGAAAGTTAGGAGGTTTCCAATCTAATACATCCCCACCAGCTCCTTCAACCGTTCCTTCAATATTTTCTATACCAACAGTTGCGAAGAAATCGTGTGTATGTCCAACGTCACTTTTCCTGTTTAAGGTTTCTTGTAAGTTTGTAATATTTGCAATGGTATGTGTATGAGTCTTTTTAGAATATTCTTTGTCAGCTCTTGTCACTTCACTTGACATTTTATTGTCAACATATGTTTTATCTGCTTTGTCATCTAACATTGCTGGTAGTTCATCTACGTCATAGATGTTATGTGTATGATGTTTTTGTGGGTATGTTCTTTCTGTCCATGCGAGAATATAGTCTTTTGTTGCATCTACATACTCTTTGTCAGCTTTGTTGTCAATATCTGCCTTCAAAAGAAGTTCATCTATAGGTTTCTCGTTTAAAGTTCTTTTTGTTGGATTTATACAAACAGTATGGTTCTTGTTGTCTTGAAATAGAAACTCGTCTGTCATTGGGTTTATCGTCAGTTTTAAGTTTCCTTCTTTCAATGACTCAGATATCTTAGAATAGTTTGAAAAGTTTGTTGTGTTCTTATTTAGAGCTTGTACAATGAGTTGTCGGTTGTGTTGTATTTCTCTCATAGACGCTGTTTCTTTCGACATTTTTATTCTAGATAAAATATGCTTTCAATAGAAAAAGAAAATTCAAGAGTTGCTACAACTAAACCATTAGATGAACTTTTTACTAATGTCGGTCAAAAGTTTGAGACAGAGACCGTAAAGCATGAAGGCTATCGTTTTGACTACCCACTAAGATGGTTAAGAGACCCATCCGTCACAAAAGCTGTTGGCTTTCGTAGAATGAAGTTCATTTCAGAAGCCATACATGGTTTCCCATTTACGGTCGGTTTTGAAGTTCGATACTATAACAAAGAAAAACGTACGTATGAGAAATTTGAACAGGGAAAACTTTTACAAGTGAATTTGCTTGTAAACTTAGAAACAACTCTTCAAGCTTTTCAAGAAAAAATAAACGATATCTATCTCGAATATGCAAACCAGTTTAACATTGACGAAGGAGAGTACCATCTCGATATTTTATATGACAGGAAAAATGCAACTGTTAAAATCGATAGAATAGAAGACCTTGGAGACAACGTTTATATTTCTACAAAATATAACAACTTGGCATGGTATAGATTTTTGAGGATGTTAAATCAGCCTGCAGAATATCCAGTACACCCGAACTTTTATGAAGTCGAAAACCCTAATGGAACATATGAAAATGTTTTCGACCCAGATGCTATTATAGTTCATGCTTCATTTTCTGGTGCACAAAACTCTTTTTTATGCTTGGCAAATGACTTTTACGAAAAACCTACAAAGCTATATGAACCACCGAGTGGAAGTATTTCAGACTTTCAAGTATGGTTTACAACAGATGGAAGAAAGAGAATAGTTCCATTATACCATGCGTTTTACTTAGAACTTAGTCTCATATACAACTACTATCGAACGGTAAAAATATAATTTTAATACGGTTGAGGTGTTGGATTTGGTTGCCAACTAGACTGTGGTGCAGGTTCAGGCTGTTGTATAACAGGAGCTTGTTCTTCTGGTTCAGGGTCTTTAGGTATAATACCAACGAACTGACCTACTCTTTTACCAATATTTTTGACTCCGTTCCAAATTCCTCTTCCGACAGATTTTATTCCATTCCATATACCTCTTCCAACATTTCGAAAGAAGTTTCCTATTCTTCCAAAGAAACCCATTTTACTATATGTAAAAATCTAATGTCCACCTAGTCTCTTACGTTTCCTGTTGAGTTCCATAGCATTTTTTAACTGGAGCTCATACATTCTATTTCTCCTCTGGTAGAAAACATACTCTGGGTCAACTCCTGTGTTCGCGTCATCTGCATAGAGTTGTTTATATCCCACTTCAGGGTTTGTATAAAACTCTTTCCATCTCATATTTGCATACCATGGTGGCAAACCTAACGCAGCGTCATTTGACATGGCAGTTTGCATTTGTACATCTGTTGGCACTTGACCATAGTTTGCCATTGCAGTTTGTATTCTAACTTCATTTGGAATATTCTCTGGGTTTGGTTGTCCAGGTTGCTGTGCATTCGCTAAGTTCTGTGCGTCCATTTAATATTAGATAAAAATATCTCTTACGAGTACATATACTGGACATTTGCAGGCATTGGTTCATCTTCATATTCTCTATATCTTTCTGCCACGTCAAATAAGTAAATGACACAATGGAAAAAAACCTAAAACAAGTAGTCCTATTTCAAACCACATTTACTTACCAATAAAATTTCTTTGTTATGACACTTTCTCCGGTTTATAGGACCTCTCTCATATTCTATCTTATCGTATCTAAACTCATAGTCATGTATGTCCTCTAACCATCTCATGACACTTTCCAAACCACTTTTATCGGATGTAAAGTAAAAGCATGGATGGTTATGTAAAACGTCTAAAGTTTCTAAAGAGTCTCTCAAAGTCCAGTCTACTTGGTATTGAAAATCATATATGTTATAGAACGGCGGGTCTACTATAAAGAAAACATTTTCCTTGTCTTTGTATTTTTCATACAACTCTGTCCAACGACATCTCACAAACTCTATACCCTCAGTATATTTTTCTATGTTCTCTTTGAAAACGTTTGTATAGTTAAGATATAAAACGTTTGACATAAGTGTTTCAATGTCATGAACTCTTATAGAACCACTATACAATAGTCTAGAAGATATACTATCCCAGTCAATATACTCTGCTTTTTTCAAAACCTCTCTGACAGTATTTTTCTTATCTAATGGTATACGTTCCATCTTACCTATAGGTATCTTTTCTTTCAACTCACTCAATATTTTGTTTGTGTCTGGTATATGTTTGAGACGGTTCATATAGTTGTCGAAGTCATTGCATATAATCTTTGAGTTTGGGAATACGGTATGGCACAAATGAGATATATAGAAACTTCCACCGAACAAATCTACAAATGTTAGACCATTCGGTAGTTTCTTAAGTTCTCTCAATAGAATATCTTTACATCTACTCTTATTTCCAAAGAAGGGTAACGGTGGTTTTGTAAAATTCATTTTATATACAATAAAAATGTTTTTACCCTGAAAAGTGACAGAAAGGTGACTGGGGCTAGAGGGCGCAACGCGCCTGGAAGCCCCAATACCTTTTTTTTTTATGTATGCTTGCTATCCAAAATTGTCTTGAAATTATCCAAAATCTTGTCACTTTTTAGCAAGATTTTAATGGATTCACATTCTCAAAAAGCCTGGAAATGGTGGAAGAAATTCGGTGAAAAGCCGATTTGTTTAGCTCCAATGGCTGAAATCAGTGATTTATCCTGGAGAATGCTCATTAGAAATCATGGAGTAAAAGTTTGTTGGACTGGCATGTTAAATGCTCATCAATGGTCTCAAGGATCAGGATATCAGAACAAATTCTTTAACACATGTCCGGAAGATCATCCTTTAATCGCACAAATTGCAGGTTCAAATGAGGACCAAGATCTAATTGTTGCTGCTGCTAAAGATTTAGCAAAATATGCAGATGGAGTTGATGTAAATCTCGGATGTACACAGAAAATTGCAAGTAGAAGTGAATATGGTTACTTTATGGTAGATAATTGTCAGAAGCGAGAAAAAACGCTTGAATTGTTCAGAAGATTATGTAAAGAAGTTAACTGTCCTATTTGCGCCAAAATAAGAATCTTTATTGACGATTCTGGAGAAGTTAGCGAAAAAATTACAATTGATTTTGCAAAAAAGCTCGAAGAGGCAGGAGTATCATTATTGCAAGTTCATGGTCGTGCAGAACATAGAAATAAGCAAGCAGACGTTTACAATGAAATAATTAAACATATTGTTCAAGCTGTGAACATTCCTGTGGTTGCCAATGGTGGTATTAACACTGTTGAAGATGCTCACAAGTTCATGGAAGAAACAGGAGCTGCTGGAGTGTCTGTAGCTCAAGCTTTGTTAAAAGACCCAACTGCATTCGATCCAACAGGAAAGAAACCGAGAAAAGATTACGCACTTGAATATCTGAACCTCAGCAAAGAAAAAGGAGTCAGATTTTTCGGTCCTAAGAAACATATTTTTATTTTCTATGAAAAGGAGATCCGCGAGAACAAAGAACTTGCAAAACAGATTGAGCAATCTACAACAATTGAGCAATTAATAGAATTTGTCAATGCTCATCCTTAAAAAATAATAATTTGCCAATAACATTCGATTATCTCAAAGATGATGGTACGAAAGTATGATTGGCGCATTATTTATTATTATTTATAGAGAATAATATTATTTATCAATCATTTTCTTGTATATTTAATAAATTTAGCATGTTATTCAACAATATGTATTTACCTAAGACTAATTCTACTTGTCTTGATCAGGATTACAATATTTTGATCATGATTTTGGTTTCTTATTCAAATTTTTAAATGAGTTCTATTAAAAATTGAGAACTGTAAACGATATCGAATTCAAAACAATGAAAATTGGTTTAACCATTCTATTAGAAAGGATTTATATGGATAATTTAGAATTTACAAATGTCAAAAAATTGAGAGTTGTCACTTTTGATGAATTTCTGTTTATTACAAATAAGCCCTAACTAGAGTAAATACGCAATTAACTATAATATTATTAAATAAAATGAATCCAAAAAGAAAATGATTTTATTTTTTCCAGTTTTGATCAATAAAAATCGCCGTTGATATTGAACTTTATATGATTTAGAATATTTCTGATAAATCCGATCATTGTCAGGTCATGTCTTATGTGTGAAAATTTAAAATCCAACCATTTTCAATGGATATGAAAAGTCACTTTTCAACCAAAAAAGTGACAACTTTGGTGAATGAGTACGAAGAAATTTTCTGTGCTAATTCAGCCAAAGATACAGTATGAAATTATAATAACTCGAGAATCTACTATTACATTACTCGCAGTGACATCTGTTCCATGCTATCCATTGAGTAATCCTGCTGTAGTCTCAGTTATGATGCAAGATCAAGTACAACAAATTGCTACGCTTGAGCCAAACTCCGAAGTAGCCAGAATTGAGAACTGCGTCTTGAATTTGGATAATTATGTACTTAAGAACGAAGGAAGCGAACCAATTAGGCTCATTTACACAACAGAATCCCCTGATTATATTAATATTTACTCCAAATCCGAAAAAATGCGCTCTAATAAGTATCAAGATTTTACAAATGATTTCCTTCTTCAAGTTGATCGATTCTTTGAGTCGAAGACTCCTTTGCTCGAGATTGCCCACTTCTTTAACAAGCTTCCAAATTGCAATCACGCAGTTCAATTCAGAAATTCGGTTATTATCGCCTTACGTCGCTTAAACAATACATTAGCTCACGAGTTTGTCGATTTAATTAATGTATATGATTTAAGTTTCAGGCTCGGAAACGAAATTACCCCTGGATTCCGTTATTTCTTTAGTTTATTACTTAACAACTTCCAAGAACTTGCTCCAATTGCTGTTTCTACCTGTGTTACACGCTCCAACTTCCTTACATTCCTTTCAATTATCATTGAATGCAAATATACTCAATCCGTCGGCCAAGTTCTTCAAACATTCTGCCATGTTAACGAGCAATACACTCCAGAAACGCTTGAAACCATTTTCAAGTTCGTTATTAAGAACGATATCCCAATTAACCAAAATCTTCTTATCCAGTTCCATCCAATTCTTTCTGAGACCGCAATCAACGATGTTTGTGGTCATCTTATTACTTCTAGTACTATTCAAAGGTCACAAACGAAAGAAGAAGATAAATCAGAAAATGAAAATCTTTCCAAGATGAATGATGAACTTTCCAACAAAGTTTTAGCATTAGAAAGTCAATTGTCATCAGCCAAGAAAGAAATCAAGTCCAAAGAAGAGATCATTTCCAATTTGAAGACAGAAAACAATTCAAACAACGATGAACAAGTCAAAAAACTCATTTCACAACTGAATTCATCAGAAAACAAAAACAAAGCGTACGAAGAGAAACTTAAACAGCTTGCAAGTGAGTTCACAATGAGATCTAATCCAGTAGCAGACAGAATCTCCGTTCTCGAGAACCAAATCAACAACCAAGCAATAACAATCCAATATTTCGAGAAAAAACTAAAAGAAGCACAAAACCAAAACTCTAATTCTGGAAATAAAGATTATGAAAAAAGAATTAATGAATTGGAAGAGAAGTTGAGGATTTCTGAATCTAAAAATAAAGAGTTAGAGATGCAATTGCAGAATAAACCAAAAGAACAAGTTGATTTCAACAAAATATCAGAGAATGATTCGAAGATTTCTGAATTAAACAAACAGATCTCTAATTTATCATCAAAACTAAATGAATCAGAATCCAGAAACAAATCATTAGAAAACAAAATTAAAGAAATCGAATCTAAAAACAAGATTAATAATACAAGTGATTTAGAAAACAAAATTAAAGATCTTGAAAATAAAAACAAATCATTGGAAAAAAGAATTAATAATTCAAATGATTTAGAAAGCAAAATCAAAGATCTTGAATCTAAAAACAAATTACTCGAAAAGAAACTTTCTGAACAAAGTAATAATAGTTCAAGTGATTTAGAAAGTAGAGTTAAAGATCTTGAGTTTAAACTGAAAACAGCAGTTCAAACAGGTAAAGAACTTCAAAACGAAAACAAAGAATTACTTGAAAAATTGAAGGATCAACAATCAACACCTGTTCTTCAAGGAGATGCCAAAGCACAGGAAATGCTTCATAAAATGGCTGTGAAATTACAAGATCACATTACAAAACTATCTAAATCGAATTTAATCATTGCACAGAAAGATTTGGAAATCAAAGAATTGAATTCTAAAGTTGATGAAATGAAAGCAGAAATAGAAAAACTTAAATCAGCACCAGAGAAACCACAACAACAACAGCAAAAGCAACAACAGAAACAGCAAAACGATGAAGATAAATTTGCTGTTTATGTTCCACCTTCAAATCAACAACAAAAAGATCAAAATGAAGACAAATTCGCTCCTTACAAACCAAACAAACAACAGAGTCCTCCAAACGAAGAAAACAAATTTGCTCCTTATTCACCATCCAAACAGCAAAACAAGAACAACAACAATGATAAAAAGAACAAGAAACAAAATCAAAATCAAAATAAACAAAATGATAATCAACAAAAAGTGACAAATGATAATCAACAAAATGAGGAAGAAAAAGTTAAGGTTGATCCAACAGGACATGTTATCTATACAACATCATATGATCCAACAGAAGTAGGAAAGAGCAATCGTGTTAATTATGGATTGAGAAAGATTGCATCAATTGAAGCAAAAGAAGAGAAAATGAAAGAACAATCCAAAGTTAACAAGAAACCAAGGAAGGAATACGACATGGAGAAGATGAAAGAACCAGTCATTTACTCATCAAACAAATTCGCTGGAATTCTCAACGATGACGAAGAAGAAGATTTCTTCTACGATGAAGAAGAGATGATGTACGAAGAATGGATTCCTCCCAAACAAAACGAAGAAACTAAACCACAAGCACCTCCAGAAACTAAACCAATTGAAGAAGCAAAACCAAAAGAAGAAATTAAACCTAAAGAAGAAATTAAACCAAAAGAAGTCAAAGTTCAAGAAACTCCTAATCAAGAAGAAAAGAAAGAAGTTAAACCAGAAGTTAAAGAAGAAGTGAAACAAGAAGCACCAAAACAAACAAAGAATGAAAAGAAGAACAAGAAAGATAATCAAAAGCAGAAATCTCCTCCTAAAGAACAAAAACAAGAAAATAAACAAGAGAAGAAAGAAGAAAAAGTCATTCCAGAGAAGAAAGAAGAGAAACAGGTTATTAAAGAAGAAGGAAAGATTGAAGAGCCAAAGAACAACAAACAAGAACAGAAGAAGAATCATAAAGAAGAGGAAGAAGAGAAAGGAGATGCAATTGATGCAGAATATGCAGAGTTGATTGCATTGGCAGAAGCAAACAAGAAGAAGAAAGAAGAGAAGCTTCTCCTTGAAGAAGAGAAAAGAAAAGCACGTGAAGCAGAAAGCTTGCCACAAGAAGTCTTAGAAGCTATCTACGGCAAACAAGAAGAATCTCATTTCTACTGGGAGCCAAAGCACAAAGAGGAAGATTCGGATGATTTAAAAGTCAAACCTGAGGAACTTCGAGAAAACAAAGCTGAAAAAGAAGAAAAACCAAAACAAAATCAAAAACTTTCAAAGACATCAGAAAAACAAACAACAAAAACAGAAGTTCCTCGCGAAAAAGCAAAAGTTTCAGAAGAGGAACATCTGAAAGATCGAGAAGAAATCAAACAAGATAAAGTTGTTGTTCAAGAAAGAAGTCAAAAGAAGGTTTCTATTGGTTTTATTTTGACAATCTGTCTTATTTCAGTCTTTGTTGTTTTGATGGGCTTTCTTGGTGGTTTCTTATACAGCAATTCTCTTAAATAGAGATAACAATGAATCAGGAATAAGAAATAAGAATTTGTCTTAAAAAGTTTTTTAGTTATTTACTGATGTTTTTGAAACTTATCTTATTAGTGAAAATCATCAAATAATAAAAAAAAGGTAGTGGGGCTTCCAGGCGCGTTGCGCCCTCTATCCCTGAAGATGTTTAGTATAAATGAAGTTTTTATTCGGAGGGCTTCCAGGCGCGTTGCGCCCTCTAGCCCATAAAAAATTTCTGAGGACGAGCCAGCCGGTGACTTTTTTGTAGAGCACTCAAAATAGTATAACTTTGTCCGGACAAGTAAGGATCTATCGTCGCTACAGGAAAAGTTACAGGCGTTCCAAGGAAGTATACTTTGAGAAGCCTTTTCTCCCTTATAGAATGAGATAGGACGGTTATTTTACAAAACTGACAACACTTTGACCGAGTAGTTTTTTGTGCTGAACAAAAAGTGTCATATAAACATCTGTCAAAAACCGTTTTTTACTTCACTTAAAATGCCACGTAAGCTACGTAAGAATATACGTAAGAGGAAGGGAGCATTGAAACATCCAATAGTAAAACTGACACCACAACAACAGTTGCAACAACAAATGATGAATGACCCCACTATGTTGCAACAAATGTCAAGCAACCCTATGCTTTTAAACCGAGTTATTGGTGCACAGAGTGGAGGTTTAAGAGCGGCACTTTTAGCGAAAATGGCAGGCTATGGTGGAGCTGCAGACGGAACAGCTTATAACCCTCAAAGTCAAATGAATTTGAGTTCACTCAAAAATCAAATAACAGATGTCAAAAAGTCAAACATAGACATACAGAAACAAATAAGTGAAAACGAAAAGAAACTAGAATATGACAGACACACAAAGAAACTCAATGAGTTAAACGTAGAGAAAAAGAAGAAAGAAGAACAACTGAAAGAACTAAGTACAGAGGAATATGCGAAAAAAGTGTCAGAAAAAGCAGCAGAAGTAGCAAAAATGGAACAAGATGTTATAAATTTGAAAAACCATACTACTCAATATAAAGTACTGAAAGATGAAGAGATAAAACAAAAAGCCATGAAGACATATATGGATAGCGATGAGTATAAAAAAGAAGTTGAAGCAAATGTAAAGGCAGAAAAACTTTTACAGTTGCAAAACCAAACCGTACAGTATGAAAACTTAGCACAAGAAAGTAAAAATAACGACGCAGCCATGCAAAAGGCAATGAAAAGCGCAGAATATATAAAAGCTAATAATGACTGGTTAGATGCCCAAGCCAACGCTAAAGCAGCCCAACTTATAGGGTCAATAAGGACAAAAATACAAGCGGATGAAGACAGTTCAAATGAAGCTTTAATGAATGCTGACTTTAAGAATGCCTTCGAAGCTCTTCATAGTAAGGTGAAACTAGTGAACGACTTCTCATCTGGAAAGAAACTGAAGTCTGAAGGTTTCGACAAAGAGTTAAGAGAAGTAGCACAAAATATGACGAAAATAACAGATGCAGCAACGAGACAGGCAGTTCAAAGTGCCTATGACGCCGTTAGAGCAACTGTTGTGGAAAGTCAAGAAAAAGAGTTACAACAGACCAAAACAGACCTAGTAAATGCTTTCTTAAAAACGAAAAGTCAGGTAGGACATTATGCTGCAGATGGAACATATGTGCCAGCTGGTGGAACTTATATACCACCAAACCCTCCAAGAGAAGCACCTACACCAGGACTACCTAAAACATTTACATCGTCACATGGACACAGACACAGGCATGCACCAAAACCAACACAACAACCAACAGTTCAAAATCCAGCACAACAACAACAACCAAAACCAACAGTTCAAAATCCAGCACAACAACCAACAGTTCAAAATCCAGCACAACAACCAACAGTTCAAAATCCAGCACCACAACAACAACCAACACAGCAACCAACAGTTCAAAACCCTGCACAACAACCACCTCCACAACCAGCACAACAACCACAAACAGAGCAAGGACATAAAAGAAGTAGAGAAAAAGGAAACCAAGAATTCTTAAAAATGCTTAAGGAAGATTATGGTTACCCAGATACTCTTGACTTTAGTGACAGATATAAAGAAGCTATTAGAAAGTTCAAGGAAGGAAATACTGACCCGAACCTATTTAGCTTTATGGTTCAGCATCAAATGGGATATAATCTCAAACCTGGAAAATACAAGCTCGCTAAGGGATATGATTTAATAGCATATCATCCAAATGACATGGATGAATTTACTCCGAGATATTTGGTGTCAGAGCTAAATGATAATTCAACTCTCTTCATGAAACGCGTAAAAAATAGAGACGGAACGAAAGAAGAAAGGTTTATGAGTCCGGATGACTTAGAAAGGGAAGTTGTTAAAAACGGTCTCGGAATATATGAAATGCCAGCAGATGAGGTACAAGAAACTCAACAGGAAGAAGTTCAGATACAACCAGACATGGAAGAAATAGTTCAGCAACAACAGCTAGAAGAGCCTGAAGGAAACGAACAAGTCCCTCCTTTGGAAACTAACTTCACAGAACTAGATGAAGATTTGGAACAGCCGAAAAATCTTGACCCTCAACAAGAGTATGAGGAGAATATGGAATCTTTCCAAGAGTCTAAGAAAAATTCGGCTGACATAGTAGAAGGATATCGAAAAATGTTCACCGACATACAAAAGACTCCAACATCAGATGAAAATATTCAGCATAGAATGGAAGTACTGAAAGATAATGTACGCAAATACAATAATCCTTTTTACTTACGACCATATAACGTTCAATCTTTGGCTGAACTCGGTGAAAATAAAAGGTTAAATTTCAACAAAACATATAGAAATGAAACATTGTTTAAAGTTCATTCAGAACCTAACCAATATGGAAACAAACCTACTTTTGTTTCTGCAGACTATGGAACTACAATGAGATGGGGTCATAAAGCTAATCCGGATAGGTGGTTCATAAACTTACAACCTCAATTCCAAGAAGTTGTAGACGCAATGGAAGTGAATGGTGAACCAGATATAGCTGGTATTTTCAGCGCAGCTTTAATGCCATTGAAAGATATGAAACATGCAGATATTTTGGACCAGTATGAAATGAACATGGCTGAGGGAAATATAACACCTGACGTTCTAGAACATTTATCTCAAAGAACTACACAGAACCATAGAGATGGTATATTTGGTGAAGAGTTTAGAAAGAAAGTTAGGGAGAGAGAAGGAAGAGAACCTATTGTACATGACCTTGCAAACGAAAGTTTGCAAAATGTCATAAAAACTTACTTTGCAGACAATGAACTGAGAAGGGATGAATATTTAAGAAAACTCAAATGGACAGTACCAAATGAAATGTTAGTATTGAAAAACATGTTCCTTGACAAAATAAAACCAACTACAGAAATAAATGACGCAAGACTGAAGCGTTGGGTAAACGCTTTCCCATTCACAAAAGATATTATTGGTAACATGGAAAGAAAACCAGAATGGCTACAAAAACATATATTTGGAAACGAGCTTATTCCATATGGACAAGCTCTGTTTGAAGAGCTTGAACCGGAAACTCAGGAAAGAGTCATGCAAACAATACGCGAAGACTCAAATACAAACTATGACAAAATCTTTCTAGGATATAGGTTACCTGAGATGGGCGACCAGAGCCCAAAGGCAAAAAGGACATGGGAAATTTACAACATACTAGGTGAACATGAGGCAAAGATGCAACAACTTGAAGCAGAGGGCAAGTTACCAAAAGCGACACCAAAGAAGAAGAGAAGAGTAGAACAAAGTGAAAGTAGTGAAGAAGTAACTTCATCTAGTGAAAGTAGTGGCAATGAAGGAAAAAGAAGAGTTAAAAACTCAGTCAGGAAGAAAGTAAAGCTTGGTACGAGTGGGTTCTATTATGACACATAAATCCAACTATTCTATATTTTTACCCATATGAAATGTACGCTGCTCAGAATATAACGCCAACAGTTTTGGATGCCATGAACGGAAATGTTTCCGAATGGTATAACGAATGCGACAATGCCATTAGAAGGTCAGAAATAGTTCCTGGAACTTACGAATATACAACTGCTGTTTCTTATGGAAACGTAGGTGAGTTTGGAGAAGGTTCTTCAACAACAGTAGATATTGCTTGCGACAGGTTTCATATTATTTCTATTGACAACTCATTCTTATACGTGGAACAAGACATTGAAATAAAACCTTCTGCCAAGTTGTCTGACAAGAAAGGTTGCAATGGAATTTTCTATGTCGGATACCAATATGCTCCAGAAGTTTTCATGGATATAAGATATATTCTAACTCTGACTTAGTTCAAACAGTAACATGGGCAAACTATGAATGGTTCGCTTTGAGAAACTCAGTACAACCACAAGCTAGAGAACAAACAGACCAGTATGCACATTGAGAAAATAAGAAGACTTGACCCTAACGTTCCAGGAGTTTATGTTAACCTTTCTGGTTCAGATGGAACTGCTGCCACTAAAGTAAAACTGAAACTTAGAGTTCCTTTGTCATCTTTCCTCATCTTCAGGTTTTTAAGATACTTGCCAAACTGGGCAGGAAAAATTTCTATTGAACTTACTCCAAGCAAAAATAACTTAGTCATTGCACCAACACAAGACCCATTCACTATTACAGACGTAAAGGGAACAATCAAACGTCATTCGCCGAATTTTGCAAAGACAAAGTTGACTTAGACTTTGGTTTCTCAAACTTCAACAATGAAGTAAACTATTATTTCAATGCTGCTGGAACTGCTTGGGACCCAGTTAAGTTCACATGCGAAAAATTTGAATGCAAGAGAATAGAAAGCAGACTTGCAGTCTATATGTTGGACCCAGATATTTCAAATGCTTTAGCTGCCAAATATATTGCAGTTCCACTTATGTTCCCTATACACCAAATATCTGTCAAAGACTTTGCAGGTGAAATTGGAAACCAAAATCCAGGAGCTGCAGGTGCAAGAACAGATATTGCTTTAACAACTGCAATGAAACATGCAGATACTATGTTTGTACTGTTCAGACGAACTATAAATGACTATTCTTGTTTCTACAACCCTGGTATTAAATATCATATAAACATAGATGGCAAATATTATCCAAGAGAAGAATATTCTACAGTTGAGGATATGAGGTCATACAACTTGACATTAGATGCTATGAACTTTAATAACAACTTCACAACAACCATTAACCCTGAAATGCAAAGTTCTATTATGCCATATGTGAAAGTATGGACTCATACAGGAGGTCAAAAAACTCAATATACAAATGGAGACCGTTCAAACTTTTGGCTTGGCATTCCATTTGCTGACTCAGAAGACTTTATGGGTGGTATTTCAACTGTTGGTACTGTACAAATACAATATACTGGTGACAGAGACGGTCCAGATGAATTGAGAGCAAAGAAGTTTACAAAACCAATAGCACTTTTCACGGAAGATGCTCTTTTGAAGATTCGTTCGATGAAACCTGCTGGGGCTCCTCAGATTGGCATAACGACAGCTTCCATCGAGCAGATTTTGGCAGCAGGTCAGTAAGTTGTTCTTGAACTGACTTCTCTCCGTCAAATATTGACAGTACGCCAGTTTTGACATAATATTGTATTATAAACTTTCCTTTAGTAATATCGGTCAGTTTTGAAGTTATATTTTTGTCTGCTTCAAGAACTTTCACCATTTCAGTTATACCAACTTTCTTTGCTTTATGAAAATATTTAGGTTCAGCAAAGACTGCTATTCTATAACATTTTCCATTGTTTGTGTAAAGAACTATTCTGTCAATGTATTTGTATTGTTTGTGAGTATAAACTTTGTTCTGCTTCAATTCAATAAGATATCCGAATACGTCCATCTTTTTATTCTAAGTAAAATGTCATTTCCGAAAAATAGAAGCGTAAGTGTTTCAAAAGGTTTAATGGCGGTGGCAGATGTGAAGTTAAATTCACCAACTCAAACAAACAGTCAAAGTGTTGTTGTCAATGTCAAAGACAGAGATGTTGAAGTGGGGAAACCATACGAAGACGAAGATGGTATAACAATTGTTCCTGTAAAAAGAACCAACATATCCTGAAGTTAGCAGAGACTTAAGTTCTGTTGCAGATATTCGAAACGACTACCAACAACTGAAAGACAAACTTCAAACTCAGGAGAAGATTTGTCAAGCTTTAAGTATAATGTTAAACTTGGTCGAACACAACCCTGTAAAAGTGAACTCATATGTCATTGCACCTCATGAAGTTTTGAAAGAACTATTGAAACTTTTGACAGAGGCAGACGATATAAACATCAAAGAAATAGAACCCGACATTAGTTGCTGTGGTGTTTCATATAATGCCATTGACAAGATATACGTTATGAAAGGAGGTGAAACGTTGAACTTAAAATATAGTTTCCCAGACCTTATAAAAATATTTGACGACCACAACATTTCATTAAAGTTTATTTGCTAAGTAAATGGCAGAAGACATAATGGTTTATACTATTACGACTAAAAACCCTGAGTCATATAATTCTATAACAACAAACTTACAAAGTCCTCAAGGACGGTATTGTAAACTAACTTTAAACACAATGACGACTAAAGCCTGTTTTGCTCTTTTGACACCAGAAGACTTTATTGTTGTGAATGGTAAAAAATACTCCTTTGAAGATACTTACTCAGATATACCACCAACAGGTTTTGTTGACTTATTTAATACTTTAAGTACGGGTGTAACATGTGCTGCAACTAGAGCAGGTTTCATTATGTTTGGATGTCCGACTGAGTTTACTATAAACGATATGAGCTATAATACAAAACTTATTTCTGGTTTTTACTACCAACAGTTTCCTATAACAGGAAAAGGTGTCATACAAGGAATGTCTATTCCATTGACATTAAGCACACCAATCTTATATATTGTTTCAAACTTAGGTTCAAAGTGTTATTCGAATGTCGACAGAAACTACTATGACCAAAAGATACTCATGCGTATAAACAACACTTTCTCTGCTGGTTTGCCTATTGTTCATTCGAATGCAGAGTTTTCAGCTTTAGTGAACTCAAACACTTTAGCAAACATAAACTTAACCTTAGTTGACGCAAACTTTGTTCCTGTAAAACTTTTATGTCCTATGTATTTGTCAATGACGGCAGAAAGTTTCGAATTGGAAGATGCAACTGGTGAAAGTATTGTACTACAAGAACAACTTCAACAACAAATAGCTCAAGAACAACAAATGCAACAAATGGAACAAATGCAACAACAAGCTCAAGAATAAAAAAATATTTTTTTTTATTTTTTATAAAAAATGTACAGAATAGACGTTTCAGATTTTTATGACTTCCAAGCCTTCAGAAATATGTGTCCATTTAGAGACTATAACAAAGCAGTCGAGAATTTGAAACGTTTAGTCATTTATGTTGACTCTGCCCCAGAATGTTATGTCATGAAAGAATGGGATGTTGTCTTTAACAAACCAAGAGCAACAATAGTTTCAGAACAAGAATGTAGACAGAAACTTAAGAAAATAAAAGTCGTACAAGTTGGCATGAAGATGTTAGATGCTTGGGATATCTTATTGTCAAAACTTGAAGATTTTTCAGTTCGTGGTATAAAGTTCTATACACCTTCTCCAAACTTCTATTCTATCTTCACTGGATATAAATACGAACAAGTAGAATGGAAAGAAAATGTTATAGAAGCTTGGTTAGACCATGTCAAAGAAATTATATGCAATGGAAACGAAAAGGTTTATGAGTATATCTTATGTTGGTTTGCAAACATCTTACAACATCCAAGTGCTAAAAATGAAACTGCTCTCATTATAATTGGAAAACAAGGAACTGGTAAGAATACTTTCTTTACAGATATTTTGTGCAAACTGTTAGAAGGTTATTCGAATCCGAATATGACAAACTTAGAAAACATCTGCGGTAAATTTAACTCTTCAATTGAGAATATGAAACTTATAGTTTGCAATGAACTTCAAAGTATAGATACAACAAAAGTTTTGAACTCAGATGCTTTGAAGAGTCTTATAACAGACAAAGTTGGAGTTGTTGAAAGAAAGTATAAAGACCAAAGAGTTTGTGAAAATGTTGCAAACTTCATTATGGTTTCAAACAATGCTGTTCCGATGAAGTTAGAAAGTTCTGACAGAAGATATGTAGTTGTCAGAACGTCAGATTCTCATATGCAAGATACAGAATATTTTGACGACTTAGCAGAAACTTTGACATCTGACTTTTACAACCACTTGTTCTCATATTTCATGACATTAGATATTTCTAAGTTCAATCCAAGACAAATTCCACATACCGAAGAGAGACAAACATTGTTAGAAGCAAACAAGAGTGTATATGAACTGTTCAATAGAAGAAAGCGACTTTGAGTGTTTAGATGAAAGGTCATTGTACGATTCGTATAAACAATATTGTCAAGAAATTGGTTATATGGCAGCTTCTAAACGTACATTCTTGGCAAATGTCAAAAGTCTTTTAGATGTTCAGAATGGTGTATATACAAAGAAAATTTTTTCTGAGTAAATTTAAAAAAAAAATATTTTTTTATCCGATAGAAAAAGATGACGAAATATATTTCAGTAAACAAGTACATGTCAGGACTTAAAGAAGAACTAGACCCATTCACATATTTGAATGTTTACTTCTACCATTTTGAAAAGTCTTCATTCAGCAAAGTTTGGAACATCGAACCAGTTAAGTTTGCTATTGTGACTAAAAATGGTGCGAAATTTGAAGACTTAGACATAGAAGGTTTGTTAACAGTCAAAGAAAGTTTTGACAGAAGGTTCTCAAACCTTAAGGAAGGCAAAGCATACAAACTTGTTATACCTTATGAACCAAAGAAGACAGACGACTATGAATATTATGAGTCTAAAGTTGTAGAAGTTCAAGGTAAATTGGGTAAAAAGATTTTAGAGTCTAAGCCAGTGTTTACTCCTAAAGAGGAAGAGAACATTGACATTGACCCAGAAATGTTCTAAAAATAAAATTTTATTTTTACATGTCAAATTTCTTTTTCTCTGGAACTGGTTCAGGTTCTTTCTTCTCTTCTTCTACTTTCTTTTCTTTCTTTTCTCTCTTCTTCTTTTCTGGTGGAGTTATGTCAAATTTGGCGCAACTATATTTATGTAAAAGTTCTTTGTCCTTTAATAGCTCATCTATTCTGTTTTCTATTTCATCTTCAAGAACAGCGCATGTGTCTTCTTTGCATTCTAAGAACTTTTGTTGGACTTCATCTTTCCAATCGGCGTCATCTCTGTCAACAAGTCTGTCATTGACAAATTTTAAGACTGCTCTTTGTTTTTATGGTTCTTGTCATATTCCCAGAAACAGAACTTTAGAACAAATTCACCTTTCTTGTTTACACTATGTAAGATTTTATGGTCGACAGATGTTTTGCTGTCAAAAGTTTGTCTCGAATATAGATAGCGAAATCGCTAGACATTTTCTAAAAGATAAAAATTTTAATTTTTCTAAAAATATGTTAGAAAAAAGTTTGCTGACATTGACAAGAAATTTGAGAATGTTTTAAACAAGAACAAGAGGAAGTTAGAAAATGCTCAGATAAAGCCTATACATGACAAGTTCTTATTTGCTCAGAATGGTATAACAGGTCTAATTGCACCACCTGGGTCGGGTAAGACTTTCACTTATCTTAAAATGGCTGCACAACAACAAGAACTAGATGAGAAGAACCCATTCTATGAGTTAGTTGTTATTTGTAGTACTTCTGGTTAATTTGACCAAACCGTCAATTCGTTCAAAGATATTATAAAGAAGTCTAAGTTAGTATGTATAAAAGACTCTGAGTTGTTAGATTGGATAAAGAAGTACCAAAGAAGAGTTTTGAAGTATAATGCTATAAATGAGTATATAAATTCTAAGTTTAAAGACCCAAATGAGGAAATGCAGAGAATATTAGAGAAGAAACACTTCAGAAACAAACAGAAAGAGATAGAATACATTTCGAAGAAATTGCAATCTTACGATTGGAAGACTTACCCTCATAGATGTCTTCTTATCTTAGATGACTTTGCTTCTCATCCTTTGTTAAAGAACAGAGAACAAGATATGTGTCGAATTCTTAAGAAGCTCAGACACTTTAACATCTCAGTTGTCATTTGTGTACAGACAGCAAAGAGTTTAAGTAAGGATGTTAAAAGAATACTTACTGACATAATACTTTTCCCTGGATTGTCCGAAGACGATTTCATGGAACTTATGAAAGAGTCCATGGCAGGTAAGTTTGACAGACATGAACTATGGGAGAAGTACAAAGTCATACAAGACCCTCATACTTCTTTCAGAATTCATATCTACGCAAACAAAGTTCAAATTGTAAAAAGTCAATAAAAATAAATGGTTCATCTACCCTACTTGTTTGAAGTTGTCAAAATACTCTGTTATTTTTTCTTTCAGTAGCGGTAAGTCTTCTTTGAAGGTAAGTATTGTACAACCTTTCATATCATAGTGTGTTTGAGGTAACGTATCTTGAACTATTTGTTTCACATCTTTATTTGGGGTCATTGAAATCGGTAAGTTTTCGCGATAGAACCAATTTCTGTCAGATTTGTAAATCTTAGCAAGGTCATAAAAGCTTTTGTTGTTTCTTCTGACTAAATGCAACATAACCATATCTTTATCTTCTTGATTTTCCATCTCTTCAGTATAAATCATATACTTATAGTTCTTTTCCTTTCCTTTTGGTACCGAACGTGGTATTCTTTTCTGAATGCTTTTGTCTTTTGCTTCAAGCTTGTTTTCCATCTCTTCACGTTCTTGTCTATGAATTTCGTCAAGAAGTCTGTAAATATACCAAGCATAACGAGGCGAAGCCCACATTGCAACAGCATTTACAAGAAGTCTATGTACATAATATCCTCTCAAACCGTTTGGCAATTTTTCACGATTTTCATAGAGTTTTGGCGACTGGGGTTTTTCTCCCACTCGAGTTTTTGCGACTACGGGATTTCTCGTAGTCGAATTTTCAGCTTCATTTAATAGTTCAATAGTGCTTTGGTTCCTAAACCAGTCTTGTGGTTTCTTATTGTCGGGTGCAAAACATGCTGTCAAAATACTTTGCATTTGGTACATATCGTCTTTGACCGAACGAATGAGACGGAGTTGTTTGTTAAACTGAACCCACTCATATTCTTCATTTATAGCTTCATGGACTATAACTGTTGTTGTGTTCTCTGTTGTTGACATATCTGTCTTTACATACAAAATAAAAAAATAAATAAAAATAAAACTAACTTTATTTTTTCTATCTTAAGGAAATTCATGATTTTTGTGCTGAATTCAGCAAAAATATAATTTAGGTGAAGAGGTGAGATTTCACCTCTTTTTTCACCTCATTTCTACCCCAGTTATTTTATAAACGTTTCACATGGTAAACGTTATTTTTTAAATTTTGTGAAAACTCAACGGTTTGACACATGCCCTAAAAATTATTTTACTCAGAATTTTGTTGCTGAATTCAATAAAAATATATTTTAGGGTAGATGGTTAGATCTAACCCGATATCTACCCTCATTTCTACCCCAGTTATTTTATAAACGTTTCACATGGTAAACGTTATTTTTTAAATTTTGTGAAAACTCAACGGTTTGACACATGCCCTAAAAATTATTTTACTCAGAATTTTGTTGCTGAATTCAATAAAAATATATTTTAGGGTAGATGGTTAGATCTAACCCGATATCTACCCTCATTTCTACCCCAGTTATTTTATAAACGTTTCACATGGTAAACGTTATGAATTCGTGAGACTCTAAACAGTTTTGTAGCTTCTATTTCTTCTTTTAGTACATCGAATGTTTTACCAATGCCGAAAGTTTCTTTATACTTCTTCTTGACATCAGATAGAAAGAAATCGTCAGCAGTTGGATAGTTTTTGTTCAGAAATGCTAACATGTCCATTTTATTTTCTGCTGGTTTCTCTGCTTCTTTCTTTAAGTCAGCATAGTCGTTTCGCATACGTTCTATCTCTTTTACTGAATAGTTATATTTCCTAATTGCTGCTTTACATTTAGAACATTGCGGGTTCATTTTTGCGTTATATTCTGAAACCTTACCTGCTAAAACAACCAAGGCGTCAATGGTTTTCTTTAAATCTGAAGCAGTTGGTTTTATCTGTTCATTCCATACCTTACCTCTTCTATCTTTATCTCTTATCTGCAATACACATTTTGCAGCTAATGAAACAAAGTTGTCGTATGTCTTAAACTCCCCAGATTTATATATGTCAGAGATGTTCTTATATAACATGCCGCAATCTTTGTCCATAACTTTATGGTTGCATTGAAAACCAATGAATTCATAATTTACCTTTCGTATGAACTTCTTTATTTCTACTGAGTCAGTTGCTTTGACTTCAATTTCGTCGAATTCAGGAATAGTTAGTTTTTGCTGCTGAATTTCAGGTAGTTTAGGCAAATGGTCGATGAGGTCCTCCATTTCATAAAGATACTGTTCATTTGTTTCATCGTTCGCACTACAGTCTAAATTACTTGTTAAAAGTTCCTGCTTTATTCTTTGTATTTCTGTTTCGAAAGTAAATGAAGAAGGAATGAAGCTTTTCATTTCTACTAACATAGATGTTGGATTCATGACTAACGAGTTTGGTGCTGTTGTTTGAATTGTTGTTGTGCCGATTGTTGAAATCATATCTTACATACAAAATAAAAAAATAAATAAAAATAAAACTAACTTTATTTTTTCTATCTTAAGGAAATTCATGAAAATTCATGAGGGTAGAAATGAGGGTAGAAATCGGGTTAGATCTAACCATCTACCCTAAACATTATTTTTGCTGAATTCAGCAACAAAATGAACGAGGTCAGGATGTATGTAAATACCTTTGAATTCATTTATAACGCCCTTAGTAAGCTCATAAAATGCTTGTTTTGAGGTCGAGCCACTTTTGGCTCCACCGTATTCTTTCAACCAAAACTCAAGAATTTCCTGCATGAATTTTGTATAAAAAGCAACAGTCCGAATTCCGGCGGTTGCTATATTCTTCACAAAATGCCTTATAATACTCTTCCCAGGACTTATTTTCCAACAACTTTCTAAAGTCTTTCCTAAACTGACTGACTGACTGACTGACGGCACAAAGTGGCTTAACGAAAACATTAATATATAAAATTCATGAAAATTCAAGAGGGTAGAAATCGGGTTAGAAATGAGGTTAGATCTAACCTCTTCACCTAAATTATATTTTTGGTCCGGGAACAACTTTCTCTCAATTGGAGCTGTAGCATACTCTTTGCGTAAGCGGTTCAGACCTTCTTCGAAGTCTTGGTCTCTCTTGGACTGAGATTGGAATTGGAATTGTGGGGCAGGGTTTTGCATAAACATCCAAGGGTTGGGGAAGTAAGGCATAGGCTGAGGAGGGTAGTTCGGGAAGCCTTTTGGTGGGTAGTAACCTTGAGGTGGAAATTGGTAGTAATTCGGAGGTACTTGCTGGAACTGAGGTTGCTGAGGAGACTGTTGTGGTTCTTTAGGTTCCTCTGGTTTGGGAATGGACTCGGTTGGTGGGACGTCAGTCATCCGTTTGTGGCTTAACCGTCGGACCACAACGATAAAAATCTCTGCTACTAGCAGTACTTTTACTGACAGTAGCAGTACTTTTACTGACAGTAGCAGTACTTTTACTGACAGTAGCAGTACTTTTACTGACAGTAGCAGTACTTTATCGTCGAAAACCCTCTCAAATTTTCCTTTTTACTGACAGTAGCAGTACTTTTTCTGACAGTAGCAGTACTTTTACTGACAGTAGCAGTACTTTTTCTGACAGTAGCAGTACTTTTACTGACAGTAGCAATGGTCGAGGTCGAACCTACCGACGAGGCAATTTACCTAATTGAAATTAACGAGCTTGTTAAAGACTTCCTCAGGCAGAATGTAAAAGGCAAGCTTGTTAACGGTTGGATAACGGGAAGGGCTGCCTTGAATCTCGAGACTTCGACTGGAATTCCAATTGAGGTACCAGAAGGCACTCCTTTCGACGACATAAAGCAAGCAAAGAAAGAAGCCATTATAAAGTTCTTTGCCAAGCGTCCTTGGATACTACTTCCAAACAGAGAGAACCCTTTCCCAAGAATGAACCAAATTCTCAAGGGTCTCCTTCACTTCTCTGGTCAGCCGTTCTACATAACCTGTGAAGGCGACATCCAACCAGTTCAGTAAACATCTCATTTTAACTCACTTTTTTATGTTTTTTGTGAAAGTGTCAAAAATAAATTGTTTTCATGAGTTTTCTACGATGTTAGAAAAAATGTTATTTTCTAATATCTTCACATTCAATACTTTTTCAGCACTTTTCCGTAGTTATATATGAAAGACAATTCGAGATAAAAGTCATAGTACAATGGAATAATATGTTCACACCATTTGTTGTGAACCAAACTTGAAAGTCAGAGAAAACTGTTACTAGGTGGTTCGTAGAATTTAGAAGCAAAGTCATAAAGGTCCTTACCAATACATAGAAAACTATTGTTGCTTGAACTGAAACTTGCATGACACATAACATTTTGAGGGTCAAACACGTTTCTATAAACCATCAAATCTGCTGGTGGAAGTATAAATTTAAATGGACCATCTGGTGGTAATGGTTCGTTCTGGTTTAGTAACCGAAGAAATTGTGCCAAGAACGTTTGTCTACTTCCCAAAATAAAAACTCTGTATCTCTTGGAGGGTTAATTTCAATCTTTTGAAATGAAACGGTGGAGTTCATCTTGTCATATTCTAATTTCAGATAGTATGTTCTATTTAGTAAAGAGTCGTATTTTTTTTGAAATTCCCAATAATATTTGTTCATTTGAGTTTGAAAGTCATCTAGAGTTTTCTCAAGACTTTCGTCTGAACGAACTGTAAAGATTCTCATTTCGTCAAATTTGTCTATTAGACCATCAGAACCTTCATACTGCCCATGAAAATATACTGCGAACATAAATGCGTTAGTTCTATTTGAAAACAAAACTCTTCTAAATCCTATTGCCTTTGCATCTGAAGGACTTTGAAGCCAACGAATTGGATAGTCAAACCTGTATGCTCGGGATGAAATTTCTTCATCTGAAATAGTCCTACCAGCATTTGTAGATATAGTCTAACGGTTTTGTATCTGCTACTTTTGTTCTTTGTTTTTCAACCTGAAGCATTTAATATATGTAAAAATATATTGTTTTAAAATGGTATGCCATATAGCTTCTTGAATTTGTTAAGAAGTATTTGAACGTATTTTCCATCTGTATCTCTAGTGTTTACATAAGCATAGCCCGCCTTAGTAAAATATACTTGTAATTTCCTATAGTTTACGCCGGTATAAAAGTAGAAAGAGTCTTGTTCTTCGCTATAGTAGTAAAACTCAAACGTATGCTTGCCATAGTCTGTAATTTCAATTGTTTCATCTTCTAGTTCGTCGACAAATTCGAATACAATATCTCCAAATTTGCCTTTGTTCTTATTGTTTTCAGAACGAGTGACCCAACGTAAGTTTTCAAGTCTATTGTCGTTTCTTATATGGTTTATATGGTCTACAAAAGGTAAATTGTTAGGATTCAGTATAAAATGAGTTGCAATGACAACATGTTTAAGATAGTGTTTTCCACTCATCTTCATAATAGCATATCCGTCATTTCGCTCCATTCGCTTAAAAACTCTTTTTTCTTTTTGTTTCTGACTTCAAATGACTCACACAGTGAATTTCATATTTCATCTAACAAACAAGTTTCCAACGGTCTTTCTCCAACAACTCAGCGTACATTTCAAATAAAATAAAAAAATGTCACTTTTTTAAAAATAAATTTTTTATTTCATGCAATGTTTTATTTCTGTGCCGTCTTCAAGTATGCCCCAATATTTCCTTTTCGATATTACATGAACTTCGGAAAATACCTTATCTAGCTTAAAACAGCCCATCTTTTCACCGACCATTCCCATTTCAATGAGTTTGTTGTATCCTTCTTCGTTCGTCATGAGTGCGTCAATGTTCTCATAGTAAACCTTCACTTGGATTTGACTTCGGAGAAGAATTTGTTGTAGTTGTCAAGGACTGCCTTTGCGAACTGAGGGTAAGACCAATGTTCGACAATAGGTTTTAATGTGGTTTACTAAGCTACTTTGACCTTGAATGAATTCGTACTTCAAAACAAAAGGAGAAAACCTTTCAACAAAGTTGTCGACCTTCTTATAATGTTTACTCTTCATCTCTTGAGGTTTCTTAATGGAATATCCCCATGTCGAATTCATAAGCAATTTGAGTGTCATTGCAAGTTTGGGGTTTGAAGCTTTCCTAATATCATACAGTTGTTGTATGACTTTTCCAACTGTATAGTTCCTTCCCGGGAACTCACCATCTTCGTTTGGAATTCCAGTCGGAATATATTGGACAAACCTCATGTATGCAGCGTTAAGGTCGACATAGTATATCTTTTCATCTGAGTCGAACTTGTCGCAACCAATTGGTCCAGTTTGTGGAAATTCAAGTGAGTCTCTTATCTTCTGAGAAACTTCTTCCTGTTATCTCATAAACATCGTCGAAGCAACCTGTTTCATATAAAACCTTCTGACCTAACTCAGATGCTCTCCAATACAATTTGACGTCAATTGGATGTCTCAATGGAAGTTTGTTTATAGCATCTTGAAGTTCTTGCAACCTCATTGGAAGTTCTTCTGGTTCAGGTTGGTATCCGAACATACCAACCCCTTGTGGAACTGTGTACTTCTTTTGTACTAGAACTTTGTCTGGAACAACTTTTGGTCTTGCTAACAATGAAAAGTTTGTTTCGTCTTTTGGTACAAAAGTTTCTGTCAGCTTGTCATCTGGAATTGGTTCCAACAAACCTTTCTCGAAAAGAATGTTTACAGCTCTGACAATGTTGCACTTACTTTTACCAAAGAATGGGTTTGAAAGACTTTCGTTCAACATGAAGTGGTTGTGGACAATTACAATCTTCAACCATGGTAAGTCTTTGTCAACAACATAGTCGTCATGTGAAGAACCTTTAGCTGTAGGTATGTTGACTCGGATATTGACATTTGCCAACGGTGCAATTTTTGCCAATTGACCTCTGAGAATGTACCTTGTCTTCACGCATGACTCAAGATACTTCATCTTCTCATCTGTAACAAGACCAGAGTTCCTGAGACATGTAAGAATGCAAGGTTCATTGACAATTGTTTCAATTGAATTGTAAATTCCATACCTTGTCAAGTCAATGTCAGACTTATTTATGAAGGGGAAGTATCCAGCATGTTGTCTGACTGCTTGAGGGTTAGGTTGGTACCATTCGAACTTGACACTTGCAATTCCTTCAATTGCATTCAAAATGTTTGAGTCGGAGTTAACCATTTGTTCTCTCTTTGTAGTCTTGAAAGCGTCAAGAAGTTTTGCGGTTGTTTGTTCATTGCCATGTGCATAGTAAATGTGACCATCCAAATCTGTTATGGTCAATCTGAGATTGTGTCCTTTCTTATTTCCGTCTTGTATGGCAGCAAGTACACCCATGAAGCCTTCTTTGTTCTTTCCTTCGTCAAAGTTTACTGTAAAGGTTCGACCAGATGTAATTTGACTTCTAACTTCACGATACTTTTCATATGCATATCTTGTTCTTTCCATGGGAGCATGTGCGTCTTCACCTTTTCCTTTTTTCCTTCTCAAAGGATGCAATTGTTCGTCATGTTTCCAGTAGAATCTGGCAAAGCCGTCGTGTCCTTCAACTTGAGGTTCACTAACATCGAAAGGCATGTCCATAAGACGTTCTTCTTCTAACCTCTCTAGTCTGTTTGGATAATTGGCACGTGCTGTTTCCAAATCCATTTCGTAGCGAAGACCAGACAATTTGTCATAGACTTTTATGGGTCTTCCCTTCCTATATTTAAAATTCTTCGAAACTCTCCAACCATATCTTTGTAACTCTGCTTTTATTCTAGCAGACTTTCTATCCATTCTATATGGGGGCATTTTTATAAAAATAAAAAAATATTTTTTCTTTACTTTACATAACCGCCTGCTGCCATAAGTCTTTGACGCCAACCCATACCAGCTAATGAAGGTTGACTTGGTTTAGTTTCCAAACTAAACTTTGGTTTTGGTTTATCTTCAGTTTTTGGTTTTTCTTCTTCTATCGGTTTTTCGTCACTTTTCGGTTCCTCTGACTTTACTTCACTTGCAGGAACAGTTGTGTCGTCAACATCTTCATAAATATCATATGCCATTTGTTTTTGTTTTCCTTTCAACTTTTTGTGTTTGTTGTAAAGTTTAGAATATTTCGACTCTAAGTCAATGAGATGTTCTATAATGAACTGTTGGTCAGTGAAGTAAACTTTTCCATCTGTTGTCTCGAAAGCTCCTTCAGACTTCAATATTTTATTTGTGAGAGTCTGTTTCTTTTTTGAGATACTAGCCGTTCCATTTCTATGAAAAGTGACTTTATAGTTAGGGTTTGTATTTCCAGACCTGGCACTTTCTATTATTGAATTTTTCTCTTCATCTGTAAGTTCTTTGACAGGTTTTGACAATGGTTCTTGAACTTTTTGTTTGTGGTGTCAAATCTACCGTTTCAACTTCTTCGGTCATTTCATCTCAGTAAAAAATTTTAGTTTGGTTTGTTTTCAACTGGTTGTTTAGGTTTTTTAAGTCGGTCTAAAACTTCCTGAGGTATAGGAAGAACTTTACAAACACGTGGTGTAAATGCTGGAAGCCGACAAATCCATCTTGAACTCATTTGTCTCAATGCTGATTGTTCATTTCATCTCAATAAAAATTTACATTCCCACGTTTGAGCGGTTGAGGTTGGTTGTTGTTTACCCACTGTTGTGCATGGTTATATCCTCTGTTAAAGAATCTTTCACCTTGGTCCATATAGTGTCCTGCTTGGTTTAGTAGTCATTTGCTTTGTTATAATAGTTTCCTGCTTGTCTTCCTACATTGTCCATCCATCCTTGAACTTTTCCTCTTGTTTCAGGATTTGGAATAAGATTTGTTGCATCTCGTGCTACATCCCAACCTTTCTGTACAGTTTTGTATATAGGTTGTGCTTTCTCTTTAAGTATACCTAATGTACTCAAATCTTCCTTCCAACTCCAAATACACCTCTGGCTATTGTTCCCACTGCGGGTAAAAATCTGGATGCAACTCCTGCTAATGCGCCAAATAAACCCATTTTTATAGGGTAAAAAATGACGAATCCAAAAAGGACCCCTATGTTTCTAAAGCGACAAAGAAAGCACTCATGATAAAAATCTTTAGTTCAACACCAAATGCTTGGTTTATGGATATCTTGGAAAACATTCCGAGAGTTAGAACAGATGGACCTCCATACTGGTTAATATTTGTTGGTCAAAACGCAAGATACTGTGAAGCCATACCATTATGGTCCAAAAATATTTTAGATGTGAAAACTGCTTTGACAATATTCGTTGACAAATACCATCCAACAAAACTGACATCTGACTGTGAAAGTTCTTTCAAATCAGATGATGTAAAAAACTATCTGCGTTCAAAAAATGTAAATCAATATTTCATTGTCGACCAAAACCATTCTGCTCTTGGTGTCATTGACGGATGTATAAAAATGTTAAGAGACTTAAACCAACCACAAGGTGGTGAAGCAAATGAAATGTCATATGACGACAAATATAGACACTTCTCCATGGCAAAGATGAGACAAGTTTTAAATATTTACAATAACCGTAAACAAAAAGGTTTGGGAAACCACTCCCCGAAGAAATGAAAAACAACCCTGACTTAGAGAAAGACTATATATTTAATAATTTAGTCAAAAGAGACAAACAAGAAAGAATGCCGGGCTTCAAACTTCAGAAAGGTGACAAAGTAAAAATAGAAATACCTAAACGCGACCCATATGAAAATACTATTGACTATGACAACAATGGAACTCGACAGGTACTCACATTCGTGTTCGTAAAAAATAGAAGAAAGTATACAAGAGAATATTATGAAGTTTTAGGCAAACATGGCAAAATGTACAGACTGCAAGCAGAAGATAAAACTACTATTGCCAGACCTCGTTTCAAACTTGTCAAAGTTCAAGGTGGTATACTTTCAAAGACAGTTCCTAACAAATATAAGACAACTCCTGACGAATATGCTAAAGAAGTTGAAAATGACGACTAAGCAATTCTATACCATGCGTAAACTGTCATGTAAGGTGGCATGTATTCTTTACTTTGTCCCGTTGTTTGCGTATATCCTGAAACGAAATGTGTATGGTTTCCTTCTCCCTGAGTGTCACTCCAGTAACAATTTATAGCAAACTTAACGTCGTCTTTAACATCATATCCTTTACCTTTTGTCATTCCTGACCAATCCCAATATCTATGCTTATGCCAACCTGCTTGAGATGTACTTAAATCTATGGAATGACTGTGTGCAGGTAAATTTTCACCTGAAATCGTTTTACTTCCACCTGTTTCCTTTGAAGAGTTTGCACAATACAAAAACCTGTCGACTATTTGTTCCCATGCACCAACACCAAACATTACTTGAGGACCTCTTGCTTCCATAGATGTATAAATAGAACCTACTGGGTTCATTAAATCAAACATATGAGATATTATAGGATTGTCTCTTTTGAACTTAAAATATAGTGCAACTATTTCAGGTTTCTTCTGGTTTGTGTCAGAATATTTTTTATAATATAATCTTATGTTTTCAGGGTAGGTAAAATCTTGACTATAATATTTATTTCTGTCATCTGTATAATAATATACTATTCTCGTTTTTTCTATTGCATTATATCTTTTATATCTATAATAATCTAAATATAATGTTAGCTTTTGTTCATCTACATGTGGTGTTCTGTCGTCATCTCCATAGTCATAATAATGTGGTGCTGGAGCTGGGTCAGGCAATGTCATATCTGCCATTTCATAAACTCTTAAATATTTCTTTTGTTCGTCTCCATATAAGTTTAAGTAGCAGTTGTTGTCTAATGGAACTTTAACTTGTGTACCATCATTCTTTTTATAGCTTACATACATTTCATTGTTATTTTTCGGAATGAGTTTATTCCGTGTACCATTTTTAAGGACTGTACCAACTGCCATCTAAAATATTTATTTTCTTCATTGACAGAAAAGTCACCAACAATAGTTTCAATATTTTTTGTTCCTATCAAACTTTGGTATATTTCATTGACATATGTTTTATCTGCTTTATTTTCAAGGCTAACGTTTAAGTTTGTTATTTCAGAAGATGTATGTGTATGTCCAACGTCACTTTTACTGTTTATGGTTTCTTGTAAGTTTGTAATATCAGATATAGAATGTGTATGAGTCTTATCTGCTTTTGTCTCTAATGTTTCCTTAAGACTTGGTATTTGGTTAATATAATGTATATGAGTCTTTTTAGAATATTCGTTTTCAGCTCTTGTCACTTCACTTGACATTTTATTGTCAACATATGTTTTGTCTGCTAGTTCAGGATGAGTATGTTCTTTTGTTGCATAAGCATTGTTAGCTCTTTCTTCTTCTTTTGCTATTGCATCGTCTACATATTCTTTGTCAGCTTTGTTGTCAACATCTGCTTTCAAAAGAAGTTCATTTATAGGTTTCTCGTTTAAAGTTCCTTTTGTTGGATTTATACAGACAGTATGGTTCTTATTGTCTTGAAACAGAAACTCATCTGTCATTGGGTTTATTGTCAGTTTTAAGTCACCCCCTTTCAATGACTCAGATATCTTAGAATAGTTTGAAAAGTTTGTTGTGTTCTTATTTAGAGCTTGCATAATGAGTTGTCGGTTGTGTTGTATTTCTCTCATAGACGCTGTTTCATTTGACATTTTTATTATAGATAAAATATGCTTCCAATAGAAAAAGAAAATTCTAGAGTTGCTACAACTAAACCATTAGATGAACTTTTTACTAATGTCGGTCAAAAGTTTGAGACAGATACCGTAAAGCATGAAGGCTATCGTTTTGACTACCCATTAAGATGGTTAAGAGACCCATCCGTCACAAAAGCTATTGGCTTTCGTAGAATGAAGTTCATTTCAGAAGCCATACATGGTTTCCCATTTACGGTCGGTTTTGAAGTTCGATACTATAACAAAGAAAAACGTATGTATGAGAAATTTGAACAAGGAAAACTTTTACAAGTTAATTTGCTTATAAACTTAGAAACAACTCTTCAAGCTTTTCAAGAAAAAATAAACGATATCTATATTGAATATGCAAACCAGTATAACATTGACGAAGGAGAATACCATCTCGATATTATTTATGACAGGAAAAATGCAACTGTTAAAATCAATAAAATAGAAGACCTTGGAGAAAACGTTTATATTTCTACAAAATATAACAACTTGGCATGGTATAGATTTATGAGGATGTTAAATCAGCCTGCAGCATATCCAGTACACCCGGACTATTATGAAGTCGAAAACCCTAATGGAACATATGAAAATATTTTCGACCCAGATGCTATTATTGTTCATGCTTCATTTTCTGGCGCCCAAAACTCTTTCTTATGCTTGGCAAATGACTTTTACGAAAAACCTACAAAGTTATACGAACCACCAAGTGGAAGTATTTCAGACTTTCAAGTATGGTTTACTACAGATGGAAGAAAGAGAATAATTCCATTATACCACGCGTTTTACTTAGAACTTAGTTTCATATACAACTACTATCGAACGATAAAAATATAATTTTTTAATACGGTTGAGGTGTTGGATTTGGTTGCCAACTTGACTGTGGTGCAGGTTCAGGCTGTTGTATTACAGGAGCTTGTTCTTCTGGTTCAGGGTCTTTAGGTATAATACCAACAAACTGACCTACTCTTTTACCAATATTTTTGACACCGTTCCATACTCCTCTTCCGACAGATTTTATTCCATTCCATATACCTCTTCCAACATTTCGAAAGAAGTTTCCAATACTACTGAAGAAACCCATTTTACTATATGTAAAAATCTAATGTCCGCCTAGTCTCTTACGTTTCCTGTTGAGTTCCATAGCATTCTTTAACTGGAGCTCATACATTCTGTTTCTCCTCTGGTAGAAAACATATTCTGGGTCAACTCCTGTGTTCGCGTCATCTGCATAAAGTTGTTTATATCCCACTTCAGGGTTTGTATAAAACTCTTTCCATCTCATATTTGCATACCATGGTGGCAAACCTAACGCAGCGTCATTTGACATGGCAGTTTGCATTTGTACATCTGTTGGCACTTGACCATAGTTTGCCATTGCAGTTTGTATTCTAACTTCATTTGGAATATTCTCTGGGTTTGGTTGTCCAGGTTGCTGTGCATTTGCTAAGTTCTGTGCGTCCATTTAATATTAGATAAAAATATCTCTTACGAGTACATATACTGAACATTTGCAGGCATTGGTTCATCTTCATATTCTCTGTACTTTTCTGCCACGTCAAATAAATAAATGACACAATGGAAAAAACCTAAAACAAGTAGTCCTATTTCAAACCACATTTACTTACTAATAAAATTTCTTTATTGTGACACTTTCTCCGGTTTATAGGACCTCTCTCATATTCTATCTTGTCATATATAAACTCATAGTCATGTATGTCCTCTAACCATCTCATAACGGTTTCCAAACCACTTTTATCGGATGTAAAGTAAAAGCATGGATGGTTATGTATAACGTCTAAAGTTTCTAAAGAGTCTCTCAAAGTCCAGTCTACTTGGTATTGAAAATCCCATGTGTTATAGAACGGCGGGTCCACTATAAAGAAAACATTTTCCTTGTCTTTATATTTTTCATACAACTCTGTCCAATGACATCTCACAAACTCTATACCCTCAATATATTTTTCTATGTCCTCTTTGAAAACATTTGTATAGTTAAGATATAAAACTTTTGACATAAGTGTTTCAATGTCATGAACTCTTATAGAACCACTATATAATAGTCTAGCAGATATACTATCCCAGTCTATATATTCTGCTTTTTTCAAAACCTCTCTCACAATATTTTTCTTATCTAATGGTATACGTTCCATCTTACCTATAGGTATCTTTTCTTTTAACTCTTTCAATATATTGTTTGTGTCTGGAATATGTTTGAGACGGTCCATATAGTTGTCGAAGTCATTGCATATAATCTTTGAGTCAGGAAATAGGGTATGACATAAATGGGATATATAGAAACTTCCACCGAACAAATCTACAAATGTTAGACCATTCGGTAGTTTCTTAAGTTGTCTCAATATAATATCTGTACATCTACTCTTATTTCCAAAGAACGGTAACGGCGGTTTTGTAAAATTCATTTATATATAATAATAAAAATGTTTTTACCCGAAAAGTGACAAAACATGAAAACATATATAATTTGTGAAAAGCGGCATAAAAAGTGACATTTTAAAAAGTGACACTATTAATATGATGTAAATAACAACGGTTTTGGTTTTGTCACCGGTTGGTGGGCTGGGGTTCGGTCCTCCTCTTGGGTCTTGGGCAAAATTTCTTATGGGCTAGAGGGCGCAACGCGCCTGGAAGCCCCACTACTTTTTTTAATAGGGTTGTACAAACTGGCACGCCTGCTGGCACACCTTTTTTGGCCAGCTGGCACGCTTTTTTTAAAAAACACATTAAAAAAGTCACTTTTTGCCCCATCTAATGAGATTTTTTTTACAATTTTTTTCCCTTATTTTTCAATTTAGATATGATTTTAAGCTCTCCAAATTGAAGTTTACCTGATGTTTCTTAGTTTTTATGATAATAAAATGTTGCAAAGTTGAGTTTGGATTCAATAAATTTAAGAAAATTTTTACAATAATAATTCTCTTAAATAGAGATCATAATGAAATTTATTACAAATTTTATCTAGATAATCTCTTAATATTTTTTTGAGGGGAATTATCTTCCAATAATTTTGGAGGAATAGAAAATATGACTAGATTAGAAAAAATGCTACCTACATATGATATTGCAATAAACGATTCAAATGAATGATTCCATAACAGCGTTTTAATGGCAATTTGAAATGTCAAATGAAAATTTAAAAAGCTTATTAAACTACCTTCATAAATGAGTATATAGATGAAATTATGAATAAATGAAGTTTATTGAAGATGATATGTATAGTTCTTCTTTTCAAAAATATTGATCAAAGTTGTTATTCAAAAGACGGGAAAATACTCAAAAAGGTCAAAGATCCATCACCCAATCTCATAATATCAGCTAAATGCGAAGTAATTAAAAGTGAGTGTTTTTATAAATTAAAAACTTTGATTACATTCGCATTTGAAGAAAATTCGAACTTGACAAAGATTGAGTCTTGGTGTTTTTTTAAATGCACAAATTTAACGATTATTAATTTATCAACATGTAATAAACTCACAACTATAGAAGATTATGCGTTTCACTCTTGCTACAATATCTCTAAAATTCTTTTGCCAATGGGACTTCTTAAAATACATAATCAAGCTTGTGTAGAGAATAGATTAGCGAAAAGTATTACAATCCCAGTTACTTTGAAAAAAATAGGTGAATATGCATTTAGTGGCTGTGAGAAGCTAGAAGAAGTTATATTTGAAGCTGGATCAAATTTGATGGTACCAAGGTGGTACCAATATTACTTCGTTCCAAATTCCAGAGAATGTTAATAAAATCTATGGATATGCATTTGATGTTACTCGAATTAAAAATCTTACAATTCATCCTAACAATAAGAACTTAATTTTTGAGAATGACATTATTTTTTCAGCAAATAAAAGTGTTATATTCTTCTTTTACAAAAAGCCTTTCGAAACATATGACTTTCCTTCTTCAGTTACAACCATCGGAGATTATTGCTTTTCTGATACAAATCTTATATCAATTAAAATTCCTGAAAGTGTTAAGCGTATCGAACAAGCAGCCTTCATTGGATGTGACTGTAATATTTTCAAAATCAAATTCACTTGTGAAATTATCAATTAATTCATTTTTAGGATGTGATTCGCTTCAAAATATAAGTAATTTTGAGTCGGATAAATATAAGTGTATCGATAATACTCTTTATTATAAAAATGAAACAGGGAATTGTCTCAGTTATCATCTCAATCGTTCATTAGATCGAACTCTTATAATCAACTGCAATGTTATTTGCAGTTACTCATTCAATGAATGTAACAACATATATAACATCAGTATTGTTTCAAGCAGTGTTTCATTGATCGAAAAACATTCATTCAACAACTGTTTAAATCTTCAACACATCAACTTCCCTCTCTCTGTTGAAACTATAGAACCACTTTCTTTCAATGAATGTCGTTCAATTCGATGTCCTCTTATTATTGAGAACACAACTCTTGAATATGTTAAAATGATCATTGAATCAGGTATTCCACGAAGACTTATTATTTCATGCCATGTTATTCATGGATCGAACAAACTTGAATCACTTCGAAGAATTTGTAATAAATCAATCAAGCTCTTTTGGAAATATCTTACTAAATAAATATCTTCTTTATTTTAGATATTTTGAGAAATGGAAAATGTTGATTTTTTAGCAGGTCCAATTTGGCATTTTTTATAAAATTTGAAGTTAAATGACATCTTTTCAAAAACCTACAATCAAAATCATTGAGAATTTTACTGATATGAAGCCTTTTAAATGCTTAGAGTACCCGAATCAAGTTTCAAAAATAATTTGGGAGATCAATTCCAACAATATCTTGCAATCATCAACAGAAATAATAGACTACATTAAATCTAATAAAATATCAGTACAATTGACACTTCATCTGATTAGTGCTGTTTCAGAAATTCGAATTAAAGAAATTTCATTATTTGCTGAGGTTTATCAAAAGATTTTGAATGAATTTGCATGCATGATAATACCTACAAATAAAAGATTGGCAGCTCTATTATTCTATAAAGATGTCAATTTTCCAAATTACAAACCCAAATATGATTTAGAAAGTTTAATCAATATATTTTCAAAAGAATCGCCATTATATTACATTGCATGGGATAAAGTTGACGAACTCAAGAGTCGATATCCAAATCTTAATGTCAACATGAAAATTAGGAATGATTATGTTCCAACCCAACCTTTTACTTTCATTGACTGTGCATGCAGATTCGGATCAGAGTTATGTTTCAATTACTTAAAGAACAGTGGAGCTGAATATACTGAGTATACACCATGGTATGCAATTCAAGGCGGAAATGAAAACATTATTTCTCAAATGATAGATGAAGGCATAACTTTTGATGATTTAATTCAAGCAGCATTAGAATGTCATCATTTTGAAATTGCTGATTACCTTAATTCAAATCTTGAACAAGTTCCAATATCAGTAGAAGGAAATCTATATTTTGGAAATTTTGGAGTTGCTTCATATTTACTTGCTAATGGTGCTGATTTAAGTGATCGAGCATTTCTTCTTTTTGTTGTGTTCATCATTGTTTTTTGAAATTTTTCTTCTTCTTATATTCATTTTCATTTTATCATATTCTCTTTCTATTAATATTAATCATTTTTTAATGGAATTCTTATTATTTGCATCCTGGAATTTATTTTCTTTTTATATTGTTTATTGTTTCATATAACTTCCTATCACTTTATATCAATTTTTGTTTAATTCAATTCTCTTCTTTTTCATATTTATCATGGATTTATGAAATTCTATTGCATTTTATAAAGCAATGCATATTCAATTTCTTTTCACATTTATCATTACAGGATGTTTATCTTTTTACACCATGAGACCTCTTTCATTTGCAATCAAATATGATTATATGGAATTAGCTAGTTACATGGTTGAACATGGTGCTGATGTTAATATACGTAATTTTCAATTTTATTTCATATATATTGATGTTTTATTATTTTCTCCTTCTTTCCATATTGATCATTTTTTCATAACATTCTATTTCTTTTCAAGTCAATCTTAGAATTAAAACATTTTCTATCCTTTAATTTTTCTCATTATTATATGGCATTCTCTATTTTTTCATGTCTATTATTAATTTTATTGGATTCAATATATTCTCGTGTCTTTCATTGTTTTATTATATCCTTTTGATCTTTATTCTTCTCCACTTTACATTGCAATAGAACAGAATTCATTGGAAAAAGTCAAATTCCTAGTTGAACATGGTGCTAATGTCAATCAGGCATATTTTCCTTATCTTTTCATTTCTTTCTTTGTTTTATCAAATTTTATATCTTTTCACATCCATCATTGTCTTATTATATTATTCTTCTTTTCAAATCTTTATTTGTTTAATCACATTCCCATTATTTTCATATTTATCTTTGTTTTATCCTATTCTCAATCTTTTTTATATCGATCATTATTTAATTTCATTCTTTTTCTTGTCACATCGATCCTTGTTTTATAGCATTCGTAATTGTTTTATAACATTCATAGTTGTTTTACGACATTACATTTCTTTTTATATCTTTTTTTTTGTTTGATCCTATTCTCTTTCTTTTTTTATATCTCATAATTTTATGATATTCTCTTTCTTTGAATATCTTATCTAGTTTTATGATATTCTCTTTCCTTCAATATCTATCATTTTTATATGAAATTCTCTTACTATTAACGTTATCCAACATTGATTTATAGAATTCCCTTTTTATTAATATCCATCATTGTTTCATCACATTTTATTTCTTTTAATTTTTATCAATGATTCATGAAATTCTTTTAATAATAATGATTTTCCACTTCATATTGCAATTAGGAATAATTCACTAGAAATAGTCAAATATTTAGTTGAAAATGGTGCTAATGTCAATATTATGTCATTTCTATATATATTCATATCTTTCTTAGTTTCATTCAGTGTTTCAGAAAGGTTTGAATTCCGCACTCACATTTGCAATGAGACAGAATTCAATGGAAATCGCCGACTATCTGGTTAAGCATGGTGCCAAAGTAAATTATCTACACCCAATCAAAACTGCAATTAAGTTGAATTCTTTAGTTTGGGTCAAATACATTTCTGAACATGGTGCTGACCTCAACATTTTATTTAATAAGCTTCTTTTTTATTTCATAACATTCTTAGTTTTATCATATTTTCTTTAATTTCATTTCTTTCTTTGTTATATAGGATTCTTTTTCTTTTCAGATATATCTTTGTTACATAATATTCTCTGTCTATTAATATTCAACAATGTTTCATGATATTCTTTTAGTCATAATGAAACTGTGCTCACTTATGCAATTAAACGCAAATCACTTGATATTGTTAAATACTTAGTAGAACATGGTGCAAATGTTAATCAGAAGTTAATTCTCTTGCTTTTAATGTATACTATTGTTTTATTTCATCGCTCTTCATTTCATCGTGTTCTCTATCTATGAAGATTTATCATTGATTCATCGCATTCTAACTCTTTTAATATCTATCATTGATTTATCCAATTCTATTTCTTCTTATATTTATAATTGGTTAATGACATTCTCTCTAATTTCATATTTTGCATTGCTTTATTATGTTCTTTTCCTTTTCAAATCTTCCTTTGTTTTTTAGCATTCTATTTGATTCCATGTCTATCAATATTTTTCACTGTTCTTTTTCCTTTGATATTTTTTATTATTTAATGTCATTCTCTTTCTTTTCATATTTTTCTTTGTTTGATATAGTTATCTTTCAATTCAAATTTTTCTTTGTTTTATCAGGTTCTTTTAATTGTTATGAAACTCCCCTCAGCATTGCAATGTCGTGCAAAGCAAAAGATATTGTCAAATACTTAACTGATAAAAGGGCAAGGTTGCCTCCACGACATTGAATTTGATATATGATCTCTCTCAAATTTAAATTAATTAAAATGATACTATTTAGCAATCTAAAAAAATTATCAAAAAAAATTTTCAAGAATTATTCAGCTTGGGAAGATGTTTTTTTAATCCAACATACTATTCCCACTATTGTTTTAATGGGATAATGAATCAACATTTTCTAAATTTTGAACAAAAATTAATGAGTGTTGAAACTAATATGAACAGCTTTTATTTGAATAGCTCGGATGTCCGAAAACATATATAATTTATGGAAAAACTCCAAAAGTTGTCTATATATCATTTATTAATGAATATAGTTATTAACATATCATTTATTAATGAATATAGTTATTAACATATCATTTATTAATGAATATAGTTATTAACATATCATTTATTAATGAATATAGTTATTAACATATCATTTATTAATGAATATAGTTATTAACATATCATTTATTAATGAATATAGTTATTAACTTATCATGCACTAATGAATGTTGTTCTCAGCTTACTATTTACAAGTGGAAATAGTTATATAAAGTTAATAATTTACTGACAAGAGTAAAAATACAAAAGAAAAAAAACCTGCGAATTCAGAGAGCAATTACTTCGAACTAAACAAAATATCCCATATTAAAGTGTGTGTAGGTGGTAACATAATAGAATGAAAGCTCGTTTCAGAGATACCCTTTTATTTACTAAAAGAAGAAAAAAAATGAAATTGAAAAACAAACAGAAAAAAACTTTTTTATTTTAGATGAAATATTGAGAAATAATATTGTTGAGGAATAAAAATGAAGAAATAAAACCAGCTGAACCGCAAACAACAAATAAAACAGCTGATTTAACAATATATGTTGTCGAATTAAATAAAAATGGAAGAAATCCTTGGAATCCTTCAGAAACATACGAAAATGAGAAACAATATATCAAATAAATAACAGAAACAAAAGCAGGAGACATGAATGAAGTCCACCACCAGTGGTAGTCATCAGATTTGGCCTTCAAAAATGTAAATGTCAATGAAATATTTGATGATGATAAAATTAAAATAAAAATAGTCATAATCATAAAAGATTTCGGAGAATCTAGACTCGAATTACGTCTTTCCGATTCAGAAATAGTCAAAAGAACAACAAGAATAGAAATGAACAAATAAATTCCTCCATAAACCCTCAAATAGCCTGGAGACATGTAAAATGGAGATGCAGGAACATGTCTTGGTATCATATTCACTTTGCATGGCGTGTCGTTAATGGGAAACTTCAATCCAACGGTTGATCCAATTGAAACTGAGATTGTATGGATCAGAACGAGTACCATTATGTGTAGAATTGTTCCATTAGTTGGTGATGATGCAGATTTGGTGAAAATAAAAAGTAATGATCTGATACAAAAAATTAAAACGAAAAGTGCAGGAGTTAGAGTGAGAATTGCCTTGTAAACGTTTCTCCATTCATAGCCACCAACGTATTTGAATGTAAACATTGAAACAAAGCCACATATTATTCCGGACCATGACATTACGCTGAAAAACGTCGAAACAACGTCAGAAAACTCACCATACGATTTCAATGACATGTAGAGCAATGAGAAGATTGTCTGAACGCCAATCCCGCAAAATGTGCATAAAATCGAAATATTTTGTGGCATTCTGAACAAATCACCACGTAAATAATACCAAACACTATCGTCTGTTTGTTCTTCTAATGGACCAAATGAATTTGAGTACTTTGGTGTGAAATATAACAAAAATGCTAAAATTGCAATATTAATAAGTAATTGTAACTTAAGGGATGATAATGCGAATGTTGGCTGCATTGTTGAAGGTGGATAAAGCTTTGTTTCTGTAAAAGTGAATTGATAAGTTAAACTAACATTTGTTCCTTCTTTGATAATGGGAGGTGTTTGTAATTCTGTGCATACATTATCACTATAAGAAGTTTGGTGTCCAATTTCTTGACTTGGAACAATATCAATGATTTTATAATGAACTACATTTGATTTCACTTCCGTTGCGTATTGTATATCAAATTTGTATTTAGTAAGGAAGTATCTTCCTTCAGAAATATGAAATCCTTGTTTCATTTTGAAATTTTTCAACTGAAAATAAAGAAGATAATCGTTTTCGGATAGGTAATTGAGTATTTCAGCTTGTTCTTCTGATAAAGTATGGAAGCATCTGCAAGAAAATTCTTGATCTTCTAAAAAATTAATGTTTTCTATGGTTTTAGTTCTGAAATCACCGAGAATATTTTGTCCAAATGACGACCTAATACTATTCGATGTATTACTTTGGCATATTGCGTTGCCAAAATTCAAATTATATTGGAAAGGAAATTTTTTCGATCGAATACCACTAAATTTTACATTAATATTGTCTGATGGCTGCAAAATTAACTGGTTCTGGTTATAATGGAAAAGAGCAATTGATCTTTTTGCAAAAAGAAAAAGCATCAATTATCTCTTTGAAAAAAAATGTTGTTAACTATTTGATATCGAAACCAGTAATTTTCAGCAGATTAAGAGAAGCTGAATAATTCCAATAAATCTCATAAAAGAGAATTTAAAATTTGAGCAAATAATCAAGCTCAAAGCTTTTTAAAAGAATCATGTGCTGAAGTTGGAGTAGACAATGCCGATTAGAAGCAATAATTCTTCAAATATTAGAATTTAACAAAGATATTTATAGAATATAACAATATGTAATACTTTTGTGAGATTAAAATATTCATGAATCTTATTTTTGTGATGAATGAAATATTGGTCAATATATAGTTTCTTTTACTTGCAAAAATTGAAAGTAAAAAGTATTAATAAATTAAGAGAAAATCATCAGCAATTTGGATATTGATATTACTATTATCAAATATGAATTGGTCATCTACTGGCTCTAAGAATTCAGGGAATCCATAGCTGTTATCATTAGAAATAGGTTGAGAATTTACTCTATTGGGAGGAGTTGTAAGATCTGAAAGTAATTGAGTATCTTGATCATAGCGTTGTGTCTCTGTTCTAGTGTTTACAGGTTGATCTTCAACTCTCACTCCATTATCTTCAAGAAGTTGTATTTCTGAAGATTGAGGATTCCATGAGCACCGTAAGATGTTCCTTTCTACTTCATGATACTCCATTCCGATTGGCTCTGCTGTTTGTTTCAAATGCCCTCTGAAAGAATCGAATTTTGTAGTAAGAATCGACATTCCATTCTTTCCAATGCAGTATATAGTTCCTGAAACTTGACCATTTCGAACGTCATTGACCATGACAATGCGAGTGTGTAACTTAGATGTTTTACCCATCTTAAAAATGAAGAAAATATTTTTTTTAAATATCCATACGCCCTAAATTTTATGAGAAAAAATTGAATACTCTTTCAAAAAATTTCCAAGAAATCGAATTACACTATCCAAAACTAGACTCTTTTTTCTGTTTTAAATATGTTATTCGTATACTCTTTTATTTGCATACTTTTTTGAAAATTTGACATGGCAGACAAATTAATCCCACCAGACTGATTTTAGAACAATTTAGGAAGTATTGAAATTAAAATGAATATTTATCATATATTAAGTGCATATACCAAGTATAAAAAGCCAACTTTTACCTTTTGAAATTTTTTTGAAAGTGCATTCAATTTTTTTCGGGTCGTTATCGATTTTGTAATTTAATCGTTATCGTCTTTTTCTAAACGTGCATTTTGAACTAAATCGCATATAACTTTAAAATGACTTAATATTTAAAGGTTTATGTGGTAAATATCAACGAAATGTAATATTAATATGTGCACCATATATGAATTACAGACATTTGAGCAATTCGAAATTTCATCGCGTTATATATTCATTTAAATTCGATCAAATCAACATTGCAATTATAAAACCATTACACATCCAGTCAATATTTTTCAATTTCATGCGAATTATATCATTATTACACATTTTAAAATGGCGAAATATAGTCCAAAAAATAAACTTCGTTTTAAACTCAATTCTCACACATATTCGGATTAAATCATATGTGACTCATATGATCATACATCTCATTTGAGGTCTAAAAAATGATTTACCGAGAAAACTTGCATTCGAACTAAAATTTACTAAATTTAATCAAATTGGTTTACAAACGTAAAGTTTATGTCAAACATTTACGTTTGTAAACTAATTGAGTAAATTTATAGCACTTTTTTTCTCGATGCAATAATTTGAACTACGAGTTTACCAAATTAGTTTACAAACGTAAAGTTTATGCCAAATATTTACGTTTGTAAACTAATTGAGTAAATTTATAGCACTTTTTTCTCGATGCAATAATTTGAACGACAAGTTAATGTAATTAGTGTTCTCATGTTTACAATTCAATATGTCTATGCATATGATATATGCAAATTCTATAAATAAAATATTATTAAATAAAATTCTTTTCAATTCCTTAAAAATAGCGTTTCTTTTGAATAAAAAATGATTTTTAACTAATTTTAGGACTCTTTCTATTTCAAAAAAATACCTGAATTTAATTTTCTGATGCAAAATTTATGCTTTTTATCATGAAATTCTTTTTTTCAAATTTTTTTGGATTTTTTTCCATTTTGAATATAGTTAATTTTACTTTATTTCACATTCTATTAAGAAAATACAATCTATGGCATTCCAAACGGGAACCGCGGTTGGTTACCATGGATTTCCGTCACCGGTCACATTTTAAAGATTTTTAAAGCCTTATAAAAATATGCTTTGTAAATCATTTTTTGTAAATCGGCAAAAATTTGGTAATTTTCTTCAACTAATAAATCTGCGAATAGCATTTATAATACAAGAACAATCTTTTAAAATGCGTTTGATTCATTTTTGTATAATTTCATATAGGCACATATATTCTTCCGGGACTTTCCGTGATTTTACCGTAAAATCATTAGTTTACACCAATTTTTCCGTATTTTGAATAGTTTACTGCACTTTTTCCGTAAAATTGAGTTACGGGAATCCGCAAAATTTCCGGACCTCATTTTTCATAGAATATAATAATAATATTTGATAAAAAGATATATTATTTATATTTTTGATTTTTGAATTACGGAAAAAGTGAATTGATAACTTGATTTTTTTATATGGTTAATTTTTCAAATGATATTATGAAGATCTAAAATATTAAAAGTAAAAAATTGAATTACGGAAAAAGTGAGGTCAAAAGTGAAATAAATTTGCAGAACAATTTTCATTGAAATAAGACATTGAGTATCACACTTTAGTGAATCAACATCTATAAGAATGAAGTGTTTTGAAGCTGAAATAATATTGAATAGAAATTAATTTTTTCTGAAATTTTGAATGAAATTATGGGAAATAAAAAAATTACTAAATATTGTATTCATACAAATATATTATTTTAAAGGAAAAATAGATGCTGATAGAAACGATGAAAAATTTTGAAAACTTTACAATTAATTTATGTTCGTTAACCACAGAGCTTGCAATCCAAAGCTCACGTTAGACTACAAGAGTCATGAAGTCTCATACTAAGGGATATCCAACATATATTTTAATAATCTAATGTTTGTGACAAATATTCAACATAAAATTAAGTTTTCGTTTCGTTACAAGGCATTCATACTTTGGAGATATCATATTTAATGTACAGAAAAGTTAATATTAAACAATACATGCTAAAGAATTAATAAATAAGATAATAAAATAAATTTATACGTAATTACTTTCATTTAATATGCTTTATGCTGTATAATATTGATTAAGAGGCATTAAAAGGTTCCATAGTCTGCTTTTATAGGTAAGATTTTTGATAAAAATTTAAAATTTTGAAAAATGATGAGAAAAGGAAAAAAAAGGTAAATGAGAGCAAGAGGAGGGAAAAAAAAGAAAAAGAAAAGAAAGGGAAGGGAAAAATAAAAGAAAGAAGGACATATAAAAATTTAGATGCGCATTCTTAATGCCGAGGCGGCTTGCCGCCGAGGCGCGATTTTTTTAGGCCTCTACGGTAACCCGGCAATGTTTTTTTAAATCTTGTACAGCCCTAGAAATACTTAGGCCAATCCCTGTGGGACCCAGTGGTAACTTTCCATGGAAACCACTCAGTGGGAACATTTTTTATTTTTGACGGAAAAAATTCTAAATATTTTTTTCATTTTTTGATTTTTGAATTTTTTTGGAATTAGAGAATAAAATTTAAAGCGATAGATATGCTTGATTATTCAAGATATTGATATTAAATCAGAAATCAATGGTAAATAAAGAGTTTTATAAAAACTTACCACGTGGTAAGATGAAGTGACCACAAATTGAGTTGTGGTACATAAAAATTACCACAAAATTGAGAACTTTTCCCACAAATTGAGAATTTTTACCATAAAATGAACGATGGATATCCACGAAAGTTACCACAACTCACTTCTCGCGCAAAATAAAAAAAAAAAAAAAAAAAAAAAAAAAAAAAAAAAAAAAAAGCAGTGGGGCTTCCAGGCACTTCGTGCCCTCTAGCCCCGAAGATGTTTTGTCACTTTTCTGTCACTTTTCAGGGAAAAAACATTTTTATTATATATATAAAATGAATTTTACAAAACCACCGTTACCGTTCTTTGGAAATAAGAGTAAATGTAAAGATATTATATTGAGAGAACTTAAGAAACTACCGAATGGTCTAACATTTGTAGACTTGTTCGGTGGAAGTTTCTATATATCTCATTTGTGCCATACAATATTTCCTGACTCAAAGATTATATGCAATGACTTCGACAACTATATGAACCGTCTCAAACATATACCAGACACAAACAAAATATTGAAAGAGTTAAAAGAAAAGATACCTATAGGTAAGATGGAACGTATACCATTAGATAAGAAAAATACTGTCAGAGAGGTTTTGAAAAAAGCAGAGTATATTGACTGGGATAGTATATCTTCTAGACTATTATATAGTGGTGCTATAAGAGTTCATGACATTGAAACACTTATGTCAAAAGTTTTATATCTTAACTATACAAAGGTTTTCAAAGAGAACATAGAAAAATATATTGAGGGTATAGAGTTTGTGAGATGTCATTGGACAGAGTTGTATGAAAAATATAAAGACAAGGAAAATGTTTTCTTTATAGTGGACCCGCCGTTCTATAACACATGGGATTTTCAATACCAAGTAGACTGGACTTTGAGAGACTCTTTAGAAACTTTAGACGTTTTACATAACCATCCATGCTTTTACTTTACATCCGATAAAAGTGGTTTGGAAAGTGTCATGAGATGGTTAGAGGACATACATGACTATGAGTTTAGATACGATAAGATAGAATATGAGAGAGGTCCTATAAACTGGAGAAAGTGTCATAACAAAGAAATTTTACTAGTAAGTAAATGTGGTTTGAAATAGGACTACTTGTTTTAGGTTTTTTCCATTGTGTCATTTACTTATTTGACGTGGCAGAAAGATATAGAGAATATGAAGATGAACCAATGCCTGCAAATGTTCAGTATATGTACTCGTAAGAGATATTTTTATCTAATATTAAATGGACGCACAGAACTTAGCGAATGCACAGCAACCTGGACAACCAAACCCAGAGAATATTCCAAATGAAGTTAGAATACAAACTGCAATGGCAAACTATGGTCAAGTGCCAACAGATGTACAAATGCAAACTGCCATGTCAAATGACGCTGCGTTAGGTTTGCCACCATGGTATGCAAATATGAGATGGAAAGAGTTTTATACAAACCCTGAAGTGGGATATAAACAACTCTATGCAGATGACGCGAACACAGGAGTTGACCCAGAGTATGTTTTCTACCAGAGGAGAAACAGAATGTATGAGCTCCAGTTAAAGAATGCTATGGAACTCAACAGGAAACGTAAGAGACTAGGCGGACATTAGATTTTTACATATAGTAAAATGGGTTTCTTCAGTAAGATAGGAAACTTCTTTCGAAATGTTGGAAGAGGTATATGGAATGGAATAAAAACCGTAGGAAGAGGAATTTGGAACGGAGTCAAAAATATTGGTAAAAGAGTAGGTCAGTTCGTTGGTATTATACCTAAAGACCCTGAACCAGAAGAACAAGCTCCTGTTATACAACAGCCTGAACCTGCACCACAGTCTAGTTGGCAACCAAATCCAACACCTCAACCGTATTAAAAATTATATTTTTACCGTTCGATAGTAGTTGTATATGAAACTAAGTTCTAAGTAAAACGCATGGTATAATGGAATTATTCTCTTTCTTCCATCTGTAGTAAACCATACTTGAAAGTCTGAAATACTTCCACTTGGTGGTTCATATAGCTTTGTAGGTTTTTCGTAAAAGTCATTTGCCAAGCATAAGAAAGAGTTTTGGGCGCCAGAAAATGAAGCATGAACAATAATAGCAGCTGGGTCGAAAACATCTTTAAATAAATATGGTTCATCTCTTGCATATCGACTGTAAATATTTGCTAAAGGAAGTTTGACTTTCTGATTTAACATTCTTTGCAAATAATACCATGACATTGCAGTGAATTCTGTATATATTTGTTCGTCTTTCTTTGGATTGTCTTCGTAGATTTGAAATGACACTTGTGAATTTTTTTGTCATATACAATTCTCACATAAAGTGTGCTCTCGGTATTTGCATATTCATCAGCATATTTTGCATAACATGAATTTATTTTATCTTCTATATTTTTTAACGCAGTCTGTAGAGAAGATGAAAGGTCAACTTGTATTAGCTCAATTTCTTCCCACATTTTTCGTTTCCCTTCAGATATATAATCTATATGAAACCTTACAATAAATGGAAAACTTTTATCTTCTACAGACACAAACTTCATTCTACGAAAGCCAATAGCTTTTGTGACAGATGGGTCTCTTAGCCATCTCAATGGGTAGTCAAAACGATAGCCTTCATGCTTTACGGTCTCTGTCTCAAACTTTTGACCGACATTCGTAAAAAGTTCATCTAATGGTTTAGTTGTAGCAACTCTTGAATTTTCTTTTTCTATTGAAAGCATATTTTATCTAGAATAAAAATGTCGAAAGAAACAGCGTCTATGAGAGAAATACAACACAACCGACAACTCATTATGCAAGCTCTAAATAAGAACACAACAAACTTTTCAAACTATTCTAAGATATCTGAGTCATTGAAAGAAGGAAACTTAAAACTGACGATAAACCCATTGACAGATGAGTTTCTGTTTCAAGACAGTAAGAACCATACTGTCTGTGTAAATCCAACAAAAAGAACTTTAAACGAGAAACCTATAGATGAACTTCTTTTGAAAGCAGATATTGACAACAAAGCTGACAAAGAGTATGTTGACGATGAGTTAGCACGTGTGGCTAGTGCGTTAGTGAAGAAGGCAGATAAGGAATATGTGAATGAAAAAGATGAAAAAATTATAGAAAGGGTTGAATGGTACCATGAACGGACAACAAAGATTTTAAAAGGTAAAGCCGATACAGGGTGGGTTTCAGGATGTTTAGACCTTAAAGCGGATAAGAACCATACACATACCATTGCAAATATTACAAACTTACAAGAAACCTTAAACAGGAAAAGTGACGTTGGACATACACATACCATTGCAAATATTACAAACTTACAAGAAACCTTAAACAGGAAAAGTGACGTTGGACATACACATAGCTTCTTCGCAACTGTTGGTATAGAAAATATTGAAGGAACGGTTGAAGAAACTGGTGGGGATGCAATATTGTTATATACGAAAACGATAAAAACAGTTTGACAGAAAAGTGACAACTTTACGTGTCAAAAATATAAAAAGTGATATTTTATTCATCATTATCTTCTTCATAATTTATTTCATATTCTTCGTCTTACCAACAAAAGATGGGAATGTGAACAATTGCGGGCAATTTTTAGCCATTTTGGCTTGGAACTAGAGCCTGCGAGGTACATGGATAGTATCAGTACCTCACAGGCTCTAGTTCTCTATATGGCGCCGAGAAATTTTGGTGAAATGTGGTCGCATTTCACCAAAATTTTTTCGGCGCCATAGGATGAATTGGAGGGTGAGAGATATTATTTCATACAATACTACTCTCACCCTCCAATTCCCAGCCAAAATGGCTAAAAATTGCCCGCAATGTGAACAATTGCGGGCAATTTTTAGCCATTTTGGCTTGGAACTAGAGCCTGCGAGGTACATGGATAGTATCAGTACCTCACAGGCTCTAGTTCTCTATATGGCGCCGAGAAATTTTGGTGAAATGTGGTCGCATTTCACCAAAATTTTTTCGGCGCCATAGGATGAATTGGAGGGTGAGAGATATTATTTCATACAATACTACTCTCACCCTCCAATTCCCAGCCAAAATGGCTAAAAATTGCCCGCAATGTGAACAATTGCGGGCAATTTTTAGCCATTTTGGCTTGGAACTAGAGCCTGCGAGGTACATGGATAGTATCAGTACCTCACAGGCTCTAGTTCTCTATATGGCGCCGAGAAATTTTGGTGAAATGTGGTCGCATTTCACCAAAATTTTTTCGGCGCCATAGGATGAATTGGAGGGTGAGAGATATTATTTCATACAATACTACTCTCACCCTCAATTTTAATTACTTAAACTCATTCTATTTTTTTGACATGTAAATGTCACTTTTACTGAGATCTGACACAATGTCAGATCTCTTTTTTTCGTATATAAGAATATATTGTAAACCTCCTAACTTTCCACAAGGTTTAACATCGGATGACGACATAACAACGATGAGAAACATTAGATGTAGAGATGTTTATGTCATGGAGGATGAACATAATATTAAATTCACTGCTCAAGATTTATATGACAAGAAAGCAGACAAAACAGAGCTTCAAACATTAAAGACAGAAATACTTCAAACCATTTACCCAGTTGGTTCTATTTATACGTCAATGAACTCTACCAGACCAGAAGTAGTACTTGGTTTTGGAACTTGGACTCAAATACTCGAAAGTTTTTTGTATTGTGCACACACTCCAAAGAAAACAGGTGGAAGTAAAACGATATCTGTCGACAACTTGCCACCACATAGTCATTCTGGTACAACAAGTTCTAATGGAAACCATAGTCATAGGGTTTGCAAACAAGGATATAACACTGTTTCTCAGACTTCAATGCAAATTCAAGTTATGTCAAGATCTCATTTTCCAAACGACCCAGTAGACTGGAATGGAATGTGGACAGATACAACTGGAAACCACCAACATACTTTTACAACAACATCTACAGGACTAGGTAAAGACTACATGCCACCTTACATGACAGTTTACGCATGGTATAGAAATGCTTAGTCGTCATTTTCAACTTCTTTAGCATATTCGTCAGGAGTTGTCTTATATTTGTTAGGAACTGTCTTTGAAAGTATACCACCTTGAACTTTGACAAGTTTGAAACGAGGTCTGACAATAGTAGTTTTATCTTCTGCTTGCAGTCTGTACATTTTGCCATGTTTGCCTAAAACTTCATAATATTCTCTTGTATACTTTCTTCTATTTTTACGAACACGAATGTGAGTACCTGTCGAGTTCCCATTGTTGTCATAGTCAATAGTATTTTCATATGGGTCGCGTTTAGGTATTTCTATTTTTACTTTGTCACCTTTCTTAAGTTTGAAGCCTGGCATTCTTTCTTGTTTGTCTCTTTTGACTAAACTATTAAATATATAGTCTTTCTCTAAGTCAGGGTTGTTTTTCATTTCTTCGGGGGAGTGGTTTCCTAAACCTTTTTGTTTACGGCTATTGTAAATATTTAAAACTTGTCTCATCTTTGCCATGGAGAAGTGTCTATATTTGTCGTCATATGACATTTCATTTGCTTCACCACCTTGTGGTTGGTTTAAGTCTCTTAAGATTTTTATACAACTGTCAATGACACCAAGAGCAGAATGGTTTTGGTCGACAATGAAATATTGGTTTACATTTTTTGAACGCAGATAGTTTTTTACATCATCTGATTTGAAAGAACTTTCATAGTCAGATGTCAGTTTTGTTGGATGGTATTTGTCAACGAATATTGTCAAAGCTGCTAAGATATCTAAAATATTTTTGGACTGTAATGGTATGGCTTCACAGTATCTTGTGTTTTGACCGACAAATATTAGCCAGTATGGTGGTCCATCTTCTCTATACCTCGGAATGTTTTCCAAGATATCCATAAACCAAGCATTTGGTGTTGAACTAAAGATTTTTATCATGAGTGCTTTCTTTGTCGCTTTAGAAACATAGGGGTCCTTGTTCGGATTCGTCATTTTTTACCCTATAAGAAATGGGTTTATTTGGCGCATTAGCAGGAGTTGCATCCAGATTTTTGCCCGCAGTGGGAACAATAGCCAGAGGTGCATTTGGAATTGGAAGGAAGATTTTGAGTACATTAGGTATACTGAAAGAGAAAGCACAACCTATTATACAAACTGTACAGAAAGGTTGGGATGTAGCACGAGATGCAGCAAATCTTATTCCAAATCCTGAAACAAGAGGAAAAGTTCAAGGATGGATGGACAATGTAGGAAGACAAGCAGGAAACTATTATAACAAAGCAAATGACTACTATAACCAAGCAGGACACTATATGGACCAAGGTGAAAGATTCTTTAACAGAGGATATAACCATGCACAACAGTGGGTAAACAACAACCAACCTCAACCGCCTCAAACTTGGGGAATGTAAATTTTTTACTGAGATGAAATGAACAATACAGCATTGAGACAAATGGGCTCAAGATGGATTTGTCGGCTTCCAGCAGTTACACAACCACGTGTTTGTCAAGTTCTTCCTATACCTCAGGAAGTTTTAGACCGACTTAAAAAACCTAAACAACCAGTTGAAAACAAACCAAACTAAAATTTTTACTGAGATGAAATGACCGAAGAAGTTGAAACGGTAGATTTGACACCACAAACAAAAAGTTCAGAACCATTGTCAAAACCTGTCAAAGAACTTACAGATGAAGAGAAAAATTCAATAATAGAAAGTGCCAGGTCTGGAAATACAAACCCTAACTATAAAGTCACTTTTCATAGAAATGGAACGGCTAGTATCTCAAAAAAGAAACAGACTCTCACAAATAAAATATTGAAGTCTGAAGGAGCTTTCGAGACAACAGATGGAAAAGTTTACTTCACTGACAAACAGTTCATTATAGAACATCTCATTGACTTAGAGTCAAAATATTCTAAACTTTACAACAAACACAAAAAGTTGAAAGGAAAACAAAAACAGATGGCATATGATATTTATGAAGATGTTGACGACACAACCATACCTGCAAGTGAAGTAAAGTCAGAGGAACCGAAAAGTGACGAAAAACCAATAGAAGAAGGGAAGCCAAAAACTGAAGATAAACCAAAAACAAAGTTTAGTTTGGAAACTAAACCAAGTCAACCTTCATTAGCTGGTATGGGTTGGCGTCAAAGACTTATGGCAGCGGGAGGTTATGTAAAGTAAAGAAAACAGTATATTTTTATTTTTATTTGAAATGTACGCTGAGTTTTGTTGGAGACGACCGTTGGAAAACTTGTTTGTTAGATGAGAAATATGAAATGGCATACCATTTTAAACAACATTTTTCAAAAAAAATATTTTTTTATTTTATTTGAAATGTACGCTGAGTTTGTTGGAGAGGACCGTTGGGAAACTTGTTTGTTAGATGAGAAATATGAAATTCACTGTTGTGAGTCATTTGAAGTCAGAAACAAAAAGACAAAAAGAGTTTTAAGCGAATGGGAGCAAAATGACGGATATGCTAGGATGAGGATTGGTGGAAAACACTATTTTAAACATGTTGTCATTGCAACTCATTTTATACCGAATCCTAACAATCTACCTTTTGTAGACCACATAAACCATATAAGAAACGACAATAGACTTGAAAACTTACGCTGGGTCACTTGTTCTGAAAACAGTAAGAACATAGGCAAATTTAGAGATATTGTATTCGAATTTGTCGACGAACTAGAAGATGAAGCAATTGAAATTACAGACTATGGTAAGCATACGTTTGAGTTTTACTACTATAGCGAAGAACAGGACTCTTTCTACCTTTATACCGGCGTAAACTATAGGAAATTACAAGTATGTTTTACTAAGGCGGGCTATGCTTATGTAAACACTAGAGATACAGATGGAAAACACGTTCATATATTTCTCAACAAATTCAAGAAGCTATATGGCATACCATTTTAAAACATTTTTTAAAACAGTATATTTTTACATATATTAAATGTTTCAGGTTGAAAAACAAAGAACAAAAGTAGCAGATACAAAACCGTTAGACTATATCTTTACAAACGCCGGTAGGACTATATCAGATGAAGAAATTTCATCCCGTACTTACAGGTTTGACTTTCCAATTCGTTGGCTTCAAAGTCCTTCAGATGCAAAGGCAATAGGATTTAGAAGAGTTTTGTTTTCAAAAAGAACTAACGCCTTTATGTTCGCAGTATATTTTCATGGGCAGTATAAAGGTTCTGATGGTCTAATAGACAAATTTGATGAAATGAGAATCTTTACAATTCGTTCAGACGAAAACCTTGAGAAGACTCTAAATGACTTTCAAACTCAAATGAACAAATATTATTGGGAATTTCAAGAAAAATACGACTCTTTACTAAATGGAACATACTATCTGAAACTAGAATATGACAAGATGAACTCCACAGTTTCATTTCAAAGGATTGAAAATAACCCTCCAAGAGATACACAGTTTTTATTTTGGGAAGTAGACAAACGTTCTTGGGCACAATTTCTTCGGTTACTAAACCAGAACGAACCATTACCACCTGACGGTCCGTTTAAATTTATACGCCCACCAACAGATTTGACAGTTTATAGAAATGTGTTTGACCCTCAAAATGTTATGTGTCATGCAAGTTTCAGTTCAAGCAACAACAGTTTTCTATGTATCGGTAAGGACTTTTATGACTTTGCTTCTAAATTCTACGAACCACCTAGTAACAGTTTCTCTGACTTTCAAGTTTGGTTCACAACAAATGGTGTGCAGCATATTATTCCATTATACTATGACTTTTATCTCGAATTGTCTTTCATATACAACTACGGAAAAGTGCTGAAAAAGTACTGAATGTGAAGATATTAGAAAATAACATTTTTTCTAACATCGTAGAAAACTCATGAAAACAATTTATTTTTGTGAATATGTAAGCGGCTCATAGCTCAGTGGTATGGGCTACCTCGTTAAAGGCGTCGAAGACCTCGGTTCAAATCCCGATTCGCGCAGGTTTTTTCCTTTTATGCAGTGAAATTTCATGTACATAGGTTACTTTGGTGTTAGACCCTAGTGAAGAAAATAGAACGATATAAGTTTACATTTGTAAGGTTACTTTGGTGTTAGACCCTAGTGAAGAAAATAGAACGATAGGAGTTTACATTTGTAAAGTTGGACGATAAAAATCTCTGCTACTGTCAGTAAAAGTACTGCTACTGTCAGTAAAAGTACTGCTACTGTCAGTAAAAGTACTGCTACTGTCAGTAAAAGTACTGCTACTGTCAGTAGAAGTACTGCTACTTGCAGTAAAAAGGAAAATTTGAGAGGGTTTTCGACGATAAAGTACTGCTACTGTCAGTAAAAGTACTGCTACTGTCAGAAAAAGTACTGCTACTGTCAGTAAAAGTACTGCTACTGTCAGTAAAAGTACTTCTACTGTCAGTAAAAGTACTGCTACTGTCAGAAAAAGTACTTCTACTGTCAGTAAAAGTACTTCTACTGTCAGTAGAAGTACTTCTAGTAGCAGAGATTTTTATCGTTGTGGTCCGACGGTTAAGCCACAGACGAATGTCCGACGTCCCACCAACCGAGTCCATTCCCAAACCAGAGGAACCTAAAGCACCAGCCCCTGCACCTCAGTTCCAGCAAGTCCAATCTCAATCCAAATTACTACCAATTCCAATACAAATCGAAGAGAGACCAAGAGTTCGAAGAAGGTCTGAACCGCTTACGCAAAGAGTATGCTACAGCTCCAATTGAGAGAAAGTTGTTCCAGCAATTCCAATTCCAGCAATTCCAATCTCAATCCAAATCGAAGAGAGACCAAGACTTCGAAGAAGGTCTGAACCGCTTACGCAAAGAGTATGCCACAGCTCCAATTGAGAGAAAGTTGTTGCTAAATTCAGTAAAAATAATGTTTATGTTAGAATGTTAGATCTAACACCTTTTCTAACACGTTTTCTAACATGGTCTAAAACTCTCGAAAATCATGAAATTTACACCAAAAATAATGTTTATGTTAGAATGTTAGATCTAACACCTTTTCTAACACGTTTTCTAACATGGTCTAAAACTCTTGAATTTTCATGAATTTTCCGAAATAAAAAAATAAAGTTAGTTTTATTTTATTTATTTTTTTTATTTTGTATGTAAGAACAGATATGTCAGTCGAAGCAAAAACGTTCACGAACAAATCTAATGGCGAAACATTCACAAAAGGCACTTATAATGGTATTGAAGTCTTATGTAGAGACAAGGATGGTTATATAAATGCAACAAAGATATGTCAGCAGTTTGGGAAAGACTTTAGAAGGTTGTTGGAAAATAAGTCCTGGGAAGAGTATTATACGGCATTTTGTGAAGAATATACCAACCCGCGGAAAACAGCGGGTTGCTTTTTATACAAAATTCATGCAGGAATTCCGGATGAAATCAAACAGGTTAGAGGAATGTATGTAGACCCAAGACTCGTAAACTATATAGCAATGTGGGCTTCTCCAAAATATTGCATAGCAGTTGGAAAAATTCTGGACTCCATAGACAAGAAAGTTCATGAGAAATTAGATGAAGAAGAACTTGAAGATACAGTAGAGAATGCTAAACCTTTGTTCGAAGAAGAAGTTAGAAAAATGCATGAAAAACAAATAGAACATGAACGTGAGATATGTTCTGGTTATAGAGACTCTCCATACGAACTAGACCAATGGGAACAAGAAGATTTAAAGAGAGAATTTAGAGAATATGAACTCGCTAAAGTTTCATTAGAAGCTGCAGAAAAGAAGTTAAAAGTTTGGGGTCGTTTTGTACAAAAATATTGTGAGTAAATGAACCATTTATTTTTATTGAATTCAAAAAAAATAATGTTTATGTTAGAATGTTAGATCTAACATGTTTTCTAACACGTTTTCTAACATGGTCTAAAACTCTTGAATTTTCATGACTTCTTCGTAAATGTTTTGTCAAGACTTCTTCGTAAATGTTTTGTCGAAACTTCATCGTAATGAGCGTAAAGGACCCAAAAATAATGTTTATGTTAGAATGTTAGATCTAACATGTTTTCTAACACGTTTTCTAACATGGTCTAAAACTCTTGAATTTTCATGAAATTTGGTCATTTCCTTAAGACAGATGAAATAAAGTTAGTTTTTTTAAAAAAATATTTTTTATTTTTATTGTAAGAACATGTTAGCAACAACAGCACCAAACTCGTTAGTTATGAACCCAACTTCAATGTTAGTAGAGATGAAAAGCTTCATTCCTTCTTCATATACTTTCGAAACAAAAATCCAGAAGATAAAGCAAGAACTTTTAACAAGTAATTTAGACTGTAGTGCGAAAGATGAAACAAATGAACAGTATCTTTATGAAATGCAGGACATTATTGACCATTTACCTAAACTACCTGAAATTCAGCAGCAAAAACTCACTATTCCCGAATTTGACGAAATTGAAGTCAAAGCAACTGACTCAGTAGAAATAAAGAAGTTCATACGAAAGGTAAATTATGAATTCCTTGGTTTTCATTGCAACCATAAGGTTATGGACAAAGATTGCGACATGGTATATAAGAACATCTCTGACCTTTACAAATCCGAAGAATTTAAGACCTACGACAACTTTGTTTCATTAGTTGCAAAATGTGTTTGGGAAATAAGAGATAAAGATAGTAGGGGTAAGGTATGGAACGAACAGATAAAACCCGCAACTTTTGAGTTAAAGAGAGCAATTGACGCCTTGGTCATACTTGCAGGTAAGGTTTCAGAATATAACGCAAAAATGAACCCGCAATGTTCAAAATGTAAAGCAGCAATGAGGAAATATAACTACTCCGTCAAAGAGATAGAACGTATGCGAAACGACTATGCAGATTTAAAGAAAGAAGTAGAGAAACCAGCAGAAGATAAAATGAACATGTTAGCATTTCTGAACAAAAACTATCCAACTGCTGACGATTTCCTTCTATCTGACGTCAAGAAGAAGTATAAAGAAACTTTCGGTATCGTTAAAACTTTTGACATACTGACAGAAGAAATAGAAGCTACGAAATTGTTTAGAGTCATGAACCATCGCAACATATACCATGTAAAACGCTTGTAAATAGTTATGTTAGAAAACATGTTAGAAAACATGTTAGATCTAACATTCTAACATAAACATTATTTTTATTGAATTCCGTATGAAATTTCATGAATTTTGTATGTTTTAGACCATGTTAGAAAACATGTTAGAAAACATGTTAGATCTAACATTCTAACATAAACATTATTTTTATTGAATTCCGTATGAAATTTCATGAGTTTTGTATGTTTTAGACCATGTTAGAAAACATGTTAGAAAACATGTTAGATCTAACATTCTAACATAAACATTATTTTTGCTGAATTCCGTATGAAATTTCATGAGTTTTGTATGTTTTAGACCATGTTAGAAAACATGTTAGAAAACATGTTAGATCTAACATTCTAACATAAACATTATTTTTGGGTCATTTACGCTCATTACGAAGAAGAAGTCTTGACAAAACATATACGATGAAATCATGACAAAACATTTACGATGAAATCATGACAAAACATTTACGATGAAATCATGACAAAACATTTACGATGAAATCATGAAAATTCATGAGGGTAGAAAAGAGGGTAGAAAAGAGGGTATATCTAACCTTCTACCCTAAACATTATTTTTTGGTCATTTACGCTCATTACGAAGAAGAAGTCTTGACAAAACATATACGATGAAATCATGAAAATTCAAGAGGTGACAAAACATTTACGAAGAAGTCTTGACAAAACATATACGATGAAATCATGAAAATTCAAGAGGTGACAAAACATTTACGAAGAAGTCTTGACAAAACATTTACGATGAAATTCATGAATTTCCTTAAGATAGAAAAAATAAAGTTAGTTTTTTATAAAATATTTTTTTTATTTTGTATGTAAAGACAGATATGTCAACAACCGAGAACACAACAACAGTTATAGTCCATGAAGCTATAAATGAAGAATATGAGTACATACAGTTTAACAAACAACTCCGTCTCATTCGTTCAGTCAAAGACGATATGTACCAAATGCAAAGTATTTTGACAGCATGTTTTGCACCAGATACTAAGAAACCACAAGACTGGTTTGAATTAAATAGCACTCATGAACTCCTCAGTGAGTTTGAACATGAAGAACTTAAAAAGATGTACCAAGACAGACAAAACTTACCATCACATCTAAAAGGTATATATGTTCATAAGTTCCTAGTTAGTTCAATAGCAATGTGGGCTTCACCTCGTTATGCAATCTACATACTTATGCTACTTGACGAACTTTGTACAAAGCAGAGAGAAGATATGATGAAAGAAGACAAAAGCATTCAGAAAAGAATACCACGTTCGGTACCAAAAGGAAAGGAAAAGAACTATAAGTATATGATTTATACTGAAGAGATGGAAAATGAAGAAGACAGAGATATGGTTATGTTGCATTTAGTCAGAAGAAACAACAAAAGCTTTTACGACCTTGCTAAGATTTACAAATCTGACAGAAATTGGTTCTATCGCGAAAACTTACCGATTTCAATGACCCCAAATGAAGATGTTAAACAGATAGTTCAAGATACGTTACCTCAAACACACTATGATATGAAAGGTTGTACAATACTTACCTTCAAAGAAGATTTGCCATTGTTAAAGGAAAAAATAACAGAGTATTTTGACAACTTCAAACAAGTAGGGTAGATGAGCCATTTATTTTTCAAGCTTGACACCAAAGATGGCTCAGGTAGCTCTATAAGGTAGATTGCCTCATCTGTTGGGTCTATGTCGGTCATTGTTTCAAGACAAGTCTTTTACTTTTTCAAGACAAGTCTTTTACTTTTTCAAGACAAGTCTTTTACTTTTTCAAGACAAGTCTTTTACTTTTTCAAGACAAGTCTTTTACTTTTTCAAGACAAGTCTTTTACTTTTTCAAGACAAGTCTTTTACTTTTTCAAGACAAGTCTTTTACTTTTTCAAGAAATTTTTTGGTGTAAAGTTCTCAAATTTGAGAACAGTGGTCTTGATTTCAGACGATACCCGTACTTTTTCAAGACAAGTCTTTTACTTTTTCAAGACAAGTCTTTTACTTTTTCAAGACAAGTCTTTTACTTTTTCAAGACAAGTCTTTTACTTTTTCAAGACAAGTCTTTTATTGTTTCAAGACAAGTCTTTTACTTTTTCAAGACAAGTCTTTTACTTTTTCAAGACAAGTCTTTTACTTTTTCAAGACAAGTCTTTTATTGTTTCAAGACAATGTCCGACGTACCACCAACCGAGTCCATTCCAAAGCCAGAAGAACCGACAGCCCCAGCACCACAACAGACTAAGACTCAAACACTTACATTTTCAAGCTTGACTTTTTACAATTTGAACTTTGTTTGCGTAGATATGAATTCTGAAAGAAGTATGAGGGTCTTGTATGACTTTGTACTTCTCCCATAGTTCATGTCTGTCAAACTTACCTGCCATGGACTCTTTCATAAGTTCCATGAAATCGTCTTCGGACAATCCAGGGAAAAGTATAATGTCAGTAAGTATTCTCTTTACATCCTTACTTAAACTCTTTGCTGTCTGTACACAAATGACAACTGAGATGTTAAAGTGTCTGAGCTTCTTAAGAATTCGACACATGTCTTGTTCTCTATTCTTTAACAAAGGATGAGAAGCAAAGTCATCTAAGATAAGAAGACACCTATGAGGGTATGTCTTCCAATCGTAAGATTGCAATTTCTTCGAAATGTATTCTATCTCTTTCTGTTTGTTTCTGAAGTGTTTCTTCTCTAATATTCTCTGCATTTCCTCATTTGGGTCTTTAAACTTCGAATTTATATACTCATTTATAGCATTGTACTTCAAAACTCTTCTTTGGTACTTCTTTATCCAATCTAACAACTCAGTATCTTTTATACATACTAACTTAGACTTTTTTATAATATCTTTGAACGAATTGACGGTTTGGTCAAATTGACCAGAAGTCGAACAAATAACAACTAACTCATAGAATGGGTTCTTCTCATCTAGTTCTTGTTGTTGTGCAGCCATTTTAAGATAAGTGAAAGTCTTACCCGACCCAGGTGGTGCGATTAGACCTGTTATACCATTCTGAGCAAATAAGAACTTTTCATGTATAGGCTTTATCTGAGCATTTTCTAACTTCCTCTTGTTCTTCTTCAAAACATTCTCAAATTTCTTGTCAATGTCAGCAAACTTTTTTTCTAACATATTTTTAGAAAAATTAAAATTTTTATCTTTTTGAAAATGTCTAGCGATTTCGCTATCTATATTCGAGACAAACTTTTCGACAGCAAAACATCTGTCGACCATAAAATCTTACATAGTGTAAACAAGAAAGGTGAATTTGTTCTAAAGTTCTGTTTCTGGGAATATGACAAGAACCATAAAACATTAAGCAGAGCAGTCTTAAAATTTGTCAATGACAGACTTGTTGACAGAGATGACGCCTCTTGGAAAGATGAAGTCCAACAAAAGTTCTTAGAATGCAAAGAAGACACATGCGCTGTTCTTGAAGATGAAATAGAAAACAGAATAGAAGAGCTAGTAAAGGACAAAGAACTTTTACAAAAATATGGTTCGGAGAAATTTGACATAACTCCACCAGAGAAGAAGAAGAAGAAAGAAAAGAAAGAGAAAAAAGTAGAAGAGAAGAAAGAACCTGAACCAGTTCCAGAGAAGGGGAGATATGACATGTAAAAATAAAATTTTATTTTTAGAACATTTCTGGGTCAATGTCAATGTTCTCTTCCTCTTTAGGAGTAAACACTGGCTTAGACTCTAAAATCTTTTTACCCAATTTACCTTGAACTTCAACTATCTTAGACTCATAATATTCATAGTCGTCTGCTTTCTTTGGTTCATAAGGTATAACAAGTTTGTATGCTTTACCTTCTTCGAGTTTTGAGAACTTTCTGTCAAAATTTTCTTTGACTGTCAACATACCGTCAATGTATAAGTCTTCAAAAGTTGCACCACTTTTTCTAACAACAGCAAACTTAACTGGTGCAATGTTCCAAATTTTGTCAAATGTAGACTTTTCAAAATTGTAGAAGTAAACATTCAAATAAGCGAATGGAGCTAACTTATCTTTGACTTCTGTCATGTACTTATTTACTGAGATGAATTTTGCCATCTTTTCTATCGGATAAAAAAATATTTTTTTAAAAAAAAAACGTTTTAAAATGGTATGCCATATAGCTTCTTGAATTTGTTAAGAAATAGTCTAACGCATTTTCCATCTGTATCTCTAGCGTTTACATGAGCACAGCCATCCTTAGTAAAATATACTTGTAATTTTCTATAGTTTACGCCGGTATAAAGGTAGAAAGAGTCTTGTTCTTCGCTATAGTAGTAAAACTCAAACGTATGCTTACCATAGTCTGTAATTTCAATTGCTTCATCTTCTAGTTCGTCGACAAATTCGAATACAATATCTCGAAATTTGCTTTTGTTCTTATTGTTTTCAGAACGAGTGACCCAACGCAAGTTTTCAAGTCTATTGTCGTTTCTTATATGGTTTATATGGTCTACAAAAGGTAAATTGTTAGGGTTCGGTATAAAATGAGTTGCAATGACAACATGTTTTAAATAGCATTTTCCACCCAGATTCATCCTAGCATATCCGTTATTTTGCTCCCATCCGCTTAAAACTCTTTTTGTCTTTTTGTTTCTGACTTCAAATGACTCACAACAGTGAATTTCATATTTCTCATCTAACAAACAAGTTTCCCAACGGTCTTCTCCAACAAACTCAGCGTACATTTCAAATAAAATAAAAAAAATATTTTTTTTAAATTTACTCAGAAAAATTTTTCTTTGTATATACGCCGTTCTGAACATCTAAAAGACTTTTGACATTTGCCAAGAATGTACGTTTAGAAGCTGCCATATAACCATATTCTTGACAATATTGTTTATACGAATCGTACAACGACCTTTCATCTAAACACTCAAAGTTAGTCTCATCTATAAACAGTTCATATACACTCTTGTTTGCTTCTAACAATGTTTGTCTTTCTTCGGTATGTGGAATTTGTCTTGGATTGAACTTTGAAATATCTAATGTCATAAAGTATGAGAACAAGTGGTTGTAAAAGTCAGATGTCAAAGTTTCTGCTAAGTCGTCAAAATATTCTGTATCTTGCATATGAGAATCTGACGTTCTGACAACTACATATCTTCTGTCAGAACTTTCTAACTTCATCGGAACAGTATTGTTTGAAACCATAATGAAGTTTGCAACATTTTCACAAACTCTTTGGTCTTTATACTTTCTTTCAACAACTCCAACTTTGTCTGTTATAAGACTCTTCAAAGCATCTGAGTTCAAAACTTTTGTTGTATCTATACTTTGAAGTTCATTGCAAACTATAAGTTTCATATTCTCTATTGAAGAGTTAAACTTGCCACATATGTTTTCTAAGTTTGTCATATTCGGGTTCGAATAGCCCTCTAACAGTTTGCATAAGATATCTGTAAAGAAAGTATTCTTACCAGTTCCTTGTTTTCCAATTATAATGAGAGCAGTTTCATTTTTAGCACTTGGATGTTGTAAGATATTTGCAAACCAACATAAGATATACTCATAAACCTTTTCGTTTCCATTGCATATAATTTCTTTGACATGGTCTAACCAAGCTTCTATAATACTGTGTTTCCATTCTACTTGTTCATATTTATATCCAGTGAAGATAGAATAGAAGTTTGGAGAAGGTGTATAGAACTTTATACCTCGAACTGAAAAATCTTCTAACTTTGACAATAAGATATCCCAAGCATCTAACATCTTCATACCAACTTGTACGACTTTTATTTTCTTAAGTTTCTGTCTACATTCTTGTTCAGACACTATTGTTGCTCTTGGTTTGTTAAAGACAACATCCCATTCTTTCATGACATAACATTCTGGGGCAGAGTCGACATAAATGACTAAACGTTTCAAATTCTCGACTGCTTTGTTATAGTCTCTAAATGGACACATATTTCTGAATGCTTGGAAGTCATAAAAATCTGAAACATCTATTCTGTACATTTTTATAAAAATAAAAAAAATATTATTTTTATTCTTGAGCTATTTGTTGCATTTGTTGTTCTTGAGCTATTTGTTGTTCTTGAGCTATTTGTTGTTGAAGTTGTTCTTGTAGTACAATACTTTCACCAGTTGCATCTTCCAATTCGAAACTTTCTGCCGTCATTGACAAATACATAGGACATAAAAGTTTTACAGGAACAAAGTTTGCGTCAACTAAGGTTAAGTTTATGTTTGCTAAAGTGTTTGAGTTTACTAAAGCTGAAAACTCTGCATTCGAATGAACAATAGGCAAACCAGCAGAGAAAGTGTTGTTTATACGCATGAGTATCTTTTGGTCATAGTAGTTTCTGTCGACATTCGAATAGCACTTTGAACCTAAGTTTGAAACAATATATAAAATAGGTGTACTTAAAGTCAATGGAACAGACAAACCTTGTATGACACCTTTTCCTCTTATAGGAAACTGTTGGTAGTAAAAACCAGATATAAGTTTTGTATTATAGCTCATATCGTTTATAGTAAACTCAGTCGGACATCCAAACATAATGAAACCTGCTCTAGTTGCAGCACATGTTACATCCGTCCTTAAAGTATTAAATAAGTCAACAAAACCTGTTGGTGGTATATCTGAGTAAGTATCTTCAAAGGAGTATTTTTTACCATTCACAACAACAAAGTCTTCTGGTGTCAAAAGAGCAAAACAGGCTTTAGTCGTCATCGTGTTTAAGGTCAGTTTACAATATCGTCCTTGAGGACTTTGTAAGTTTGTTGTTATAGAATTATATGACTCGGGGTTTTTAGTCGTAATAGTATAAACCACTATGTCTTCTGCCATTTACTTAGCAACTAAATTTTAATGAAATGTTGTGGTCGTCAAATATTTTTATGACGTCTGGGAAACTATATTTTAAGTTCAAGGTTTCACCTCCTTTCATAACGTATATCTTGTCAATGACATTATATGAAACACCACAGCAAGCAATGTCGGGTTCTATTTCTTTGATGTTTATATCGTCTGCCTCTGTCAAAAGTTTCAATAGTTCTTTCAAAATTTCATGAGGTGCGATGACATATGAGTTCACTTTTACAGGGTTGTGTTCGACCAAGTTTAACATTAGACCTAAAGCTTGACAAATCTTCTCCTGAGTTTTAAGTTTGTCTTTCAGTTGTTGGTAGTCATTTCGAATATCTGCAACAGAACTTAAGTCTCTGCTAACTTCAGGATATGTTGGTTGTTCTTTTACAGGAACTATTGTTATACCATCTTCGTCTTCGTATGGTTTCCCCACTTCAACATCTCTGTCTTTGACATTGACAACAACACTTTGACTGTTTGTTTGAGTTGGTGAATTTAACTTCACATCTGCCACCGCCATTAAACCTTTTGAAACACTTACGCTTCTATTTTTCGGAAATGACATTTTACTTAGAATAAAAAGATGGACGTATTCGAGTATCTCTTCGAATTGAAGCAGAACAAAGTTTACACACACAAACAATACAAATACATTGACAGAATAGTTCTTTATACAAACAATGGAAAATGTTATAGAATAGCAGTCTTTGCTGAACCAAAATATTTTCATAAAGCAAAGAAAGTTGGTATAACTGAATGGTGAAAGTTCTTGAAGCAGACAAAAATATAACAACAAAACTTACAGATATTTCTAAAGGTAAGTTTATAATACAATATTATATCAAAACTGGCGTACTGTCAATATTTGACGGAGAGAAGTCAGTTCAAGAACAACTTACTGACCTGCTGCCAAAATCTGCTCGATGGAAGCTGTCGTTATGCCAATCTGAGGAGCCCCAGCAGGTTTCATCGAACGAATCTTCAAAAGAGCATCTTCTGTGAAAAGTGCTATTGGTTTTGTAAACTTCTTTGCTCTCAGTTCATCTGGACCGTCTCTGTCACCAGTATATTGTATTTGAACTGTACCAACAGTTGAAATACCACCCATAAAGTCTTCTGAGTCAGCAAATGGAATGCCAAGCCAAAAGTTTGAACGGTCTCCATTTGTATATTGAGTTTTTTGACCTCCTGTATGAGTCCATACTTTCACATATGGCATAATAGAACTTTGCATTTCAGGGTTTATGGTTGTTGTGAAGTTGTTGTTAAAGTTCATAGCATCTAATGTCAAGTTGTATGACCTCATATCCTCAACTGTAGAATATTCTTCTCTTGGATAGTATTTGCCATCTATGTTTATATGGTATTTAATACCAGGGTTGTAGAAGCAAGAATAGTCATTTATAGTTCGTCTGAACAGTACAAACATAGTATCTGCATGTTTCATTGCAGTTGTTAAAGCAATATCTGTTCTTGCACCTGGGTCAGCACTTTGGTTTCCAACTTCACCTGCAAAGTCTTTGACAGATATTTGGTGTATAGGGAACATAAGTGGAACTGCAATATATTTGGCAGCTAAAGCATTTGAAATATCTGGGTCCAACATATAGACTGCAAGTCTGCTTTCTATTCTCTTGCATTCAAATTTTTCGCATGTGAACTTAACTGGGTCCCAAGCATCTCCAGCAGCATTGAAATAATAGTTTACTTCAGTGTTGAGGTTTGAGAAACCAAAGTCTAAGTCAACTTTGTTTTTGCAAAAGTCGGCGAATGACATTTTATTTGTTCCCACTACTTCTGTAAGAGTGAATGGGTCTTGTGTTGGTGCAATGACTAAGTTATTTTTGCTTGGAGTAAGTTCGATAGAAATTTTTCCTGCCCAGTTTGGCAAGTATCTTAAAAACCTGAAGATGAGGAAAGATGACAAAGGAACTCTAAGTTTCAATTTTACTTTGGTTACTGCTGCTGCATTTTGTCCAGAAAGGTCAACATAAACTCCTGGAACGTTAGGGTCAAGTCTTCTTATTTTCTCAATAGTTGCATACTGGTCTGTTTGTTCTCTAGCTTGTGGTTGTACTGAGTTTCTCAAAGCGAACCATTCATAGTTTGCCCATGTTACTGTTTGAACTAAGTCAGAGTTAGAATATATCTTATATCCCATGAAAACTTCTGGAGCATATTGGTATCCGACATAGAAAATTCCATTGCAACCTTTCTTGTCAGACAACTTGGCAGAAGGTTTTATTTCAATGTCTTGTTCCACGTATAAGAAAGAGTTGTCAATAGAAATTATATGAAACCTGTCGCAAGCAATATCTACTGTTGTTGAAGAACCTTCTCCAAACTCACCTACGTTTCCATAAGAAACAGCAGTTGTATATTCGTAAGTTCCAGGAACTATTTCTGACCTTCTAATGGCATTGTCGCATTCGTTATACCATTCGGAAACATTTCCATTCATAGCATCCAAAACTGTTGGCGTTATATTCTGAGCGGCGTACATTTCATATGGGTAAAAATATAGAATAGTTGGGTTTATATGTCATAATAGAACCCACTCCGACCAAGCTTTACTTTCTTCCTGACTGAGTTTTTAACTCTTCTTTTTCCTTCATTGCCCTCTGCTTGAAGTTGTTGCATCTTTGCATTATGTTCATCTAGTATGTTGCAAATTTCCCATGTCCTTTTTGCCTTTTGGCTCTGGTCGCCCATCTCAGGTAACCTATATCCTAGAAAGAGTTTGTCATAGTCTGTATTTGAGTCTTCGCGTATTGTTTGCATGACTCTTTCCTGAGTTTCCGGTTCAAGCTCTTCAAACAGTGCCTGTCCATATGGAATATGCTCGTTTCCAAATATATGTTTTTGTAGCCATTCTGGTTTTCTTTCCATGTTACCAACTATATCTTTTGTGAATGGGAAAGCTTTTACCCAATCTTTCAGTCTTGCGTCGTTTATTTCTGTAGTTGGTTTTATTTTGTCAAGGAACATGTTTTTCAATACTAACATTTCATTTGGTACTGTCCATTTGAGTTTTCTTAAATATTCATCCCTTCTCGGTTCATTGTCTGCAAAGTAAGTTTTTATGACATTTTGTAAACTTTCGTTTGCAAGGTCATGTACAATAGGTTCTCTTCCTTCTCTATCCCTAACTTTCTTTCTAAACTCTTCACCAAATATACCATCTTTATGGTTCTGTGTAGTTCTTTGAGATAAATGTTCTAGAACGTCAGGTGTTATATTTCCATCAGCCATGTTCATTTCATACTGGTTCAAAATATCTGCATCTTTCATATCTTTCAATGGCATTAAAGCCGCGCTTAAAATACCAGCTATATCTCGTTCACCATTGACTTCCATTGCGTCTACAACTTCTTGGAATTGTGGTTGTAAGTTTATGAACCACCTATCTGGATTAGCTTTATGACCCCATCTCATTGTAGTTCCATCGTCTGCAGAAACAAAAGTAGGTTTGTTTCCATCTTGGTTAGGTTCTGAATGAACTTTAAACAATGTTTCATTTCTATATGTTTTCTTGAAATTTAACCTTTTATTTTCACCGAGTTCATCCGAAGATTGAACGTTAAATGCTCGTAAGTAAAAAGGGTTGTTGTATTTGTGTACATTTTCTTTCAGTACTTCCATTCTATGCTGAATATTTTCATCTGGTGTTGGAGTCTTTTGTATGTCGGCAAACATTTTTCGATATTCTTCTACTATGTCAGCCGAATTTTTTTTAGACTCTTGGAAATATTCCATATTCTCCGCATACTCTTGTTGAGGGTCAAGATTTTTCGGCTGTTCCAAATCTTCATCTAGTTCTGTGAAGTTAGTTTCCAAAGGAGTGACTTGTTCGTTTCCTTCAGGCTCTTCTAGCTGTTGTTGCTGAACTATTTCTTCCATGTCTGGTTGTATCTGAACTTCTTCCTGTGGAGTTTCTTGTACCTCATCTGCTGGCATTTCATATATTCCGAGACCGTTTTCAACAATTTCCCTATCTACGTCATCCGCATTCATAAGCTTTTGTTCTTTCGTTCCGTCTCTATTTTTTACGCGTTTCATGACGAAAGTTGAATTGTCATTTAGCTCTGACATCAAATATCTCGGAGTAAATTCATCCATGTCATTTGGATGATATGCTATTAAATCATATCCCTTAGCGAGCTTGTATTTTCCAGGTTTGAGATTATATCCGTTTTGGTGCTGAGCCATAAAGCTAAATAGGTTCGGGTCAGTATTTCCATCCTTGAACTTTCCAATAGCTTCTTTATATCTGTCACTAAAGTCAACAGTATCTGGGAAACCACACTCTTCTTTAAGCATTTTTAAGAATTCTTGGTTTCCTTGTTCTCTACTTCTTTTATGTCCTTGTTCTGTTTGTGGTTGTTGTTGTGCAGGGTTTTGAACTGTTGGTTGTGGAGGTGGTTGCTGTGCTGGTTGTGTAGGTGGTTGTTGTGCTGGTTGTGGAGGTGGTTGTTGTGTTGGTTTTGGTGCATGCCTGTGTCTGTGTCCATGTGACGATGTAAATGTTTTAGGTAGTCCTGGTGCAGGTGCTTCTCTTGGAGGGTTTGGTGGTATATAAGTTCCACCAGCTGGCACATATGTTCCATCTGCAGCATAATGTCCTACCTGACTTTTCGTTCTTAAGAAAGCATTTACTAGGTCTGTTTTGGTCTGTTGTAACTCTTTTTCTTGACTTTTCACAACAGTTGCTCTAACGGCGTCATAGGCACTTTGAACTGCCTGTCTCGTTGCTGCATCTGTTATTTTCGTCATATTTTGTGCTACTTCTTTTAACTCTTTGTCGAAACCTTCAGACTTCAGTTTCTTTCCAGATGAGAAGTCGTTCACTTGTTTCACCTTACTATGAAGAGCTTCGAAAGCGTTCTTAAAGTCAGCATTTGTTAAAGTTTCATTTGAACTGTCTTCATCCGCTTGTATTTTTGTCCTTATTGACCCTATGAGTTGGGCTGCTTTAGCGTTGGCTTGGGCATCTAACCAGTCATTGTTAGCTTTTATATATTCTGCGCTTTTCATTGCCTTTTGCATGGCTGCGTCGTTATTTTTACTTTCTTGTGCTAAGTTTTCATACTGTACGGTTTGGTTTTGCAACTGTAAAAGTTTTTCTGCCTTTACATTTGCTTCAACTTCTTTTTTATACTCATCGCTATCCATATATGTCTTCAGGGCTTTTTGTTTTATCTCTTCATCTTTCAGTATTTTATATTGAGTAGTATGGTTTTTCAAATTTATAACATCTTGTTCCATTTTTGCTACTTCTGCTGCTTTTTCTGACACTTTTTTTGCATATTCCTCTGTACTTAGTTCTTTCAGTTGTTCTTCTTTCTTCTTTTTCTCTACGTTTAACTCATTTAGTTTCTTTGTGTGTCTGTCATATTCTAGTTTCTTTTCGTTTTCACTTATTTGCTTCTGTATGTCTATGTTTGACTTTTTGACATCTGTTATTTGATTTTTGAGTGAACTCAAATTCATTTGACTTTGAGGGTTATAAGCTGTTCCGTCTGCAGCTCCACCATAGCCTGCCATTTTCGCTAAAAGTGCCGCTCTTAAACCTCCACTCTGTGCACCAATAACTCGGTTTAAAAGCATAGGGTTGCTTGACATTTGTTGCAACATAGTGGGGTCATTCATCATTTGTTGTTGCAACTGTTGTTGTGGTGTCAGTTTTACTATTGGATGTTTCAATGCTCTCTTCCTCTTACGTATATTCTTACGTAGCTTACGTGGCATTTTAAGTGAAGTAAAAAGCGGCTTTTGACAGATGGAACACATACTTTTTTCAGTAAAGACTTTGTTGAGACTTCTTCGTAAAGACTTTGTTGAGACTTCTTCGTAAAGACTTTATTGTGACTTCTTCGTAAAGACTTTGTTGAGACTTCTTCGTAAAGACTTTATTGTGACTTCTTCGTAAAGACTTTGTTGAGATTTCTTCGTAAATGAGTGTAAATGACCCAAAAATAATGTTTATGTTAGCATGTTAGATCTAACACGTTTTCTAACACGTTTTCTAACATGGTCTAAAACATACAAAATTCATGAAATTTCATACGGAATTCAATAAAAATAATGTTTATGTTAGAATGTTAGATCTAACATGTTTTCTAACATGTTTTCTAACATGGTCTAAAACATACAAAACTCATGAAATTTCATACGGAATTCAATAAAAATAATGTTTATGTTAGAATGTTAGATCTAACATGTTTTCTAACATGTTTTCTAACATGGTCTAAAACATACAAAACTCATGAAATTTCATACGGAATTCAGCAAAAATAATGTTTATGTTAGAATGTTAGATCTAACATGTTTTCTAACATGTTTTCTACCCTCTTGAATTTTCATGATTTCATCGTAAATGTTTTGTCAAGACTTCTTCGTAAAGACTTTGTTGAGATTTCTTCGTAAAGTTCTTCATCGTAAAGACTTTGTAAAGTCTTTCTCATGAACTTTCTTGTCAATGTTTTGTTGAGACTTTGTAAAGTTCTTCATCGTAAAGACTTTGTAAAGAAAGTTCATGAAAATTCATGAGGTTAGAAAACATGTTAGAAAACGTGTTAGAAAACGTGTTAGATCTAACATTCTAACATAAACATTATTTTTGTCTGATTTTACGAAGAAATCATGAGTTTTCTACGATGTTAGAAAACATGTTAGAAAACGTGTTAGATCTAACATTCTAACATAAACATTATTTTTGTCTGATTTTACGATGAAATCATGAGTTTTCTACGATGTTAGAAAACATGTTAGAAAACGTGTTAGATCTAACATTCTAACATAAACATTATTTTTGTCTGATTTTACGAAGAAGTCTTGACAAAACATTTACGAAGAAGTCTTGACAAAACATTTACGATGAAGAAGTCTTGACAAAACATTTACGATGAAGTCTTGACAAAACATGAAAACATATATAATTTGTGAAAAGCTCCTGGAAGACCCGTATATATAAGAACTTCATTATACCAATCATCCTCAGGGCTAGAAGGCACGAAGTGCCTGGAAGCCCCACTACCTTTTTTTTTTTTTTTTTTTTTTTTTTTTTTTAAATATGTTTAATATTACATATTAAATACATTTATCAACATTAATTATTTTGAATTGTGGTAAAACGATATGTCACATATTTTTTTATAAAAATTTGTTAAAATGTTTATTTTAATTTATATAATTAAATATTAAAATTTTAAATTTTGAAATAAAATAAATTAACCTCTCGTTTTGCATAGATATATATTTACATGGTCACAGAGCTTATTTTCATTGTCAAAACTTAAAAATTTTTAAAGTCTTTTCAGGGGGGTTATACCGTGATATTAGCCTTGTACCGAAAAAAAGTGATGGGCAATGCCGTAAAGTCATTTCAAGAGCCTTGTACCGATAAACTAGCCTTGTACTGCCATTTTATGGTGACGTAAAGTATTCAAAAAATTTGCAATGTAAACCATTACATGGCAGAAACTTTAAAATAAACAAAAACATGACACTTAGTACAGGGGCTTTTTGGCTGGTGAAGTCAGATAAAACGTGGCTCAAGTGCTCGTTTAAAATTAAAAATGGAATTTCTCACAGTCGAATTTCTTGGTAGACAACAAAAGTTTATCATCAATTGTCGCGCCGAAGGTATGACATATAGTCAAACTAAGCTTGCATGGGAGGAAGAATACCCAGATCTCGGAACTTTTACATCCAATCTCATTGCTACTGCACTTAAAAGAGCTGCATTAGGTCTATACTGGGAAAAAGGGAATCATGGCGGTGCAGATCCATACCTATGCGAGCGTGATCAGCTCACTTTAAAAGAAATTATCGAAGATTCTGCTTACAAAGGTGAAGCTCTAGAAGCAGCTGACATTATTGACGAGGCGTTCAAGTTGAAAGAGCTCAGAAGAGATTATGGTTACAGATTCCTTCTTGAGATTAATTGTCCTACTCTTGCAGAAGAAGTTATCAATACTCTTGGTGGTGATGATGTATCGAGACCTTATGTTAACCATATTTTACAGCAATTGCATTGCAAGCTTAAGGCATGCCAAGAGATTGAAGAATCAAGATACATGGCGTGTGAACCAAGAATTATCGAAGAATTCTACGATAAACATCGTGAAACAATCGAAAGTACTCCAGAGGAGTTGATTTTTAGTATCGATGAAACATTCATAAACAAATTTAAGAAGAAGAAAGTTGCATTACCTGAGGAGATAGAGCATATGATCGCCAAAGGAATTCCAAACTTTCCGCACATTACAGCTTTATGCGGATGCTCAATGACAGGCAAATCTGTCCCACCTCTCTTTGTTCTCCCATGTATTGCAGAACTACCTAGAGAACTGAAAGTATTCCAGCGCGAAAAACATTGTTGGTTTACTTCTACGCCAAAAGGCTGGGTGAACAGAAGTGTATTCTTATTGTATTGCATTTTCTTCATCGAGTGGCTTAACTTTGAACGCCAGAGAATGCCAGAATATATACGTGACAAGCCTGCTCTCATTGTGTGTGATGGACACTCCAGCCGCGAGAATCCTCTGGCATTGTTCCTTTTGGCAAGTGCCAACATCAAATTAATTGTTCTTCCCGCACATACAACACACATTTTACAAGTATTTGATGTTGGCATTGCCAAAAGATTAAAGTCCAAATTCACGGATTATCTGAGAGATTACATTAAGGCACCGAAGCAAGAGTTCAACAGCAATGCTGCAATGATGCGCTACGCCATTATCTACTCATTTATTAGCGCATGGCAAGAATCAGTATCATTAAGAACGGTTCAAAATGCTGTTGCCGCCTGCGGTCTTTGCCCTTGTTCTGTAGAAGCTCTCAAACATAATAAGTATGTTCGTGAATTGACTCCTGCAGAAAAAGAATTGCAAGAGAAAAGAAATTACCGTAATCGAAATCGTATTAACATCAATGGTGAAGAATTGACGATGATGGACATGATTTGCGCAATTTCTGACAATATTAAGAAGAATCCTGCAAATCACAGATTTTGCAGGAAGCCAGAACAAGACACCAAGGAACGTTTCTACTTTTGGATTACAAACTATCTTGATCCCAGCACTGAGTTGTTGACAAAACTCCCTAATATGCCAGGTTATAGTCCAAATGATTAGGAAAATTTTCCAATTTTCCAACAAAAATTTTCCAATTCTCCACCAAAAAATTTTTAATAAAATATTATTTTACGGCATTGCCCGTCACTTTTTTTCGGTACAAGGCTAATATCACGGTATAACCCCCCTGAAAAGACTTTACTATTTTTTCGATAAATAATAAAAAAGTTGGAAAATTTCTACATTCAAATTTTCAAAGACCTGTTACGGGCGCGTATAGTAAAAATTGAAGAAAAACTGTTATCAAATATATTTTGATTACTTTCCAATCTATTGGAATTTTTTTGAATTGAATAATCGTAATCCATTTAATTTTATATATAAATGTCTAAATACTATAAATTTACTAGAACAAGTTCTAGTGACAAACAACCGCCTACAGCTTTATTTGCGATGATATCTAAACCATCTGCACTAGATTATATTGAAGAATCTGAAAAATATATTATTCAACTTTACGGAAAACACGAAGAATTTAGGAATAGATCTGATTTTATGGGAAAACTTGAAAGGTTAATCCCATACGGTCCTTTCATTATCAATTTAGTAAGTAATAATGAAAAAGAATTACAAAAGTTAGTAAATTATCAAACAAATTACCAACAAACGAATTTAGAATTCGCAGACATTGGTGTAAAGACCGATATTCCTAATTATGAAGCAATAGTTAATAATCTTATCAAATACGCAAATTATTCTGATAAATTCTTTAAATTTATTCAAAATCGAATTTCAAATTTAACAGCTATACCAGCTCAGTATATTTTGAATTGCCCAGAAAAGTCACCACTTCTATCATCATTATTAGAAAAAAAAATTCTAATCAATCCAGAACCAAAAGAATTCAACATCTATAACAATCAAAATACGTATCTTGCTAGTCTTATGGAAGCATACGGAATCGCATCTAATCCTACACAGTCTTCTATCATAGATAAAACGCATTTACAGCCACTCCTTTCAAAAGCGAGCAACTACGAATCGGCATATATACAAATAATCAACGCATTCGCATTGCATCCTAATTTTTTTGATAAATGGTTTGATTTTATTGGATTTAAGACACATCTCAGTAATTTCCACTTTAGCTTACTAATGTTCAACGACAATTGGATAATAAAAATATTCGAAGGCTCAAAAGAGTTAAAAGGACAAATAATATTCTATTATTTGCACAATGACGGTGGATACAAAACAATTTTCGACTATTTTACAAAAGCTAAGAAAGCTCTTACTAATGATAAAAAGGAAATATCTACTACTTATTATGTTGGTGTTGCTTATTTCAGAAAATATGCTTTAGAAGCATTATCTGAATTTTCTGATATAATAACAACAGAATACCTTATGGATGTAATAGAATTCCTTGATGAAGAATATAGACATGTTAATTCTGCCTCAAAATCCATATAAAAAAATATTTGTTAGAGAATAAAAAATTTTAAAATATTGAATAATTTCTTTAATACCACATATACGTAAGTCGAATTAAGGATCTCGTTTGGAGAAAAAACAGCTGGGATCTCCAAATTCCAAAAATATATTAAAGTTGGAGAAGATTTTTCTCCATATGAGATCATTAGTCGAATAAGAATGACTATGGAATAACTGTGATTAAAAAATTTCACTCAAATACATATTATTTGTGTTATTGAATGAATCTAGTTCGGTATGTAACATGATTAATGTACATTTTATTGCATTTGATGATATTTAATTTTCAATTTGTAATTTGGAATTAATCTTAATAATATTTGCTTTTTGGTTAATGATAATGTAAGGTGTGGACCTACTGTATTGATATGAATAATAAAGGAATTTAGAATAAGCATAAATAATCACAGGAATGTAACAATTTTTTGAAAGTTTTACAAATAATCAATGAAAATTAAAATCATGATTTATATTGATGTACTATCAAAATTACTCAAACAGTGCAACAGAAAGTGAGGCAGGAATTTTAGGGCTTATTAGATCTAATAATGCAAATACTTGTTTTAATTATTGCTATTTTGTGGATAATTTTGTAGAAAATGGTTTTTTATTTGGAACAGTATATAATACGGATACCATAACTTTAATAAACTGCATGATTATTGGTAATACAATTCAAATTCATTCTGGAAATGGCACTTTCAGCTACATTAATCCACAATCAACAAAAATCATTATTAGTTTCTACTCAACTGACTTATGTCCAGGAGTAGGTGACAAAAGTGCATACTCTTAAACAACCGTCGGATTTCCGGGTGAAATCGTGACACACTTTCGTCTTTCGTAGGCAGTGGTGGTTGTTACAAAAGGTAACTTCGAATGTAGCGTGAAATCTGCAAAAAAAATTCTGAAATTTGAATGGAGAACACAAAAATTGAATAGTTTACGTCAATAAAAAAGAGAAAAATGAAGCCAATGTGTCTCGAACCTAGGACTTAGAGCAGCAATCCCACTGTTTATCCCATTACATATTACACTACATGCATCTCTCACCTCAGTGAATGAGATCAACTATATGATAACTTTTTCCCCATTATATTCTTGTGGAAAAGTGACAAATAGCAACTTTGACCCTCTCTCCTTATGTCCAGGGCATAAATTCATAGAATATCCATTATCTACAGATTCAAGAGATGAATTTCATAAATTTTTTTCTAAAATCCATAAGCGAAGATGAATTTATACAATAAAATGTTATTTATTATTAAACCTTAATTTCGGGAGATATTTTTTTTGAGCGTGCAATCATTCCCCAATGACATGGCCTTCAATTCAGATGTTTCAGGTTAATTTTTAATGACATTTCATGCTAGTTGTCAAAAATTTGAATTGAAGTCAAATGTGCACAAGGGCAGCCTTGAGAAGATTCTAAAATGGAATATATGTTGCCACTTTTCATGATAAACTTATTATCCACATTAATAGACGGTCTTGTTGGTATAGGAAGTAACTTAAAATTTAGCATAAAATCAGGGGAATAAAATCCTAAAAATGAATATGGAATTGATTAACCAACATTTCTTATAAATCCAAAACTTCGAACTCGGATAAAAAGTAACATATTGAAAGTATTAAAACAATTTTTAAACAGAAAATAGATTCTTAGTTAAATCCTAGATATCTAGCCGGTATATCTTCAAAATCTGAAGGATTATTTCTATACCATCTATAGAATTTCCATTTCAAGCTAATACATTGATTATACATAGCGCATCCAGGAAGTAATTTAATTTTAATATAGTGATTTCCTCTTGTGAAATACTGCCTAGGTGTTGTCACAACTGATTCACCTTTTTCTTCGCAATCAAATCTGTCATCAAGTGATCCAACAACAAGATTACCATCGATATATAGTTCTGCTTTTGGAATAGATTTGAGCTGGAATTGTAGATCTGTATTTTGAGGAACATAGAGAATTGAATTTAGTTCTATTGTTGAATAGGATTCTGAGAATTCTTTCATCGAGAAATCTTCATAAACTTGATAAGAATCTGTTGTCGAATCATTATAATAAGATGTATAAACAACACCTCTCTTTCCTTCTGGAAATACATATTGGGATGTATCTTCACAGAAGATATTATCAGAGAAACTATTACAAGTGCATCCGAGGCCATCTGATTCTCTGCCGTATTCAAGAGAGCCATGTTCGTTACAGTATGCATCATTATATTGACTACATGTATCTGTGTAATATCCTGGCAAGCAATCTTCTGTATAGCAGTCCATAATCGTAGTAGATGTACTATCAATTAATGTTCCATTAAGATAACCTTCTATACGATCAGTCACACAGTTATTTTCATCAGCAATTGTATATGGATAACATCTATTTGCATAAAGATATTGATTAAACGATTTTTCTTTCCAACCAGTACATTCATCACCTCTATCTTTCTGGTGTTGATTGACAAACTTGGTATAGATAGCGGGCCATGCTTTGGATTTAATTTCATAATATCCAGATACTTTGGGGCAAAATGAGCCGGCAATCCAATGCCAATGATGACTGTTTGAACTACTTTTTCGATAGTATGATGTTACTTTACCAACATAGTGATCATCATGATCATAATAGTTTAAAACTCCTAAATTTCCATTACTTTGTGAGGAACATGCGATTTTTGGAACTTTAATATCATCATCTTCAAGCACATTATAGAAAATTAAGTATTGAAGCATTACAGGTTCACTTTGAGAAGAAATAATTGGATCACATCACTAAGTATGACGAAAATTTGCATCATATTAACGATATTAAAAAATGGAAAATGGAATAATAATACTCCATTTACTATAAATCATAATAATAATGCAGTTCAGTAAGGAAGTCAATTTGGAAAATTGTTTTCACTTTAGGAGAATATAATTTTCCATTTGGAAAATTTAAAAAGTGAGACGCGCAGGATTCGAACTTTTTTAAAAGTTGATTTAAATGAATTTTAGTGTGGAATATAAGGATAATATCATATTTAAAATAAGAATATACTAGTTTAGGTGGTATTAATTTTTTCGATAAATTTGAGAGTATGCACGTTTAGGGCATGAAAAGTGTCAATTCGCTCAGCGAAAGCTGAGCTAGCTTCGTTCTCGAAAGAATAAGGAAGGAGTGAAGGAGAATGATACAGAAGTTGACACATTCATATCATTTCAACAAATTTTGATCAAATTGAAATTCTAAAATTCAATTCAATTCATATCCTTCAGTCAGTACATTGATATCCTTCTGCATCACAATGATAACTCGGGCATCAATAGTTCTACAACTAACTCAGAAAAAACAAGATTATTACTTCCTGCTTACAGCTTTTAAAAAGTTTCGATGATAAAAATCACTCTACTCTCGTTTATCGACATATGGTGATAGTAGGTAAACATATTCTTATCGATATTAATAAAAATATTTGTACGAAAATCTTATCCAATTAGAGAGTTATTCATAAAGTATATGATAATTATAATTACTTTATCTTTGTTTTATCTTTGAATAAACAATTTAATTTAAATTGCATAATATTTTTTGGTTGAAAGACAGGAAACTTAGTTGAGTTTGTATTATTTTTATCGTTTAATTCATCGTATCAGTGAGTGATCCAGATATTTAAGATATTTAGAAAAAAAATTATTAATTTGATTAACAAATTTTAATCAAAATAGCAAAAATCTATTTGATAGCTAAACAAACAATAATTTTTATTTCAAGCAAAATCACTTATTTTCATCTAAACGTATAAAATTGTCAATTTTATGAAAATAAATTGAAAATCTCATGAAATGTAAAGGAGAGTAATATTTTTCAATTTTCTTTTTTTCTTTGTCTCAAATATTTTCTGTTGGGAATTTTCTTGTTATCAAAAAATAATTTTAATATTTGTTTATTTCATTACATACAATAAAATTTTAAAAACTCTATTTCTTCTCAAGAAAATTTTTTCCTTCATATGAAGAAACATTTTGTTCTCCATTTGATACTGAGTCTAAATCTCGATTTTTGAATTTTCTTCTTTCCAAATTTTGCAAATTACCTCAGACTTTTCAGAGGATTGAGTTGCCACTCCATCCTCTGAAATAGTCTGTGGTAATTTTTAGTCTCTACACTATTTCAATATAAGCTCCATTTTTAAACAGTTTTTACACTATTTCAATATAAGCTCCATTTTAAGCTCTATACCATCTTTAAAAATTTTTAAGTTTTGACAATGAAAATAAGCTCTGTGACCATGTAAATATATATCTATGCAAAACGAGAGGTTAATTTATTTTATTTCAAAATTTAAAATTTTAATATTTAATTATATAAATTAAAATAAACATTTTTACAAATTTTTATAAAAAAATATGTGACATATCGTTTTACCACAATTCAAAATAATTAATGTTGATAAATGTATTTAATATGTAATATTAAACATATTTTGCGCGAGAAGTGAGTTGTGGTAACTTTCGTGGATATCCATCGTTCATTTTATGGTAAAAATTCTCAATTTGTGGGAAAAGTTCTCAATTTTGTGGTAATTTTTATGTACCACAACTCAATTTGTGGTCACTTCATCTTACCACGTGGTAAGTTTTTATAAAACTCTTTATTTACCATTGATTTCTGATTTAATATCAATATCTTGAATAATCAAGCATATCTATCGCTTTAAATTTTATTCTCTAATTCCAAAAAAATTCAAAAATCAAAAAATGAAAAAAATATTTAGAATTTTTTCCGTCAAAAATAAAAAATGTTCCCACTGAGTGGTTTCCATGGAAAGTTACCACTGGGTCCCACAGGGATTGGCCTAGCTAGGCTGTACAAGATTTAAAAAAACATTGCCGGGTTACCGTAGAGGCCTAAAAAATCGCGCCTCGGCGGCAAGCCGCCTCGGCATTAAGAATGCGCATCTAAATTTTTATATGTCCTTCTTTCTTTTATTTTTCCCTTCCCTTTCTTTTCTTTTTCTTTTTTTCCCTCCTCTTGCTCTCATTTACCTTTTTTTTCCTTTTCTCATCATTTTTCAAAATTTTAAATTTTTATCAAAAATCTTGCCTATAAAAGCAGACTATGGAACCTTTTAATGCCTCTTAATCAATATTATACAGCATAAAGCATATTAAATGAAAGTAATTACGTATAAATTTATTTTATTATCTTATTTATTAATTCTTTAGCATGTATTGTTTAATATTAACTTTTCTGTACATTAAATATGATATCTCCAAAGTATGAATGCCTTGTAACGAAACGAAAACTTAATTTTATGTTGAATATTTGTCACAAACATTAGATTATTAAAATATATGTTGGATATCCCTTAGTATGAGACTTCATGACTCTTGTAGTCTAACGTGAGCTTTGGATTGCAAGCTCTGTGGTTAACGAACATAAATTAATTGTAAAGTTTTCAAAATTTTTCATCGTTTCTATCAGCATCTATTTTTCCTTTAAAATAATATATTTGTATGAATACAATATTTAGTAATTTTTTTATTTCCCATAATTTCATTCAAAATTTCAGAAAAAATTAATTTCTATTCAATATTATTTCAGCTTCAAAACACTTCATTCTTATAGATGTTGATTCACTAAAGTGTGATACTCAATGTCTTATTTCAATGAAAATTGTTCTGCAAATTTATTTCACTTTTGACCTCACTTTTTCCGTAATTCAATTTTTTACTTTTAATATTTTAGATCTTCATAATATCATTTGAAAAATTAACCATATAAAAAAATCAAGTTAACAATTCACTTTTTCCGTAATTCAAAAATCAAAAATATAAATAATATATCTTTTTATCAATATTATTATTATATTCTATGAAAAATGAGGTCCGGAAATTTTGCGGATTCCCGTAACTCAATTTACGGAAAAAGTGCAGTAAACTATTCAAAATACGGAAAAATTGGTGTAAACTAATGATTTTACGGTAAAATCACGGAAAGTCCCGGAAGAATATATGTGCCTATATGAAATTATACAAAAATGAATCAAACGCATTTTAAAAGATTGTTCTTGTATTATAAATGCTATTCGCAGATTTATTAGTTGAAGAAAATTACCAAATTTTTGCCGATTTACAAAAAATGATTTACAAAGCATATTTTTATAAGGCTTTAAAAATCTTTAAAATGTGACCGGTGACGGAAATCCATGGTAACCAACCGCGGTTCCCGTTTGGAATGCCATAAGTATTTCTTAATAGAATGTGAAATAAAGTAAAATTAACTATATTCAAAATGGAAAAAAATCCAAAAAAAATTTGAAAAAAAGAATTTCATGATAAAAAGCATAAATTTTGCATCAGAAAATTAAATTCAGGTATTTTTTTGAAATAGAAAGAGTCCTAAAATTAGTTAAAAATCATTTTTTATTCAAAAGAAACGCTATTTTAAGGAATTGAAAAGAATTATTTAATAATATTTTATTTATAGAATTTGCATATATCATATGCATAGACATATTGAATTGTAAACATGAGAACACTAATTACATTAACTTGTCGTTCAAATTATTGCATCGAGAAAAAAGTGCTATAAATTTACTCAATTAGTTTACAAACGTAAATGTTTGACATAAACTTTACGTTTGTAAACCAATTTGATTAAATTTAGTAAATTTTAGTTCGAATGCAAGTTTTCTCGGTAAATCATTTTTTAGACCTCAAATGAGATGTATGATCATATGAGTCACATATGATTTAATCCGAATATGTGTGAGAATTGAGTTTAAAACGAAGTTTATTTTTTGGACTATATTTCGCCATTTTAAAATGTGTAATAATGATATAATTCGCATGAAATTGAAAAATATTGACTGGATGTGTAATGGTTTTATAATTGCAATGTTGATTTGATCGAATTTAAATGAATATATAACGCGATGAAATTTCGAATTGCTCAAATGTCTGTAATTCATATATGGTGCACATATTAATATTACATTTCGTTGATATTTACCACATAAACCTTTAAATATTAAGTCATTTTAAAGTTATATGCGATTTAGTTCAAAATGCACGTTTAGAAAAAGACGATAACGATTAAATTACAAAATCGATAACGACCCGAAAAAAATTGAATGCACTTTCAAAAAAATTTCAAAAGGTAAAAGTTGGCTTTTTATACTTGGTATATGCACTTAATATATGATAAATATTCATTTTAATTTCAATACTTCCTAAATTGTTCTAAAATCAGTCTGGTGGGATTAATTTGTCTGCCATGTCAAATTTTCAAAAAAGTATGCAAATAAAAGAGTATACGAATAACATATTTAAAACAGAAAAAAGAGTCTAGTTTTGGATAGTGTAATTCGATTTCTTGGAAATTTTTTGAAAGAGTATTCAATTTTTTCTCATAAAATTTAGGGCGTATGGATATTTAAAAAAAATATTTTCTTCATTTTTAAGATGGGTAAAACATCTAAGTTACACACTCGCATTGTCATGGTCAATGACGTTCGAAATGGTCAAGTTTCAGGAACTATATACTGCATTGGAAAGAATGGAATGTCGATTCTTACTACAAAATTCGATTCTTTCAGAGGGCATTTGAAACAAACAGCAGAGCCAATCGGAATGGAGTATCATGAAGTAGAAAGGAACATCTTACGGTGCTCATGGAATCCTCAATCTTCAGAAATACAACTTCTTGAAGATAATGGAGTGAGAGTTGAAGATCAACCTGTAAACACTAGAACAGAGACACAACGCTATGATCAAGATACTCAATTACTTTCAGATCTTACAACTCCTCCCAATAGAGTAAATTCTCAACCTATTCTAATGATAACAGCTATGGATTCCCTGAATTCTTAGATCCACAGATGACCAATTCATATTTAATAATAGTAATATCGATATCCAAATTGCTGATGATTTTCTCTTAATTATTAATACTTTTTACTTTCAATTTTTGCAAGTAAAAGAAACTATATATTGACCAATATTTCATTCATCACAAAAATAAGATTCATGAATATTTTAATCTCACAAAAGTATTACATATTGTTATATTCTATAAATATCTTTGTTAAATTCTAATATTTGAAGAATTATTGCTTCTAATCGGCATTGTCTACTCCAACTTCAGCACATGATTCTTTTAAAAAGCTTTGAGCTTGATTATTTGCTCAAATTTTAAATTCTCTTTTATGAGATTTATTGGAATTATTCAGCTTCTCTTAATCTGCTGAAAATTACTGGTTTCGATATCAAATAGTTAACAACATTTTTTTTCAAAGAGATAATTGATGCTTTTTCTTTTTGCAAAAAGATCAATTGCTCTTTTCCATTATAACCAGAACCAGTTAATTTTGCAGCCATCAGACAATATTAATGTAAAATTTAGTGGTATTCGATCGAAAAAATTTCCTTTCCAATATAATTTGAATTTTGGCAACGCAATATGCCAAAGTAATACATCGAATAGTATTAGGTCGTCATTTGGACAAAATATTCTCGGTGATTTCAGAACTAAAACCATAGAAAACATTAATTTTTTAGAAGATCAAGAATTTTCTTGCAGATGCTTCCATACTTTATCAGAAGAACAAGCTGAAATACTCAATTACCTATCCGAAAACGATTATCTTCTTTATTTTCAGTTGAAAAATTTCAAAATGAAACAAGGATTTCATATTTCTGAAGGAAGATACTTCCTTACTAAATACAAATTTGATATACAATACGCAACGGAAGTGAAATCAAATGTAGTTCATTATAAAATCATTGATATTGTTCCAAGTCAAGAAATTGGACACCAAACTTCTTATAGTGATAATGTATGCACAGAATTACAAACACCTCCCATTATCAAAGAAGGAACAAATGTTAGTTTAACTTATCAATTCACTTTTACAGAAACAAAGCTTTATCCACCTTCAACAATGCAGCCAACATTCGCATTATCATCCCTTAAGTTACAATTACTTATTAATATTGCAATTTTAGCATTTTTGTTATATTTCACACCAAAGTACTCAAATTCATTTGGTCCATTAGAAGAACAAACAGACGATAGTGTTTGGTATTATTTACGTGGTGATTTGTTCAGAATGCCACAAAATATTTCGATTTTATGCACATTTTGCGGGATTGGCGTTCAGACAATCTTCTCATTGCTCTACATGTCATTGAAATCGTATGGTGAGTTTTCTGACGTTGTTTCGACGTTTTTCAGCGTAATGTCATGGTCCGGAATAATATGTGGCTTTGTTTCAATGTTTACATTCAAATACGTTGGTGGCTATGAATGGAGAAACGTTTACAAGGCAATTCTCACTCTAACTCCTGCACTTTTCGTTTTAATTTTTTGTATCAGATCATTACTTTTTATTTTCACCAAATCTGCATCATCACCAACTAATGGAACAATTCTACACATAATGGTACTCGTTCTGATCCATACAATCTCAGTTTCAATTGGATCAACCGTTGGATTGAAGTTTCCCATTAACGACACGCCATGCAAAGTGAATATGATACCAAGACATGTTCCTGCATCTCCATTTTACATGTCTCCAGGCTATTTGAGGGTTTATGGAGGAATTTATTTGTTCATTTCTATTCTTGTTGTTCTTTTGACTATTTCTGAATCGGAAAGCAATCTCACAAAACAAGCATGAGAATGTTGTTTTGCAGTCTGGAAGCTTTGTTCGGCCAACAGCTCAACTTCAAAATAATAGAATGCTAATGAACTGCACATTTGACTTAGATAATAGTGTTTTGACGGGAAATGCTTATGTTCCAGCTACGCCATTGTTACTCCAGCAGCCAAAAGGTTCATATGCAGTTTTGCGAATATTGATAGTCCAATTTGCATCGGAAGAGGCATAACTATACATGTTAATGCCATCATCTGCTCCAATGTCACTTTAATTAATGGTTGTTCTATCCAAGAAGGCGCAACTATCGGAAACAGCTCAATAATGAGCCAGTGAAGTGTGGAAAAAGAAAGTTAAGTGATCACACCTTTATATACCCCCTGGATTTAATTATTCAGAAGATTTCATCGAAGACTGCCACAAACTTCCAATGGTGATAATAATCATAGGAACATGCCTTACTAAGCAACATTCGTGCGCAAGAATCGATGAAGTTCTTTCAGACTGTTGCGCTGACATGCATTCGGTTGTAAGAGGCTACATGAAGCTGATGTCAGATTATCCAGTCGAATTTGGCCGCCAAATTTCAAAGTTACCCGTTGTTAATACTTACGATGAGATTGCTGACGTATTTGGCTGAAAGAGTCTGTCTTTGGCGCTTTCTTACTGAGATTCTGGTTCTGAAGGCGAATGGGATAATTTGATAAATAATGCGACAATAATTGTTGCTGATGAAATCTAAGCGGCCTTCGAAAACTATTGTTTTTCAATAAAAACTCTTTGGAAATAATTTTATTGCATAAATTGATTTTATTTAAACATGGATGTTAGAAAGTGCTATGGTATAATTATTTTGAAGCGCCGTGCTCAATTAATAATTTGATAATTTCGTGTGCATTTTGTTTAATTGCAATGCTAAGCGGACATTCGTTAATATAAAAAGAATTTCATAATACGATGATTGATATTAAAAGAAAGAGAATACCATAAAACGATGATTGATATTAAAAGAAAGTAAATTTCATAGAACGATAATTGATATTAAAAGAAAGAGAATTTCATAAAACGATGATTGACATTAAAAGAAAGAGAATGATATAAAACGATGATTGATATTAAAAGAAAGAGAATGATATAAAACGATGATTGATATTAAAAGAAAGAGAATGTAATAAAACGATGATTGATATTAAAAGAAAGAAAATTCTATAAAACGATAATTGATATTAAAAGAAAGAAAATTCTATAAAACGATAATTGATATTAAAAGAAAGAGAATGTAATAAAACGATAATTGATATTAAAAGAAAGAAAATCTTATAAAGCGATGATTGATATTAAAAAATAGTTAATAAGTTTAATATTGACATCTGCTCCATGTTCAATTAATAATTTGATAATTTCGTGTGCATTTTGTTTAATTGCAATGCTAAGCGGACATTCGTTAATATAAAAAGAATTTCATAATACGATGATTGATATTAAAAGAAAGTAAATTTCATAAAACGATGATTGATATTAAAAGAAAGAGAATGTAATAAAACGATGATTGATATTAAAAGAAAGAGAATGTAATAAAACGATGATTGATATTAAAAGAAAGAGAATACCATAAAACGATAATTGATATTAAAAGAAAGAGAATTTCATAAAACGATGATTGATATTAAAAGAAAGAGAATGATATAAAACGATAATTGATATTAAAAGAAAGAGAATACTATAAAACGATAATTGATATTAAAAGAAAGAGAATACTATAAAACGATAATTGACATTAAAAGAAAGAGAATGATATAAAACGATAATTGATATTAAAAGAAAGAGAATGTAATAATACGATGATTGATATTAAAAGAAAGAGAATACCATAAAACGATGATTGATATTAAAAGAAAGAGAATGTAATAATACGATGATTGATATTAAAAGAAAGAGAATGTAATAAAACGATGATTGATATTAAAAGAAAGAGAATGTAATAAAACGATGATTGATATTAAAAGAAAGAGAATTTCATAAAACGATGATTGATATTAAAAAATAGTTAATAAGTTTAATATTGACATCTGCTCCATGTTCAATTAATAATTTGATAATTTCGTGTGCATTTTGTTTAATTGCAATGCTAAGCGGACATTCGTTAATATAAAAAGAATTTCATAATACGATGATTGATATTAAAAGAAAGAGAATACCATAAAACGATGATTGATATTAAAAGAAAGTAAATTTCATAAAACGATGATTGATATTAAAAGAAAGAGAATGATATAAAACGATGATTGATATTAAAAGAAAGAGAATACCATAAAACGATAATTGATATTAAAAGAAAGAGAATACCATAAAACGATGATTGATATTAAAAGAAAGTAAATTTTATAAAACGTTGATTGATATTAAAAGAAAGAGAATGATATAAAACGATAATTGATATTAAAAGAAAGAAAATCTTATAAAGCGATGATTGATATTAAAAAATAGTTAATAAGTTTAATATTGACATCTGCTCCATGTTCAATTAATAATTTGATAATTTCGTGTGCATTTTGTTTAATTGCAATGCTAAGCGGACATTCGTTAATATAAAAAGAATTTCATAATACGATGATTGATATTAAAAGAAAGTAAATTTCATAAAACGATGATTGATATTAAAAGAAAGAGAATGTAATAAAACGATGATTGATATTAAAAGAAAGAGAATGTAATAATACGATGATTGATATTAAAAGAAAGAGAATACCATAAAACGATAATTGATATTAAAAGAAAGAGAATGTAATAAAACGATGATTGATATTAAAAGAAAGAGAATTCTATAAAACGATAATTGATATTAAAAGAAAGAGAATGAAATAAAACGTTGACTAATATTAAAGGAAAGAGAATACTATAAAACGATGATTGATATTAAAAGAAAGAGAATGTAATAATACGATGATTGATATTAAAAGAAAGAGAATACCATAAAACGATGATTGACATTAAAAGAAAGAGAATTCTATAAAACGATGATTGATATTAAAAGAAAGAGAATGATATAAAACGATGATTGATATTAAAAGAAAGTAAATTTCATAAAACGATAATTGATATTAAAAGAAAGAGAATGTAATAAAACGATAATTGATATTAAAAGAAAGAGAATGTAATAATACGATGATTGATATTAAAAGAAAGAGAATACCATAAAACGATGATTGATATTAAAAGAAAGAGAATGATATAAAACGATGATTGATATTAAAAGGAAGAGAATTCTATAAAACGATGATTGATATTAAAAGAAAGAGAATTCTATAAAACGATGATTGATATTAAAAGAAAGAGAATTTCATAAAACGATGATTGATATTAAAAGAAAGAGAATTTCATAAAACGATGATTGATATTAAAAGAAAGAGAATAAATTTATTGTTCACTTTATTTCCATTTTGAATTAGATATGATGCAGTATCAAAATTCCCATAATACAAAAATTTTGCTATTTCTGAAGAAGGATGTTGATCGAAACTTGTTGAAAGATAATTCACAAGTTCGTAATTTCGGTGAATCAATGCAATGTCGATTAAACCTTTAAATGATTGACCATCGTTTAGCATTTGTGAGAAAATCATTTTATTTCCACTTTCAGAAGCAAATTTTGCAGTATTTTCAGTATATTTTGCACCTTTATTTTTCAGGTATTTGAAACATAATTCTGATCCAAATTTGCATGCGCACTCAAGAGGTGTTAAATCATCGCATTTCTCATTTGTATCCAAGTTTGGGAATTTGCTTTTAAGATCATCGATTTTATCCCAAGCGATAAAATATAAAAGGCTATCTTTTTTATAGATATTTAGGATGTCTTCTTCTTTTCTGACAGGTTTGAAATCTTTGAAATTGAAACCTTTATAGGATAATAATGTTGCTAAATCTTCATTTTCTGGTTTGATAATTAAAGAAAACTCTTTTGAAATATCTTGATAAAATTTTGCATATTGAGCAATATTCTTGACGCGAAGTGTTGAAAAAGTATCGATTAAATAAAGTGCCATTTTGACAGGAACTTTTTGTGTTTTAATGAGTTCAATTATCTGTTTTGTGGATTCTGTGATATTGTTATTATTGATATTCCAAATAATTTTTGAAGCTTGATTTGGATATTTGAATTCTTTAAGTAGATTCGCATCAGTTGAATTTTCTTCATTAATTTGAGATATTATAGTTTCTTTTTCTTTGAGTTCGGATTTAAGAAATTGTATTTCGATATCACTTTTTTGTTTTGCTTTTTGAATGGAATTTAACTCTGCTTGAAGTTTTTGGATTTTTACTGTTGATTCTGAAATAATTTTATCAGTTTCATCTAAAAAACCAATAATTCCATCTAACATCGTTAATTTCATGTATTTTCGAACAGAATTAAGTGTTGAAATTACTTCTTGGTAATTGCGAATTGAAACTTTAGTGCTTCGAGCGCATTCATATAACTCATTTTCATTAAGAGTAGATTTGGATTGTTTAAGAAGAGTAATGAAATCTTCTGATGTTAAATTCGCTAATTTTAGGATTTTCTTTAAATCTTTGAGTTCAAAGACATCAAAAAGCTTATCCTCTTGAATATAATCTTTGATGTGGGCAGCAATATATTCATAATTTTGGATTAGTTTTTGACTCATCTAAAAAAAATCTACCGAATTGTCACTTTTCTCAAATTTGTTTTAAACGAAATGTTAAAAAGTATAAATAAATGTCTAGGGTTGTTAGATTCCCGACGATAGGTGTCTTGGAAGATTTGCCTGGTGTCATCATAGTGTCTTTAAATCAAAAATTTTATTTTGGAGTTAGTTTTATTGATTTTTCAATAAAAAACATTTCTAAAACAAGAAAATAAAACGATAAAATATTTATATTTTATATAAGGATCTTATATATTGAAAATAAAGATCATTTTATTTTTTTCATTGGTGTCTGTCAAACCATAATACACTATTCAAAAATTCAATGTGTCTTGCGGTTTCAAAAGACACCTTCAAATTGAACGATAGCACAGACACTATTGAATTTTACCCATTTTATTTAGTTTTTGCCCTTTTTATTTTTAAGAATTAATGACTGAAACAGCTGTTTTGCTATGACCTCAATCACTTTTATTTATTATTTTAAATATTATTTAATTTTATTATTTGAATAGGCCAACTTATATTTGAGAAGCTCAATTTGAGACCACTTAATACATTGAAATATCATAAATATTGAAATATTAAAAAGTGTATTTCAAAATATTGAAATTATAAAAATTTATAATACTGAAATTGAGACAAATTAATAAATTCAATGTGTTTTTTTTGAAATAACTCTCAAATATTATTTTTTTGTTTATTTAATGATGAATAAATATGATTGCTTTAGTCAATCATAAAAACTAATTTAAGTTTAAAATAATGAAAGGATAATTTGATTGTTTTTTAAAATACAATTATTTTTGATGATTTGCAAGAATCTTTGAAAAGAATATAATATAGGTTCTATTTTTGTAAAATTTATCCAAATCATATATTACATAAATTACGATTAAAACGATGAAAGAACCAAAAAGTGTGTTTTGTGTTTTGTTGTTGCGTGTTGGATGCGGGATCCTGTTATTTCCGA